TTATTATTATTATTATTATTTTTTTTTTTTTTTTTTTTTTTTTGTCAAACGTACGTACATTCTTATTACATGATAAAGGCAATAAGGCACATAACATGTTACGCGAATTTAAAAAATTAGCATAACATTTACATTATTATTATTATTATTATAGACAATAAAGGCGAATTTGCAGATTGTGTTTACAGTATTTACACTTTTACCCTTAATTGAATATTTATAACTTTATAATAATTACAATGCGTAAAAATTTTAAATATAGAAACACAAATTGAAATTGAGAATAGAAGGCTGGTTTTTAGTTTTAAATTAACAGTCAATATTTAAAAGATTAATTACTTGTATTAAGTACTTGTATTAAATTAAGCACTCATACATTATTTAAGTACCCTATTATTTGGCCAAATATCAAAAGTCAAATTATTAATTATTGCCTAAAATTAAATTCAATACTTGAGTGGTATTTTTGATAAATAAATAACAATAAATGTTGATTAATAATAATAAGTCAATAGAAACAATAATTATTAAAAAAGTTCATATGGCAATAAATTGTTTCAACAGTTATTATAAATACATGAGGTCTTATTGATTGTTGCTATAATTGTATAAATAACGACTAAAATGAATATTATTGTTATTGTAATAATAATGTTAATTAACTATAATAAATATTAACGTAGCTGTTTAATTACACGACACAGCCCTTTCTCGTTCCGTAAATGACTTTAAGCTCGGGTAATAAAATTTTTTTAATAAAAGTATTCGTCTTGTCGGTCAACATATCACGTCGAGGATCTTTTTTGTAAAATTTAATACCCGGTCGGTGAACGAGAAATCCATTATTGAGAATCAGAAAATCATAATTTAAAACACAAAGTGCATAACCTTGTGGCATTTTATCACTTTTACCTTCCCAACTTAAACGTTCTTCGTACATTGGCTCATTATTTGTACCAATAAATATAGGCTCCCAGTGAGCGAAATTACCGGTACGCTTCCCAACATGAAATACAGAAAGATCTGCTGTTTCTGCGGCTTCTTGCCATTCTTTTCCTTTCGGTATATTGTGACAAATCGAGCACAATCTCTTGTGAAATGGTATCGCAGTACCCGTTTTTAACATTTTTATCTGTAAATAATTATTTAAAAAATAAATAAAAATCATTTTAATAATATATAAAAAAAAAAAAAAAAAAAAAAAAAAAAAAAAAAAAACCAAAACACATACAACATCGAAAACACAATTTGTCTTATTCTCTTCTTATTATTAATATATAAAAAATAAAAAAAAATAAAAAAAAAAAAAAAAAAAAAAAAAAAACACACATACCAATATTGTTTTGTTAGTCGGTGGTAAACTTTTTTTATCAACTTCAAATATTGGCAGGACAAATACTTTAGGATTTGACTTGGACAATGCCGGATGATCATTTTTCCGTATCATCTCGAGAAAATTGTCTGGTAAACCCGGATTTGGATAAAGCTCAATGTCACTCGCTAGTATGTAGTGAGTTATAGCAGATTCACGTGCTATATTACGACCAACGTTAACAGGATACAAAAGTTTTTTTTCATTTTTATACATTTTATTGTTTATGACATTTTGATGTGACCAAGGTGGCCCGAGACTGCAATTGTACGGCTCAAATGCTAATACTTTTTCGCTTGAGGGTACCTAAATAAATCAAATATTATTATTATTATTATTATTATTTATAAATAAAAAAAAAAAAAAATACATACCGCTTTAGGCACATGTTTGCTATTGAAATAAATATGAAAGGTAGTGAATTGTGAGACAAGTGGACTCCCACAGTTTCTCAAGTATCTGATTGAATCTAAAGTCGGCTGAAAGTCTGTGCCTGGTGCATGCAAAGCAATCGATACTGGTGCTTGCCAGCGTTGCAGCAAAGGCTCCAGATTGTCGAGAAAAGTAAAGTCCGCATGAGTCGTATACGTGACGCTTTCCCAACATTTTACGTAAATACTCATTGGCACATAGTTATAAAGTACCCAATAATCACCGCGTTGAGCAATTCTAGCTTCCAATGACTTGTCGTTACACTTTATTATGTCTTTCAAGCTTAATGGCGACGACACTGCAGCCGCCGATGGCTGGACCAGAGGAGAGCTCTGAAAAAAAAAAGCAAATAAAATAAATACTAATGAAGGAAGAAAAAGTTGAGAAAAATCAACAGCCTCAGAGATGGTAAATGAAAATTTATAGTCAGAAAGATCAACATAAACAACAATCAATTACCAAGTCATTGACATCAAGCACTCACCTCTTGACCGGAAAGGAATAAAGAAGAACTTTGTGCGGTCTCTGATTTATGGCTCGTCTGTTCTTTATTTTCAATCGTCTTAGAAGCTTCAATGCTCTCCGTAGGTTTATTTTTACTGTTTGAAATTAATTTTCCGAAGAATCTTCCTTCAATGCTGTTCAACAGTCGTGACGTTATTTGGCTACTTTGATTATTATTGTTGTTGTTGTTATTATTATTATTATTATTATTGTTATTATTATTATTATTATTACTGTTTGTCTGAAGTTCATTAGAAGCTTCTGAAGAGTTTTCCCAGTTGGAGGCATCTTCGATCCAAGTTCCTGACCGAAAATGAACGCAGATGTACAGCAGTACGCAGATGTTGAAAACTACGGACAACCGCAAGGCCCAATTTCTTCTCACTATCATGCTGATTTTATTTTTAATACAGTTGCCAATTTATTCGTGGAAATATTCGTGCTAAGATGTTCCAGGCATCTTTCAATTTATTTATTGATATAGGTGCTCCAAGTGAAGCCGGCTCTTTATAATTACGTTATTCACCTCCTGGCCCTGTAATACAATTATGATATTTATTATTAAAAGAGACCATACAACAGCAATGACTTTCAAGCTAATGTCTATCTATATTTTATTCAAAGCGAAACTTGTCAATTATATTGATTATTGTGTCTACACTACTTATTATAATTCAAACGTAATAATATTATCATCTTCCTGTTGAGAATTATTATAATTACCAAAATAATTAATACAAGGATCGCTTTTGTTTTTGTTTCTGCTATTTCGCAAAAATAAAAGCCTATTATTAGATTATTACAATGCTAAGCGACAATTTATTCAAGTTAATAATTATTACATAGTTTGAGCGAGAAAAATATTGAGCAACAGACTGACTGCACAAATTACATTGGCTGATAATTAAATGAGTAAGAGAAATCTTATTCTAAGAAATCGAGGTCTATTAGTCAAGGTTCTTGGAAATATATTTCAAATAAACTGGAAATTACCGGTGGTGTAAAAAATTTTTAAAACAAAAAAAAAAAAAAAAAACACATTTGAGTCGACTGTTCGAGAGGATACAAAAATAACGGAAGTAGACTTCACTGCCTATATTTGATAAGTAATCTCCTGGTATCTTCAACGTCCGTTCTTATTTCGTCAGTTTATTTTATTTTTTTTTTAATTTTTTGCCCTCACCGCTATTTAATACTAATCTATTTATGTGAACAATAACGCTCAATTATTTCAGTAAAAAAAATTTAATTATAAAATAATTGATACTTGTATAATGTAATATAAATAAAAGTAATATGTAGTACAAGTAATGGTATTTAAAGCCTTCAAGGATTATTGCACATGAAGATGTGTATCCGGTAAGCACCGGTGAATCATCTATACCTTTCTCTTTTTTTTTTTATTCATATCACAATCGTTATTGTTCAATTATCCTGTTACACTTTTATTTTTATTACTGCACTTTGCGTTTTAAAATAAAATGATAATTAAATTCACGATAAGTAATGCTAATTTAATTCAGTTACTTCACACGTGGTTAAATAGAAATACCGGAAAAAAAAAAAAAAAAAAAAAATAAGTAGAATTTTTTTTTTGTAAGTATGCAAAGAAGAGGATAAAATCCGAGCGAAAGCGATTTTGATGGAAGCTTTCTCCACAAAGCGTTTCTCTAGTTCCGCTAGACCAATATTTTTAATTACAATACTCAAATATTCAATGACAAAAAAATAAGTCTCCGGTTACCTAAATTTTTTTTTTTTGACCTTTTGTAAGAATAAAATTTTATATTTAAATAAATATTAACTACTGAACTTGTTGTATGTCCAACACTTGAAACTCTACTAATAGTTATTCAAACAAATAGAAAAGATTTAGTAATGAAAAACTCGTTTTTTATCAGGCAATCTCTAGATAAAATAACTACTGAGCTTACTAATAGAAATATTTTGAGCTGACCTAAACCTTACGATAAAAAATATTTATCATAATGCTTGTACATTGGTATCTGATTAAAATTCCCAGACGTGGGTCATCAGCACATTCTTTAAAGAAAAAAATTCCGTTAGGTCATCATGCTAAAATGAATCAGGAGAGCTTGAGGTTGTGCGAGTAGCATTTGTGTACATAACACAATAAACATACTTATGAGTGATGAATTGTTAAAATGTTGATTTAAAATTCTAGAATTTAAAATTTTTGAGCTTTCTGCAGGATGAGGTCACACGCAAAACCGTTAATCTTACGTTAAGCTTCCTGGCGTGTTGACCAAGCGTCAAATAGTAGATAGATAGTTCATACATCATCAACAGGCGCATGTGCAATTACGTTGGTTTGGTATGGTGTATGGATATAAATATACAGATATGTATGTATGTATGTATAATATATAACGTAGTCACGAGTCCAGGTTAGCACGACACATTTTATCAGGTTTAAAGCTTCAAACTTTTAATCCATAATAACTAGTAAACCCTGAGCAGTGTACTTGTTTGTAATTAAATAATAAAAATCAATTACCCTCACCTGAAATATATCACAACTTTTAAAAACATATTTCATTTTAAATAATAGACTTTACTTTGAATTATTTATAAACCAATAATTTATTTACACTTGAATAGTTATGATAAAAGAAATATATTACGTGCTTTTATATATATATATATATATATTACCTTGCAAAGAAGAACCAGCGCATACTTGATGAATGAGTAAACAGACACTAATATAATACAATTATCACAATTATTTGTTCTTTATTTTTATAAAACTTTATTTAAATCTGGTAATAAATATGACAATTGTTTGATCGGAATGCTCGTGACAATCCAATAATAGGTAATCTGATGAACGGCTTAGATTAGATAAGATTAAATAAAAATAAAATTACAACCGATGTCAGAAGCACCAGAGTGTTGGCTCAGTCACTTTCAGAATCAACGATACCACTCTCGACATCAACTTCGTCGCCGGTATCACTTGTCGTCGTTCCGGCATTCAATATATACTGATGATCTTTGGATGTTAGCTCTCGAGTCTCAGTCTTAGGTTTTAGTCTTGATGGTCTTGCATTGGAACTGGAGTCTGATATAAAACGATCACTACACAACCTTACGCACCACTACTTTTAAAAACTAAAGTCCAGTCTTGGTCTTCTGTACTTCTGTATCACACAACATGTAGCAAGAAATGCCCCTGCTATGGAAAGGAGCTCTGATCATCACTCATTACTTGTTGTTTTTTTTTTTTTTCAATTTTTTATGCGTGTGATATCCCGGACGTTGACTCCCGTGGTAGTTCTTCTTCACAAAAAATAAAAAAAAAAAAAAACCACCAATACCAGCACACGGAGGATGCGTATGAAAACCAGTAGAGATTATAACACGTCCTCGTTGTCAAGGACTTTCAGTTTAATTACACTTTCTTCACCAGTAATAAAATCATTTCATTTATTTGTTCGTTTCTTCACCAATAAAACTATAAATACCAATTAAATAAATATTCTAATTTTAGTTTCATCGTACTTACATTTTTTATTAAAAATTTTTTTTTAATTATCGTTCCTAAACATTCAACTAGACCAGTTCACTCGTAACATTATTATCTTTTAGCAGCAGTGATGATACAAAATAAAGATGTTACAAAATATTTCAATGAATTATATTATTTTAATATTAATTAAATCATGTGGGCTCACAGAAAGTACTAAGGGTGTATTTGTATTTTGGCATTGCTCTATACTCACTACTGGTCAAGTAAAGCCTATGATTCTGATTCTGACTCTGACTCTGACTGTGGCTGCGGCTCTGGTTCTGGTCTGGTGTGCTCGTCTACTTGTCTGGATATCCACCCCACTCTTGATCATCAATGCAGCCTGACAACCAAACTGATAGGGAGGTGTGTGTGCAGCTGTAGAGCACACGCAACACCACACCGCTCACACCACCAGAATTCGATCACCAACCCGGCAAGTGTTATTCCTTGAAGACAGAGAGCACCAATGTCTATGGATTTATTAACTAACAAAATATCTACCTTACCGATTTGATAATTTAAATATAACTGACACACTATACTATATCAGAGAGTAAGCACGTGATTGGTTGCTAATTTAAATTTTAAAACTTTCTACGGTACATTGACATAAAGCTGGATCGTATTTCAATGTTATTAAATATTAAATGTCATAATTGCTTGTTCATGTTTTTTATGGTTTGTTATTTAATTTGATATCCCCATCAAAGCTGATATGGTTGATATTTTTTTATATTTGATCATCAACAATCGAGCTCCTTTACTCTGTCACGGCAGCTAGTGGTAGTGGTAGTGGAGTAGCGCTGTATTACCCTTCTACCCTTGTTATTTTTTGTTACAACATCCCTTACCTTGAGGTGTATAGACATGTCCAACTTGTTATTTGTAATTTATGTATATAGTATTAAATATCATTTTGTATTACACACGGCTGTAGTATAAACTAAACTTGTCAATAAAATGTAATTAATAATGACAGATAAATATATTATGACAAGGGTTGTTTTATAATTTTTATCACAATGTTTGTATATCAAAAGGTAATAAATATTTACTTTTTTAGTTAAGTTAATTGATGTAATTTTAATAAAAAAAAAAAATATTTATACTTTGTAACAGGACTATTTAAAAAGTATGAGCAATTCGAGATGTTGGTGATGATATGTAATAAGATACAGCATGCTACGGAAGAGGATAATAATCAGTAAGCGACATAACAATTAATGTCAATTTAATTATTAAATTGTTTAAACAGAGTATTATTATTCTCATAATTGTTGTCTTTAAATTTCATCAACAGACGGTGCAATGTCAAAAAGATTGAGCTTTTTTATTCTAGTCGGATTAACATCACTTTGTATTCTTGTACTAATATTTAATCAACGTTATTACAATATCATTGAAAATCATATCCAGCCCATTATATCGGTTAGTAAAATTAATTTATATTTATTGGAAGATATTAAACACTTGCACGAAATAATAATACCATATTCACCGCAAAGCACACGTATTTTATTGTAAAAAATATTTTTAATTGATAATTACTTGATTATTTGATTAACCACGTGAATAAACTTAGGATTTTATTGTTCACACCAAGTGTTTATTAGTCGCACAATCATTTGGCTTTATACACTTTTTATTACCCACTGTTTTATGTTATGTGAATGTAGGATGTGGAGATAAGGTCTCGGAATAACGTCAAGCAACATCAAGACCCATTTACGGTGAGTTGTTATTGCCGATCATATTAAATTCAATTAAAATTAGTATTGCCATTTTAAATTGAATAGTTCAATAAATCGCTCATTAATCTTTTATTTTATTTGACATTAAATTTTATTTATTTATTTCACTTTAACAAAGATTTTTTCGGAAAGAATAAATCTTTCATTCTTGGAGATTCAAGATGTTGTTGATCAACAGCGAAGTAACATCGAACGCGATATGGAGAATTATGAGTATCCTAACGGAAAATACGGCCTCAATATAAGGTATATTTTGTTATATTTTATTCAAATAAATTTTAAATACTTATATAAACTTTTTTTTTTTTTTTATAGCCATTTAGATGATTTAGTAATGGAAAAAGGTGGAAGACCTATTAGAAGTGTTATTCTTGCTAATTGGCGAAGTGGGAGTACATTTGTAGGTGATGTTGTCAATTCACACCCCGCTAATTTTTATCATTACGAACCATTGCTTGATTTTGGAATTGTACAAGTTCGAGGACCACCCTTAGCTCAATCCGCAATTGTTAATATTTATGCGTTATTTAATTGTGAATACAATAAACTACGTAAGTAATTTTTTTTAATATAATTTTTATAATGATTTTATTAATTTTGGTATTTTTTTTATACAGAAAATTATTTAGACTTTGGAAAAACTCACCCTTGGGTTTTCAATCACAATACACATTTATGGACACAGTGTGTAATTCATAGAAAAATATGCTGGGATCCATTGTTTGTTACAAAATTCTGTCGAATATTTCCATTTCAATCGATGAAACTTGTGCGATTGAGATTGAGAATTGCTCAAATGTTACTGGAGGACAGAAGGTATCAACTAAACTTAACACAACCGGTTTATTATTTCTTATCAAAATAAAACAATTTATGAATTTAGCCTTGGAGTTCGCATGGTTTTATTAATAAGAGACCCGCGAGGACTGATGCAATCACGTAAGCATCGGAATTGGTGTCCAGATAGTCCTGATTGTTCAGATCCAGCACGTGTTTGTGCTGACATGGTGTCTGACTATGAAGTTGCTGTACGACTTAGAGAAAAATATCCTCGTAATTTTAAGTATGAAATTTTCATTAATAATATTTTTACTTAAAAAATTATAAGTAATTGATTATAAGTAAATTTTATTTTTAGAGTCTTACGGTATGAAGATTTATCTGTTGATCCGTTTTCAAACGCCAAGGAGCTGTTTGAATTTTACGGTCTAAACTTTCATTCTAACGTCAAAAATTTTTTGGAGACCCACACGAAAAATGATTTCGGTGGTGTTTCGAGTACTTTTCGTAACTCAAAAGCCGCACCATTTCACTGGCGCAATGACCTTGACTTTGAGGAAGTTGAAGAAATTCAAAGTGTATGCTCAACTGCTATGAGGTTGTGGGGCTATGTACTAGCTCTCAACGAGACTCACCAAAGAGAATTTAATCCCATCGCTAAGGATTATCAGCCTTTATAATAATAATAATAATAATAATAATAATACTTGCAATTAATTTTTTTTTAACAATGTAAATTCCTATTTATCTTTTAAATCCACGCTCGTACATTCCCTAGTCAAAAGCTAATTTACAAGCAAAATTTATTGCTCGGTATTTATTTATTCCCTACAATTTTTAAGGAAAATATTATTTATTTGATGTATTTGATGTTAGTTCAATTTAAAGATAGAGTAGAGTAATATTAGATTATACATCATGCAGGTTTTAAATCCGTCTTGAATTTTTAAGAAAATAAAAATAAAAAAACGCCTAAAAGTGCCTGCTATGGTCTTTACAGACCTTATTTGTACTAAGTTACCAGAAACATGCTAATAATAGGTATTTATTGCATATAAATTAATAGTATTTTAAATATTAACTTGAAATTTTTTTATTTTTTTACACATTTATTTTCGATGCGAATAACCACTTGTTTATTCTGTTGATTGTGATGATAATTTTATAATTGTAAAAAGTTATATTTTAATAAGTTTAACTAAAAAAATGAATTGATTGTTTATTTTATTTATTAGACAATATTCGGAAAGAGTTAATTTTTTGTAATACACGTTTTTTTGAAAGAAGTTATAAGGCTGTCAACAACTTTATAATTAATTAATAAAATCTTTTATTATTTTATTAATTGATTATTCGGTGTTTGTATTATAAATTATGTGTAATTATTAATTATGTAATAAAACAAAAATGCTTTTAAAATTTTCAACATATCATTGATGGTGACACAATGGATTCAAAATTAATATTGATAATAATAATAATAATAATTGTCAAAAATACGTAAATTTAAATTATAAGAGAATTGACACAATGATATGCAAGAAGAAATAATTAACCAAGTGATAGTAATCTTTTTTTCACGTAAATTTTTTGTATAAATAATATATATCAAAATAATTGTTTGTGTGTTTTACTTTAATCACTAATTGTACAAAAAAAAAAAAAAAAAAAAAAAAAAAAAAAAAAAAATGGTATTAATTTTGTGTATTGTTTTAATTATATAAATATTAATAATAAAAAAAATTCTCACTATTAATAATTAAAGTTTTCTTGAATATTTTTATCGAAAAAGGTATTTATTTGCTCTGATGTATATAGGGAACGAACTTGTTACACTTATTGTAAGATAAAATAATTAGTGACCTCGGTTTTTAGAATTATCAATCCATTTTCAATAATAATCACTATCAACGGCTTACTTTTTCTATAAAAATGTCACAATATATTTGTACAATATATTTAATCTGTAATCTAAACAAATTATTGTTATCAAATTAAAGTACTGAGGAAAAACTATTTAAAAATTTCTACACACACACATAAATATATTTATTATAAGTAAACAAACATTAATTGTATTTGAGTTATGAAACTATTTAATTATTAATATATAAACTGGTTTATTTCACCACGTGGTATGTACTGCAACTCTCAATTGCATTTATAATAATTTATATTCAATATGCAGTTGTTTCATGTTAATACTATTTGTGGGTCAGATCTACGATAAACCAGTTGAGTCTCTTTTATTATAAAACAAAAAAACAACAATTGTATCTAGTTCAATTCATTATTTCATTTTTACTACTTTTATGTTTCAATTACTTCATTATTTCATTGATGCAGTGTATATAGTGTCTAATCTTTTAAACAAATTATTATTTCAAGAGTAAGCACGATAAGAGATGCTTGCAACTATTTGATACGAAATGTTCATACGAAATACAGTAATTAGTATGTGAAAGTTTTATTATTATCAATTGTTTTATTATTTTTATTTTATTTCTTCAATTATATTTTATCAGGTCAACAATCGGATAAATTAATTCGTTCAACTTTTTTCAACAGTGTTCTTCTTTTGATATTTCTTCACTTATCGGTTAGTAAAATTTATCTTCTTTATATTAATTGTTACACTGAGAGAAGAAATTGATTTATTAAAAAGAAATTTCTTATTATTAATAATTATTGTATCAATTAATGAAGAAAAAAAATTTTTTTTTTTTTAAATAGAATGCAGATATACGTTTGAGAAGAAATGTCAATAAGTATCCAGATTTACTAGAGGTTAGTAATTGCAATCATCTACACAATCCTCGAAAAGAATATACTTAAATTTCCTATTATTAGATTCCATCAGAGGGAAGAAATAAATCTTCAGTGATTGAAGATGTTCTCAATCGACAGCAGCGTGATATTCAACTTAGTATGAAGAACTACAAGTACCCCAAAAGCAATCATGGATCGAATATCAGGTATTTCATTACTTCTACCATGAAATCAAAAATTAAATGTGAATTATTTAAATTTTTTTAGCGATATTGATGACCTGCTAATAAACAAAGGTGGAAGACCATTGAGAAGTGTCATCCTCGGTTATTGGCGAGGTGGAAGTACTTTTCTTGGTGAAATACTAAACTCACATCCAGCAAATTTTTATCATTTTGAACCGCTGCTAGATTTTGGAATTGTAAGGATACGAAGTCCTCCTTTGGCAGAAGAAGCAATCGCTAATCTCATTGCATTGTTCAACTGCGACTATGATAAATTACGTGAGTTGATAAATATACTGTTGATATTTTAAATTAATTATGAGTGATTAATTTTTTTTTTTTTTATCTGTAGAGCATTATATTGAATACGGAAAAACTACCCCTTGGGGCTTTAAATACAATCCTCGCTTGTGGAAAAATTGTGAGACTTATAAAAATATTTGTTGGGATTCTAATTATCTAAGAGAATTTTGTCGATTGTTTCCTTTTCAATCGATGAAAATTTTAAGATTGACATTGCAAATTGCTCAAGTTTTGCTGCAGGATGAAAAGTATGTAAATTTTTTTAAATTTATTTCTTCTTTCCCATTAATACGTATGTTTAATAATTTAGACTTGGAGTTCACATGGCATTATTAGTAAGAGATCCACGAGGACTGGTACAGTCACGCAAACATCCAAAATGGTGTCAAGATAGCCACGACTGTTCAGACCCAGCACTTTTATGTGCTGACATGGTGTCAGACTATGAAATCGCCACTCAGCTTAAAAAGAAATATCCACATAGCTTCAAGTATCGCCTTTACTATACTTACTCCAAATTTATGTAGTTACTTGTCAGGTTTATTAATTTAATTTAATGGTTCTTCTAGGGTGATTCGCTATGAAGATCTATCTACTGATCCAATCTCTGAATCAAAGGAGCTGTTCAATTTTTATGGTCTCAATTTTCACAGTGACGTACAGAATTATTTAGAGACTCACACATTGAGTGACTCTGGTGGTAAATTTAGCACTTTTCGTAATTCAAAAGCTACTCCATTTCATTGGCGTGATGATCTTGACTTTGAAGAAGTTCAAGAGATTCAACGTGTTTGCTCAACTGCTATGAGACTGTGGGGTTACGCGATGGCTGCTAACCAAACTCATCAAAAAGAATTTAATCCAGTTATTAGAAATTATCGTCTTCTTTGAATGTTTATTGTAAAATAATAATAATAATAATAAAATAATCAACAGCTTCAATAAAATTAATTTTTACTTGATATCAATAATTTAAGGATATGAATAAATGTTAAAAGTAATAAACAAATTTATATTCATTTGTTTTCATATTTATTTTATAGTATTCTACAACTTGTTTGTTTATTAATTTTTTGTAATGAATTTTCTATCCAACCAAGTGGGAAACATCAAGTCGATTGTTGTATTTATGAATCCAGATCCACAAAAGTGTTTTGTAAAATTGGAACACTGTAATAATGAAATAAAAATCTAATGAAATAATGGATAAAAAAAAAAAAAAAAGATCAAGTTTTTTGATTTTTAATATGTATCAGTGAGGGCAAGAGCTAATCATATACGAATATCATTATAGCGTATATATTTAAATCATCATGTTTAAAAGTAATTATTTTGATTAAAAAAAAAATATAATAAAAAATTCAAGTACCTGTTTATAAGATTGGTGTTGTTATTCAATAAATTGTGAATTGGAATCTGAAAGATAATAAAACGATCGTTAGAAATCATGATTGATTTTTTAAAATAAATTTTTATAATTTATTAATATAATCAGATCCTAAAAAACATCAACAGTAATCAGTTATATGCTTGTCAATTTAAAGCATCATTTTAATAAATAATATAAAATTCAGATTAATATTGTTTAAAATTTTCTTACCGATTATATATCATTAACGAAAGATTCCTTTGTTGAATGAATTTTTAGCTGCAATTCAAACTGTAACAAATAATTTCATTAATAATTAATTATTGCGAACAGAGAAAAAAAGATAACAATTTTTTTTGTTTAAAATTTCTTTCAGGATTCCACGTTTTATCACCACGTACTCATGTAAGACAGGGATAACTTAAAAATTCATCATACTAATTGCTTCAAAGATAGGAATAATAATTTAATCATCAAGATAAAAAATACATACCGATTTCTTTATTTTCCATCGAAGCTATCTTCAGTTGAAGTGTAGTTCCTCCATTTGAACTGTAAGTAAAAAAAATGTAATTAAATAACTAGTTAATAATAAAAAGAAAAAAATTTTTTTTGTTTAAAATTTTTTTTTTTCAGGATTCCACGGTTTCTCACCACGTATTTATGTAAGACAGGGATAACTTAAAAGTTCATCATATTAATTATTTCATCGATTGGAGTAATTAAATTATTAATTTAATAAATACATACCGATTTATTCACTTTCCAGCGAACTCATCTTTGGTCCGAACTGGAAATTATCTGTAACAATGAAAAATTTCGATGAGTAAAGAATTTATTTAAAGATATTTATTAAAAATGGTTAGATTGATAGAAAAAAATCAGTATAATAAACCAATCAGTCATGAAAATTCAGACTGGGGCGGTAATAATTAACATCATATTGAATCGACAGAAATAATAAATTATTTAATGTTTTAAATACTTACAAGTTAAAAAGCAATCAGCATTTTAGATTCCAGATTCCATTTTTCAAATTTCTGACTCTGTAATGAATAAAAAATTTTTAATGACGAAATAAATCAAATAGAATGATAAGAAAAGATTAAAATTATATTTTTTAATCAGCGAGGGCAAGTGATAATCACATACAAATATCATAGCGTATATTTTAATAACATCATATGAAAAAAAAGAAAGGTTCAACATGTTAAATTTGTAAATTAGTGAATAGTACCTGATAGCATGGTTCCTCTCTGCAAGCAGCAAAATGGAGTCCAGCAATTCCCAAAAATTAATTCTGAAAAATAAAAAAAAATATGATTTACAATAATGACTCAATCTTTTGAACAAGTTAAAGTTATGAATTTTAATATCAGATAAAGAATGACATCAAAAATAATCAGTCATATGCTTGTCTATTTGAAACATCATATGAGAAAATATTAAGTTGTTAAGTAATTCAATTATAGAATAGTAATCAAGTTTTTCTTTAATAAATTCTACATACCAATTCAGTTTTTCATCCGACCTCCATTAGATTGAGTCTTAGCTCCAAAATTTTAGTCAACGAAACATCATCTGTAACATTCGTAAACTTTTATTAGTACAAAAAATTTTTAAAGGCATCAATTGTTGATATAATTAAAAATAGGAATAAAAAAATCAGTAAAGACCAATCAGTCATGAAAAATCAGACTGGGGCGGTAATGTTAACATCATATTGAAAAAATAAATCAAAATTAATTGAAAAGTAAGATAAATTACCATTTTTCAGTAGAAGTGAATCATATCTGCAGGTTTAACCTCAGCCACGTGGTTTCCGCATTGAAAATCTTGGCAATCCTACAAAATTAAACGTATTAAATATTTTATTCAATTTTCTAATAAATAAATTACATTAAAAAGTAACTAATTTGCTCAGTAATATTCCTTAGAATTCGTAATCATGATTAATCATACGAACGAGACAAATAACTCATCACAGTCAATGAAAAAAATTATTATTATTCAATAAATATTAATAAAAAGTAAACCTTGATGATATTAAAAATTAATTAAATTGATAATCATTAAAGTTAGCTAATTAAATTGAAGGATGTTTAAAGATTTTATAGAAGTATGATGAATGCTTACCATTATGTGATTTTACTGATGACGACTGGTGAGCCATGATGCGTCTCCCTGAAGACTTGTCGAGAAATAGAACGAACACTTGAAAATTACACCGGGGAATGGAACCATAACGAAATGAGAAACTGTAACTTGCGCCATCTTTAATTTCTCTCTCAATCATAAATCAAAATGGCTGTCATTTTTAAAGTTTCACATATTTAGGTTCTTTTTATCATACTTAGGTAGCAACAGAAAATTTTTTGGCAATTATATAAATTTATTCATAAAAATTTTTATGATAATAATAAATCATTGCTGAAAGTAAAGAAATAATGAAGTAAGTTCATATTTTAATTTTTGTAGCGTTTATTTATTTATATTTTTCTTTCTCAATTTTGTAAAAGTTATATTGTTTTCATCACCCAGATTTTTGAAAACATACTTCTTGCCAAGTTAATTAACCATTATATAAAATTTTTTAAATTGTATAATAAATTCGCAGAGCAATGAAAATTATATGTACATTTATATTCGTGATGTTTATTGCAGATTATTTGAACGCTGGCATTTGAATATGGCACAATCATCAATATGACTTTACAACTCTAAAAGGTTATTTACTCAAGGACGTTTATTAAACGACTAAATAAATCAAAATATATTGACAATTTAAATATTTATTAGAGAGAATATATTAAAGATTGTGTCAATTAAATTTCCGTTAGCTGAAATCAAGTACATGTTGTAATTGATAGAGAAGCTAATTAATAATAATAAAAAAAAAAAAAAAAAAAAAAAAAAATTGTATTAGAAAAAGAAGATATGAGTTTCAACAAAAGTAATAGAAATTAAAAGTATCCTTTCGTTGAGTCAATAATTATTCCATCTTTATGAATGAGAAATGTTAATTCTCACCTTATCTGAAAATAATTAGAGCACAAACTAAAAAAAAAAAATTTAGCAAATGACATTGACGTACACGTCTTTGAATTAAAAAAATTATTTTCATTTACAAGTCAATATCAAGGTTTCTAGTGCATGAAGTCATTGTACGCTTTAGTGATTCCTGGGATTCGTAAATCCATCTATTAAAAGTCTTACTGAAAAATAAAAATATCAAGCTTTAATTTAAACATTAATTTAAAAAAAAATTTTCTAAATTGCATTTATTATTATTATTATTAAATATCTCATAATGTGTAACCTGATTATTTAGACTTCGGCGCAGCGGAATTATATTTTAATTTGCATCAATTTAGTGATGCACAAAATGAGAAGATGAAACAAAAAGCACCTACAATAATGATAATAATAATAATAATAGGATAAAAAAGTAATTTTATAAATTAACAAAGTTAAATCAGCATTGTACAATTTATGTAGGTATATGTGTGTGTTTATGAAGTAACAAAACAACAACTAAGTGTCTTATTCTGGAACGCGAAAATATTTCAATTCAACATGTTACGTTTATGAGACCACGATGCAATGAGATAGCAGCTTAGACGTTATTACCAAATGCAGTGTTACATTCTTTCTTATTCCACATTATAAAAGATGAAAACGGAATCTTGAATAATCAAGTCCGTCTAAGAGGGGAAAAATAATAAAACGTGGGTAGTAAAAGTTTTATAACAGCGTAATTGCTTGTCTAGTGTGAGACTCTATTCAAATATGTCCCACGACTTATACTCTCATTCTCTCTTATTCTCTAGGAGCCAAGGAAATGAAAAAAAGATAAAAGAAGATTCTTCGCACGTTGAAAAAATAATCATTACATTACATTACATTACATTACATTACATTATATTACATACTCTTTCACTTTCCATATTAAATTTTTTTATAAATATAATTAGTTGTTTCCTGAATCAAATACTTTTAATTAAAATTCGATTCTAAAAAAGATCATTCAGTTTCCGAAATTCAACAAGATCTATTGTAAAATAACTAGTAAAAAGAGTTGAAAGCTTACTTTTTATCATTATTTATGTAAGCTTTTCATGAAATTCGACCTCATGAAGTTCGGAAGAAATCTTTCAACGCATCCTCTATTTAGCCGCACGAAGATGTTGTTAAGATCTTCTATAAAAATAAAAAATTTACTAGAATATTTGTTATCGCATATAACTACTAGGGGTGTGCGAATATCGTTCAAATCGAATCGAATCGAATCGAATATTGATATTCGATTCGAAATTCGAACCGAATAATTCGAATTTTCGAATTAATCAACATTCGATGAATAATTCGAAAATTCAAATTATTCGATTCGGAACGAATAATTTGTAAGTTCGAATTATTCGCACACCCCTAATTTTAAACCCTAATCTAGTTAACTCTTGATAAGTCTTGATAAGACTTGATAGCATAGCCACGCGGACATGTAAAAATGAAAACTCTAAATTTCTTCCAAGTTACTAATCTAATCAACTGTTTGGCCTAGAATCCTTGTAGAGAATGTGAAAACGATTCAATTGGTACATAAAAATGATTAATAATGAACTTATCGACAATTTCAAATACGGGTGTGCGAATATCGTTCCAATCGAGTATATTGATATTCGTATCGAATAATTCGAGTTATTTAATTAATCGAAATTTGACGAATAATTCGTAATTTTTCGAATTATTCGTCGAATTTCGAATAATTTGAAAATTCAAATTATTCGATTCGAATTTTGAATCGAATATTAATATTCGATTCGATACGAATAATTCGTAAGTTCGAATTATTCGCACACCCCTAATAACTACGTATTTGTAATTCTTTGCTTCCTGATTAAAGTACTTTTAATTAAAATTGGATAAAAAAATAATGTTAATGTTAAATAATCACGTAGCGTATTAAAGGCTATAGCAAACATTTTATAAAATTCCGGTAATAACATTAATTAATTTATTTAATTTTAAATTATAGTATTTAACTGTAATTTAATACCAACTGATCTCTTAATTAAAATGAATGGTTAAATAATATACGCAGTTATAAAATTAATTCTATTGAGGAGCATTTAAAGAAATATTAATAGTAGCTTTGTGTATTTATGAAATAAATTTTTATTTTAAATAAATGCAAGAGTGTTTGTAGTAAAAAAAATAGTTCTTTTTTTTTCTGCGAGTTTTATTACAAACTTCCGGGATTTATTTAAGAATCATTTGCACTTGTATTTATTTTATTATATTTCCAATGCCTTTGGATTGAGCAAACTAATTGAGCTTCGTCGCATCCTTTGGCTTTCTCTTTACTCAATACTAATATACCAATAAAACATAACATTACGTTACATATTACTTTAACTGTACTGTGTTGATCGATCGGTAGTCAATAAATATTTTTACATCCGAGATTCTCATAACTTTGTTGCTCCGCTCTATTAGAATTTTGAATTATGCAATTGCTGTATGAAGATAAAAAATAGAATTCGCATGAGTTTTGCTGAAAGATATTTATTTAAAGTTATTAATGATTAATAATATCATTTGAAACAAATATTACGGATATATATTTTCTCTTTTTCTTAACACAGATACCAGTTATATATGTTATGCGTGTGTATAAAAGAGAAGATACACGTGGTCGGAGAAAGTGCATGAAATTACATAGTATGTTACTACTTATGCGTAAACATTAGTTTTAAATGTAAATATAAAATAAAAGACAATAAAAGTTATTTATATACTACTGTCGAATCCTAGATTTTGATAAATATAATTTAATTTTAAATTCAAAGCCTGCAAGACTCACAAAAGGTATTCATGTGTCATCACTGTGATTAATTTAATATCATACTTGGACTTACAATATGCAGGGTATTTACTTATAGTACATAAAATTATACTATTTTTTTCAATAGATTTCATTTCAAATTTAATTACAGAAGTATTATATTGTCAGGAAGTCTCGATTTCATGTATTTTTTTATTTATCTAGACACTTAATCATAATTTTTTGTCTTTCAGTAATTTTTCATGTCTCTAGAGGTCACAGTGTGATTAAAAATAATGAAGGTCTTGCGCTATAGTGGTCGAAGTCAAATAATTAATTAACAAAAGAATTCTTTTTACGAATAACTATTTTTTATTATAATCAGTTATATTGAGATTCTTCTTACATATTAAAAAACAAATTATCTATTTTCTTCTAATTAATATAAAATAAATATATCACTGAAGAACGTTGTAAAGTGAATAAGAAAGTTTTACCAGCTGAAAAAAGCAATATATTTTATTAAATAAATTGAAAGTAAAATACATAATGTTTTTATAAAAACATACTTGATTGTAGGAATTAAGAGATACGTCAATAAAACATTGAGAGATACACCAATAAACTTTTTTGAGTACCGAGGCTCAAAATGTACCAATCAGATTGATAAACGGCCATCGCTACATCGCAACTCTATATTAAATTTATTTAGAGTTATTATTTTTTTGATAAATTACACTAAAAGTATATTTTACATACAAGTGAAATAAATAACTGTTGGTATTAATTTTGGATGATTGACACCGATGTGAGATAATCTATAAACTGTCACGCATATAACAATCGCGCTTATTGAAAATTGTAAAAAAATAATTGAACTGAAAATTTTATTTGTAATTTCTACAAACCTGAAATAGAAAATAAGAAAAATACATATTGATAAAAATATTTTTATCAGAGTATATGCTTAACTGGAATATTTTTAGGTGGTGTTTAACACATTTTGAAACTTGATTTATTTCTCTCAGTCTAATATTATCAAAAGAATCAGATGAATAAATATTTTTGGGTATTGAATTCAATCTATACTCAAGAATGCGCATAATTGGGCACAAATTTTCAGCATAAATCCCGGTATCAGTGTGTCATACGCAACGTTGACTAGTGCCCCAAAAAGATGGGCGAAAATTTGATGGCAGTAAGCTATCCAGTATCCAACGTATGTTGTCGAATATCATATGGCAACTATGTGTGAGTGATAAGGCAAGGACCGTTTTGGAACGTCACAAAGTATTGATACGATTGCTCCCATAGCTACCGAAGATTCTGTTAAACCAAGGAACAACTATTTGTTAACTCACTTTATAGTTGTATCGATTTTATCTTGGATAAGTTTTTCTTGTTCATTGCGATAACAGCACGGATATGTGTTGAGGATGTTCAACAACCGCAAAATATCTTTCCGTTTCACAATAACATTGGCGATTTTTCTACAAACTCCAACCATTGTCAGCGAACGCACTAAATTATAAATAAATTGCTCAAGAGTATTATAGCTTGCAAAAAGCGCAATTAATTCAAATGAGACACATGAGTAAATAAAAATAATCATTAAAGTAGTATAAACAAAGTACAGAAATTTTTTCTATCCAAAAATGGATTCTACACTATGCCATAAACCTAAGCATTGTAAAATACCAAAGCTGAACGGCAGCAGCATGTTAATTATCTTGGTGATAACAGAAAATTATTTATATTACCGATTCGCGACTGGTCTTGGCTGATGCTGAATAAATAATGACAGCGAGTCGCCAAACTGTCTATACAATAATCTATAACATTTTATTCTTAAAGATAATTATTTAATTTATCCACCGACAAAGCGCTTGATAATTTTCTATTTCTTCCTTTTGGGTGATTAAAATAATTTGAGAAATTAAATATTAAAACAGCTATTACTGTTATTCTTATACCTGTAATTATGGATAAGAAGAAATGTATATACGTCTAAATTGTCATTATTCATCGATGGGGTATATAAATTTAGACTTTTTAACTTCTAAAACGCGCACTGTCATACATAATCAATAATTAATTATCTTTAATTAATATATACTATTGGCTACCGGGTTATTGTCTACTTCTTTGGAAGTATATTTGTTTCATGAAGTAATTGCTTTATTATCTACTGACAAAGGATTATTGAATAATTTTTATCAAGATTCGTACCCCTGATGTAATGAATAATAAAATCGACAATTATTACAGGGTATTATATTATCTACAGTAATAAGAGTCAGTATGTCTTCTTTACCGCTGAAAAAACAACTTCGGACAGTTTAATTACCTTTTTGAATGTCTCTCGCTATCAGGTTTTTTTAAGTGACACATTGGAGGCGTAGTGTATAATTTTTTAATTATTTACAAATAATTTTTTGAATTTAAGTAAAAGTGTCAATTTTTTTTAAATTATATACTTAGATCACTGAAGAACATTGTAAGCTGAGTAAGAAAGTTTAACCAGCTGGAATAAAAGTTTTTTTTCGATCTTTTTTGATTAAATATAATAAAAATAAAAAATACTCTTAAATTTAAAAAATATATACTTGATTGTACGAATTGAGAGATACGTCGACAAAATGCCCAGCGGTAAATTTAAGCGTTTTTTGACTACGCATCATTATCAACAATAGACTTTTTTGATTGTCTACATTCAAATTATACCAATCAGATTGATAAATGGCCGCAGCTACCTCGCTACTCTAAAAAATAATTGATTTTTAATCCAAAACGGATATATTATAAAAAAAAATATTTTTACCTTGAGATTACATTCGGTACTGGCGAAACAAATAAAAAAAATCTGTGTGAGCATACAAGTAAAATAGAATGCAGTGGGTGCAAATTCTGGGTTATCAATTGTTATTTGAGATAATCTATAAACTGTCACACATATCACGATGGAACTGATGGAAAATTGTAAAAAAGTAACAGTACTGAAGACTTTGTTTGTTATTTCAGACAATCTGTGGTAAAAATTTAACAAAATATGTAAACAAAATAAATATATATTTTTTATCAGAGTATATACTTTACTGGAATATTTTTAGATGGTGTTGGACACATTTTGAAATTTGATTCATTTCTTTCTGCTTTTTAGCATCCAATGACTTGGATAAGTTGTCGTTTTTGGTGAGCAGTAAACCTACTCTATGCTCTAAAATAGATAATTGGGCGCAAATTTTCAACATAAAACCTGGTATCATAGTATCGTAAGCGACATTTATTAGCGCTCCAAAAATATGAGCAAAAATTTGATGACTGTAAGCGATCCAGTATCCAATATTTGACGTTTTATAATTATATGGTAACCATATGTCAAAGGGTAATGCTCGATTTGGAGTATCACAAAGTATCGATACGCTTACCACCATCACCACTGCCGATTCTGTCATTATCAAGTAAGCTATTGTTCTCGATCTAAATTAAAATAACAATAACTAACAATATCTTAAATAATTCACTTTAAATATAATAATATACTTACTTGATAGTTTTGTCAAAAATTTTTTCAATAACTTTTTCTTTTTCATTTTGATAGCAACACGGATAACTTTCAAGAATCTCAATAAGTTGATCAATTTCTTTTTGTTTTACAATAACGTTGGCAATTTTACCGCAAACACCAACCATAGTGAGTAAAACAATTAAATTATTAATAAATAGCTCGGGATTATCAAAGGATCCAATCAGTGCAATTAATTCAAATAATACACATGAGTAAATAAATATAATCATAAAATTAGTGTATATGAAATAAAAAAATATTTTCCATGTAGAGTTGATCGAGTTTGCCGCTTGCCATAAGCCTAAACATTGTAGGATACCAAAGCTCCAGTGTAATAACATATTATATCATTTATTATATAATATTTGAGAATCAACGGTCTAAGGATATAAGCTCTAATAGAACAATAAAGATACGGCTTTGACTGGACTTGATTACTCCCGTGTTATACGCTACTATAATCATAGATAGTGAATTAATAATGATATACTTTCTACTTCTGGGGTTTCACATCTTAACAATAATTACGATATTATAGATTGATATTAAATTCAATATGGGATTAGGTTGGTATTAAATTTTAAGAATTATAAATTATTCAAACGGTCATTACCATTATCTTATTACAGATAATTATATAATTGTATAGTAACTAATATAGCATTTGTCTCGTTACTGACAATAACCAAAGGGTTAAATTTATTAGAATAGTTAAACTTACTACCTGACAAGTTACTGTAATGGGAATAATACAGCCGTATTTTCTGCAATATTTTTAAAATTCAATACTTAATTTATCAACGAAAAATCATCAAGGTATAGTATTATCAATTAAAAACAATATAATTCATTTAAACTTTATGTACATTTCTAATATTTTATTCTAGCCTATCATATTATCAAAGCCATCATTGTAAAATTTCCAGGTGTATTTTATACTGTGAATATATATTGATGCTAATTGATGATGATGGTTATTATTTCAGAACATTGTAAGCTGAATAAGAAAGTTTCATCAGCTGGAATGAAAATATGAGATTGGTAAAAAGAAGTGTATTTAGTGAAATAAAATTAATAATAATAATAATAATAATAATAATAATAATAATAATAAAAGTACAATAGTACTTGATTGAAAGAGTTGAGAGATACTTCAATAAAGTATACGCAGCGTTGAATTTCAATGGTTTTGAACTTCGAGTCATTATGAGTAATAACAAGCTTTTCTGTGAATCAATATCCAAATTATACCAGTTAGACTGATAAACAGCTGTTGCGATGCTTACACTCTGGTGAGTTTAATTTATTAGTAGATAGATAGATAGATAAAAATTTTATTTGTCTCTGGAATTTAAACTTCCTCATAGCCATCAGTATACAACATACATTTTGGTTTACGTCAATTTACATTTGTATATATATATATAATATAATATAACTCAGTACAAAATTTAATAATTAATTAAAAGTTTACAAATAAATTTAATTTTAAATTCCAATGGAATACAGATAGTACAATTTTAATGTTGTAAATAATTATTTTTAGTACCTTAATATTGCACTCGGTACTGGCGGCAATACAGACGTCAAAAATTTGTACGGTCATACACATAAAATAATCTACCATTGCAAAAAATTCTGGATCACTTATTTTAACTTGAGATATAGTGTATAAATTGTTATACATATTACAATAGTACTGATGGAAAATTGATAAAGCATGACAATACTAAAAATTTTGTTTGTTCTGTTGATTCTAATCTTATACATGCAAAAATCATATACATACAATATAAATTAAAAAAATAACAATGTGTGTTGATTCTTACTGAAGAATTTGAAGATGATGTTCAATGCACTCTGTAATTTTATTTAACTTTTCTTTTTTAGCTTTTAGTAAACTGGTCATAAGGATCAACATCCTTACACACTAAATCTAATCGGTGCTCTAAAATACTCAACTGCGCGCAAATTTTTAGCATCATCCCAGGGATTAAGGTATCATGAGCAACATTTACCAGTGACCCAAAAACTTGAGCAGTAATTTGAAAGACATAGGATGACCAGTATCCAATAGTTGATGAATCAAATGGGAGATATAATGTATCATAATACATTTCACAATTTGGTGTATCACGAAATATTGATACAACCACTGTGGTCAATACGGCTGACTCGGTAACTATTAGGAAAGTAAGAGTCCGATATCTAAGGATTTAAAATTATTTTTTAGTATAAAAATATGAATAAAAAAAAATGACAAACACTTACTTGATCTTACTATCAAATTTATCTTGGATTTTTTTTTTTTTCTTCAGCATCTTGATAACAGCATAGATGTGTTTCAAAAATATCAAGTAAATGTAAAATTTCCTTACGTTTAAGAATTATACGTTGAAAACTTTTCCACAAACACCAACCATTGTTAAGAAAATAATTGCGCTGTTGAGAAATTGTTGAAAACCAGTGTAACTGCTAATCAGTTCGACTGCTTCGAAAAATACATCAAAATATATATAAACCGCAGTAAAATAAGAGTGAAGAATATTTAAGTATAATCTCAATCCATGGTCATTTTCAGTCCGCCATAAGCCTAAATACTCCAGGATAGTTATTGAAAGCATTATTATACGTCGCTTTAAGTAAAATGTTATTATATATAGCTTTGTAGAAAATCGGTTTTTAAATGGGATTTTAACAAAGACTGAACACTAATACTCCCCTTTTACTCTGTTGCAAATAGTGAATAAATAATGGTAATAACTGTCTCCAAACTGTCGTCTACTGCTACAATATTAAATTTAAAAATAATTCTACTATTATCTTCTAACAAAGTTTAATAATTTTTTGTTTCTATACTGGAATATTTCTAATTTAACGATGAATATTTTAATAGACATAAATTATTTGAAAACTCTATAAAGGGTCCCTTTGTTACTGGGCAAAATTGTCAATCGAAAGGGATTATTGCTAAAAATAGTTAGTATATTTCCAACTTGTGAGTGAGTAACATAATAGCAAATTATGCTCGGAAGTAATTCAGTTCGTTCACATCACTTCTGATTGATAGTACTAAAGAAAAATAGTAATTTCCTGAATTTTAACTCTTTTAACATTTTATATCACAAGAAAATAAATTGATATTGTTGATTATTTGTTAAAAATATAAATCATAATAAATAATAAATATCTTTTTTTTTTTAACAATTCCTTCAAAATGGAATCAAAACTTATGAAGTAATTTTATTCTGTTGAGTAATTGTTTGATTTATCTGAAAGACAAACACTACATTGTACAGGTACAATCACTTGATGATTATTTTATAATGTTTATCTTTTTTACTATTACAGCAACAATTTTAGTCGTTTTAATTATGTTATTATCAAATCATATATATATATATATATATATTATAACAAATATATTATTGAAGAACATTGTAAGCGGAGTATGATAGCTTCACCAACTAAAATAACAATTAATTTCCACTTGAAACAAATTAAAAAAGTGATTATATAATATGATGAAATTAAAATAATACCTGATTATATGTGTTTAGAGATATTTCAACAAAAGATCCAGCCGTAAATTTTAACGGCCGAAGACTGCGTCTCATTATGAGTAATAAACTTTTTTGGGAACTGACACTCAAAATGTACCAATTTGTTTGATAAACCGCAGTAACTATATCATAACTCTAATGAATAGTAATTATTTTTTTAAACCAATCTATTATTGTTTGTATGTAATTGAATTTACCTTAAAACTACATTCGCTACTGGCTAAACAAATTATAAAAACCTGTAAAAGCATACAGATAAAATAACAAGCCGTTGGAATGAATTCTGGATGACTGAGTTGAATTTGCGATAATCTGTAGACTGTAACGCATATAACGATAGTGCTTATGGAAAATTGTAAAAAAATAACCGAGCTGAAGATTTTGTTTAGTATTTCAACTAATCTACATTCAAAAAATATCATTATTAATTGTAATTATTCAAAGTACCTATTTGTGTAAATATACTTAACTGAAATATTTTTAGGTGATGATCGACACATTTTGAAATTTCACTTATTTCTTTATTCTTTTTAATATCAGCAAGTGAATCATCGTTATAAACATTTTTGGATATCAAATTAATACGGTGCTCGAGAATACTCAATTGACAGTTAATTTTTAGTATCAGACTTGGAACAAGAGTGTCAAACGCAGCATTAACTGACGCACCTACAAAGTGTGCAAAAAATTGATGGCCATACGTTACAAAGTAACCGATGCTTGTGGTGGGATCGTATGGCACCCACACGTTATACGCCAGTGCTCGATTTGGAATATCATTTAACATTGACACACTCAGAACCATCGTAACAGCCGACTCGGTAAGTCCCAAGTAAACTATTGTTCTCAAGCTGAAATTAAAATTAATGATGATGATGATGATGATGATGATGAGTATTATCAATTGTATAATTTAAAAAAAAAAAAACTCACTTTATAGTTTTGTCATATTTATCTTGGATATTTTTCTCTTCATCATCTTGATAACAACACGGGTAAGTTTGTAAAATGGCTAATAAGTGGATTATTTCTTTACGCCTAGCAAGTACATTGAACATTTTTCCACAGATTGCAATCATGGTCAAAAGTATTATTGAGCTGTCAACAAACTGCTGTACGTCATTTATATGCTCGGTAATTGCTAATAATTCAAAAAATACGCAACAGGAGACTATTGTTATCCAAAAATATGAATAAATAATCTGTAAATATTTTTTCCATCCGGTAATATTTTCCAGCTTCCACAAACCCAGACCTCTGAGAATTCCAAAACTGTACGGCAATATCATACTATACTTATAAGATGCCTCTGATGGTTATTCTTTGGAGTTTAAACTTGGACTGGATACTTGTACTCCCACTTTGTCCTTTTGTAAATGTTGAATAATTAATAATATTATTATTATTATTATTATTATTATTATTATTATTATTATAGAGTCGCCAAACTGTCTACTCCTGTTTTTCTTTTTTCAGATAATTACTTCATTTCTGCAGTACCTCGAGTCTCTCTTGCCTGAGTAATTTGATACATTTCAAATATTAAAGCGGCTATTTCTGTCTTTTTGCAAGAAAATTATTCCGAACAAAGGGTTGTATATGAATATACTGTTGCAAATAAATAATTATTCATCGATGGGGTATAAAATTAGATATATGGTGACTTTTGTAACCAACTGGGGAGTATAGTTGATTCATAATATATAATTGCTTTACTATTATCCACCAAAGAGGGGTGGACAATTTTATTAATATCTATATTTCTGATGTATTAAATAATTAAAACGACTATTACAGGTAATTTCTACGAAACATAATAACATTGTCATTGCCATTGTCAACTGGAGGAGGAGGAATAATAGGTAATAGTCAGTATCATTTCTACCGTCGAACAAACACCATCTAATAATAAATTATTTTATATTATTTTACATCATATTTCATATGATAAATTTTAACAATTAATATAATTCAGTATTAACATCCGAGTTGGATTAAAAAAAAAAAAAAAAAAAAAAAACCGGACGGGAAGTTATAAAAAGTAACCCGTGATTTAAGTCTAATTAACAATTATTATTTTTTTTTTTTTTTTTTTTTTTTTTTTTTTTCCAGTGTCTTCAATTGTTTTCTCTTTATTTTGAAAGCGATATTTCAAGGACACTTCAATACGAAAAATAAAACAGTATCTAATATTCTATTTATATTTACGAAATTTATGATAGTATCATTTCACGCACAAGTATATGCTCATTTATTCGAAATTGCACAAGAACAACGTCTGCATAAAATACCTAATTCGGTAATATTGTTTTAAAAAATTAATAATATTATTTTTACAGGTATATCTTCGACGAGATCTAGAATGCAAATTGTTATGTTATGATGTTTTGACGTATGATTAATTCTCCGATGAGAGATTATAAAATGTATTTAAATTTGTTTTGTTGATCGTTGATGGACAAGTGAAGACAAGCCATGATTTTTCGAGGCTCTGAGATTAATGCAACGATCATCATTCAAATAATCGAACAACAACAACAACATCAAACTAAACGACATATTTGTAACGTCGAAGGAATTCAAACTCGAGGGTATGTTGGTTCTTTCGCAACTACGACATTGCGATCGAGATCTTGCTTCATTCGATACTTTTAACATCCTTCAGCAATATAATACCACTTTATGGCCTATACTAATATAATATCTACTGTCTATACGAAACTTGATGATGATCCTGCAAGTATTAGACGATGCACATATAAATATTCAAACTTTTATTTCAATTACACTGAAAGGTAAGTCGTGGAATTTTTTAAACTTTTAAAATTACTCAACTAATGACACAAATTTAAGACATTCACGTTTTCTCAACCATTTTCCAGTTGAACAAAAAGTATTGGTAATTTTTTTTTTTTTCTACCAATAAATTAATTATATACGATTTCGTAGCAAGTTGTCTTATTTACTTAATCTTATTTTTTTTTTTTTAATTGCAGCCAAAGCGCATTCACGCTATATATATATATATATATATATATATATATATATTTCTATTAACATTTTTTTCAGCTTCCTCTTTCTCTAATATATTACAATTCACCTATTATTTTTTTTTTTTTTTATACTTACATTTAAAAATTTATAATTTATTAAGGTAAAGTAATAACTCTTATTTTATTGTTTAATTCTTACAAGTATATGAATCGGTTACTCTGATTAAAGATAATTTTATATAAAAATAGTTAACTTTGTAGGATCTGGGTGAAGATGGTTCTTTTTATGAACTGTAAGAAACGACGACGAGAGTGAAAGTAATGCTTAAGGCATAACATATCCTCGTAAAGTCTCATAAAGAGAGGATACATCAGATATATCAGAGTGAGATAGAGGATAGAGTACCAAGTTTAATAAAAAATGAAACGAAGAAAAGGAGAAGAAGCTGCTTTTAGAGATCGTGCAATCTCCGATTATAAATCGGTACATACTTACATTGAATGCCCGAGTTCTCGATATTTATTACGGCACGTGTGCTTGCTGATTTGCCACGTGCATACTCTTCTCTGGTGTACTCGTATACTGTATCAGGCCTCGAGCCTCGAGTCTTGTTATACATTTTATAGCCAGCGTAGTGTTTCCATAGATCGTATATAATAATGATTAAAGGGTAACGACTATATAAATTGAATTCTTTAATACACAATTTACGAATCTTAAATTATCCATTCATTTTTAAAATAGTCTACCGAGCTATATGAAAGGTGCAATTTTCAATATCGATTTATGGTTACTCTCTAAGAAGAAGAAAGTACATGCATTATGAAAGAAAAAAATGACTGGTGATTTTAGCCTGTCGAAAAATTCCAGTTTAATAATAATAAAATTATGGGTTAAATGCCAGCAGGTATGATGTTTGAATACATAAAAATTTATTTTACTGACTAAAATAAATTTTTCTACAAACAAGTTACTTATGATGAAACAGCATAAAAGTGAGTAGAATTTTTTACATAAATTTTATGTTAATTTTTTCGAAACTTGTTTGTGTATTAAATAAAAAAATGATATATGATTAATTGAAAAAACCATTAGGTAAATAAATAAATTAAAAAAAAAAAAAAAAAAAAAAAAAAAAAAAAAAAAAGAAAAAGAAAAGAATTAATTGGAGTGAAGATCATTTAAGGAGCGAGTGGATGAAGAAGCTGAAGAGGATGTTTATAAAAACATCTATTGCTGTATAATAGCGTATGATCGTGTTAGCTTAAATTAAAGAGAATATCCATATAAACATCAGGGTACACGGGTTAGGATCTTAGGATTTGCTTTCACTTTCTCACGTGGCATCGATGCCGAGGCCTTTTCGTCTCTGAGCAGGAGCGTCTTCTTGTCTTTCCTGCTGATGTATATACTGATGCTTGCACAGACTCTTATCAAAGACTAAAGAGTTAACTGCTGAGCAAGAGTAACAGTGTGTTGTCTGTGTAACAAGAGTAAGAGGAATTTTTACCAAGAATATTGATGCCCTAATGTTCCCGGTTAGAGTTTAGTATACGACACCGAGTTGATTGCACGACTGGAGATGTCTCTAAATCTATAGTATTATATAGTAAATATAAGACCAAGATTTCTCATCCTCACCACTCAAGAATTCCACCCAGCTCAACATGGAGATGAATAAATCCTTCAGTAATCACACAGCGGTTTTCTTCAATTACAGAGTAAGTCAAATAAAAAAAAAATCAAGTGTCGGGAAGAATACATTTATCGTCATATCATAGAATATAAAAGATACACTATGTCTACATCATAATCGCACTTGGATCGTATCGGAAGGAAATTATGTCATCTTTATCATTTTCATATCTTGTTATTCTTAAAATGGTAATTTATTATTTTATTAAAATGATTTATTAATTCTAATAATAATGAATAGTTTTGATGTTACAGAGGTATTTATCTTAATAAAATGGATGACATGCACCCACTTGTCGAGAAAACAATAAGTGAGAATACGGTGTACACAGGAAAGGAAGAAACAAAGACATTGAGGTGGGAAGTGGCTATGGATACTTGGCACTTTCACTGGCCAACACAATTTAGTTCTATCCTAAACAATCCTCGGTTTAATTTAAACTCACTCCATTATTAAATAACAGGTTTGGTTCCTCTTTCACAAATAAAATTATTTTCAAGGCCTTTAACCGTATTTTTATTTATCTGATCACTTGTCGGAAGATAAAATACCTTTTACGCACCCTTTTCCACTTTAATTAGTCTTTATTACTTGCAGAAGATCCATTGTATAAACTCGATCCATATAATATCTATATCTATATAACTGAACCAGCTTCTGACATCCGGTGACGCAATCAGCTCGAGTTTATACTTATAAAATGCGGATATGTGCGTTTTATACAGATATCCAACTTGTTATAATAAATAACATACAAAGGTATCCTGGAGAGCCGCTGATAATTTTTAATTTGGTATCACTCTGTCCTCTGAAATTAATGTGAATTTTTTTTTTCTTTTAATTTATTATTTAATTATTTTCCAACCTGTTTTGGGTTAGGCGAGATCAAGGCTACACACAAGATTTAGAGTTTGTTCGGTGTGAATTCATTCCATTGTTCGCCTGGTATAGAAAGTGGTATCAATTCAGACTTTTTATATATTCATATGTTAATATTAAATATACCTGGCTTAACAGCAATTACCACAGTAATGTATTATAATAATGAAAAATAAATATATAATAAAAAGAGATGTGTGCATATATTGTCAATACAAAGAAAGTTTCGAGTTAATCGAGCTCATGATAGTGAGAGTATTTTCTCTGTCAAAGCCCTCGGGTGATAAAGGACATACCAAAAAAATGATTCGTGCCGATCTATGACCTTTTCTTTACTTTCTCCGATCTTTCCGTGGTATTATTATATGTATAGAATAAAATAAAATAAAATAAAATAAAATAATATAAAAAAGATCGGCATACCACCAACACAACCCGGTTGTGTCAATAGATATAGGTGAGGAGGCTGGCTCCAGTGCCATCAGACCTTTTCGATCGTACATATCCGAGTTGAGGATCCGACCCTAAGAGCCGATGTCTGACCTTTAAGACGTGGAATTCCTCGACACCGAGTCGTGGAGAAAAAACCCGCCACCTAATCAAAGGATCTGCCGATCTGTAATGCCAACTCACTTTTCTTCTTCTTCTTCTTCTTCTTCTTCTTTTTTTAACTAAACTTTTCTTAATCTTCAATTTAAATTCATTTACAAATTGTTCACAACTTGGTGTTATTTTTTTTTTTTTTTTTTTTTATTGTATCTAGTTTTTTAGATTTATTTAACATACACTGTACGGTAATTAAAATTTTAAATGTCACGAGTGCATGAATCATGTACTATTTATTATCTAAAAAATTGGTAATTGCAAGTTTGTTTATACATATATATTTTTTAAGGATAACATAATAATTATTTAAGATTTAATATTATACGTGAATATATGAGAAAATATAATTTATTGGTATGAATTTTAAAAAATATATACGTGTTGTAATATTGAAGACGATGTAAAATAAGTTAATCATACTCCTGAAATCAACTTTCACTGATGCATAAGTTTATTATATTAATATAATACACGTGTAATTGTTTGAAGAAGAGTAATAGAGACTGTGTATTGACATATGTACTCTACTAATGATAATAAATACCGTAAAAGTGTCATTGTAAATAAATAAATAGACAGGATCAGATTTAGATATAATGATTTTAAGATAGGGAAGATATGTGTGCAGTACTTACAAGTTTTGTCCGATACAAAACAACTTTCGCCCTCCAAGGCTGAGAAGATCGGTAGTTTTTCTGTTGACTCACACATATTTATGATCGTTTAAATCTCTTGTTACATACTTCAATGTTGTTAATTAAACGCACCTGCATTAGTTTTCCATTGCCATTTATTTAATCCTCGCGCTCATCAGGCACATACAAGACTAAGACTAATTGATCTGATCAAAATCGATTGTCTATTAGCCTGGGAACCTAAAAAAATATATATATATATATATATATATAATGACTATATTTTTTGTTGATGTGTTAACGATTATTTTAAATGCTATCGGTGATTGTTTTTTTTAATTTTTTTTTTTTTTTTTTTTTTTTCAAACTGTGGGTCATAAATCAAATTTTATTTATTCAACATGCCCATGATAATAATCGAAATAAAAATGTGGGAAAAAATTTACTGTGATTTAGTTAAAAGTAAACTTTCTTACAATGATTGACACATTAATTGTCGTCTTACAATACAATACATAAAAGGAATTTTATTACCACTGATCTCAACAGTACTTGTTCTTTTTCTTCAATATTTATTAAATCGCCTGGAGATATAATTAAACTTTTGAATTGAGCTTTGAAGAAAATATAATTTTTTTTTCCTTCATAATTATTGCCACAATATGTGTTTACTTATCTGAAAGAAAATATTTAAGAAAGTATTTTTTTTTTCTTTGTAAATAAGCTTTTTAATTGTCGATGAGAACAGCTGATTTATCATTGACGTAATTGTTAATTAATTGGCGATTTCTTCGGTTGGTTTGAGTTAATTGATGCATCTAGCAAAATACTATTATCACACAGATTTAAGTTGTTATATAAGAGAAGTAAATAATAATTAAATAATTAGGGTATGACATAAACTAGGTATAAAAGTATCTACGAAAGTATCTTCCGACTCTTCAATAAAAGCAAGTTATATTGAGAAGAAAGTTTTGCCAGAAGTTAGGTGGAAAACATTTTGTTAGAGTTACTTTAAATTCTTTGGATTGTTCTTCTTTCTTCAAAAGATTTTTTGATACGAAAAAAGTAGTAGTAACAACGTAATGTTTTAAAATACCGAATTGAATGGAAAGTCCTGGTGGTTATAATGTCGGTGGATTTTTATCTTGTTAACAACTTCCCTTGTTGGCATGCTGTTAAAATGTTTGAGAGTTATTCTAACAATGTCCTACCGTTAGATAGTACAAATAGTGTATGATGAACATTGTGATTGTGAGCATTATGATGATTATGATGATTATGATGATGATGATTGTAGAAGTTGTCGTATAAATTTAATACACAGCACTTTCAGGGATCTGTCAAGTGACGTAATGAAAAAAGTTACGTAGGGAATATATCTCTCTCACAAAATAAAATGTATACATTCTCCTGGGTCTTGGATCCTCTCAACCCCTACTCTAAAGATTATACCCATCCTCAGGTGGCTCGTGAACTCTCCTCTTGGGCTAGACATTCACTGGTACTCTCGCAGTCGCATCTTCGAGGCGATTTCAAACGGTTCTGCTCTGCTCGATCAAACGAGTCAATCGTACCGGTACACATTAAATAGTATAATAATTGTTTTTAACAAGTGATAATACTTTTTATTTTTTTTTTTTTTTTGGGGATTTTTTTTTTTTTTCTATCATCGAGTTTTCTTATTATTGAGATGTCTTTCAAGAACTTTTTCCTCGTAGTCATTGGTTTGTTTAATTTAATTAATTATCTTTTATTTTATTTTCTGTGCAATTAATAATATATTCACGCGATCGTGACTTACGCATCCATTAATTAAATATAAAACTCATTCATTGTTTAAATATTTTTATTTTAACACATTTACACTCACAAACAAAACCACTGACGTTGTAAAAAAATTATTTCAAAAATATATTTTTGAAATAATTTTTTTACAACGTCAGTGGTTTTGTTTGTGAGTGTAAATGTGTTAAAATAAAAATATTTAAACAATGAATGAGTTTTATATTTAATTAATGGATGCGTAAGTCACGATCGCGTGAATATATTATTAATTGCACAGAAAATCTTTTGTAAAAAGGTACATAAACTCATGTCCACCGGAAAAAGCTATAAAGATTAAAAAAAAAATTAATAGCTTTAATAATTTGTGTAATTTATTTTTTAAAAATAAAACTTTTAAAGTAAATGTAGCTGATGAAGCTTTCTCATAAAAATTAAGTTGAATTAAATTGGCCGGGACCAATGATTCATTAAAATCAGAAATATAAAAACGGTTTGGTTTAATTAGGGTATTAACAATGAAAAGTAATTATTTAGTCTGGATTTTATTATTAAAAGTAACAACCCGTGTATTATTAAATATTATCGCTATCGATATATATATATATATATATATATATATATATATATATATAAAATGAAATGAAAAGCCTGTGAGAAGTAAGTTAATGACGTTCTTAATTGTGTAATTGCATTGTTTACATTATATACAGCTGGGATCTTGTGGAGTTGCGTGGTGGGTTTACATCGACCCGCACCGAGGTACTCGCAACAATTTATGCCGGAAACTTCATTTTCTTGTCGCAACAAGATCGTGGGTAGTTACTACGCTGATCCTGAGACTGACTGTCAATTATTTCACGTCTGTGTTTCAGTAGCTGGACTCATCCAGGATTACAAGTAAGTTTTTTTCGTTTGAATTTTTAATTAAATAAATCAAAGTAAAAAATAATTAAATAATTATTTTCAGATTTTTATGTCCCAATGACACGGCATTTGATCAGGAAAGTCAAACCTGTGCCGATTGGTACGACGTAGATTGTGAAGCAGCAACATTATACTACGCGAGTGATAATTTTGACCTTTACCGCCTGGGATCTGGTCTCGAGTCCCTTCAATACGACTCGAGTCGCACTGATGCCGAGCCCCAAGATCATCTCCAGCGCAGTGAAACAAACGATCCCGTACGTTCTGCTGCTAACAATCTCAACCGCGTTGCTCAGAATACTTTCAAAAGCCAGTCTTCAGCATCCAATTCACAAACCAATGATAATAACAATAACAAAAATCTCGACATTCTTCGTGGGAGTAGCAGCAGCAATTTCTACAACAACAGAAACGGCAAAGAAGACGACTATGAAAATGATAAGACTTACCGCGACGAGCCGCTGATTGAACCAAAAAAGAAACCAGGAGTTCGTAAAATAGCTCGCAAACACCAGAACTTTTCAAGCTACAACCCCACAACTACCGCTGCTCCAATCACTTCAACTCATAGCTACGATAATTACCACAAAAACAACGACAATTCTGAATACTACGCTAACCGTAGATCAAAGTTTGAATCATCTAGCACCCCAGAACCTCAAACAACTGCTCGTCCAGCACAACAGGATTACAACAGAAGAAATAATCACAAGTACAATGCTCCCTCAACGACATTACGTCCACCCTCAACTCCTCAGCAGACCTATCAACCACCCAGCAGCACCATCAGGCCTGCTCCATTTAATAACAACAATAACAATAATCAGAAAAACTACGGGCAAAATCCAACTACTGTAAAACCAGTGACCTACAGTCAAAATATCCAATACTCTCCCAGCACTGTAAGACCCACTACTTTCAACCAGAATAATTACAACAACAACAACCAGTACACGCAATACAATGGAAATTCAAGATCACCTAGCACTACTGCCGTGCCCAGTACTTACCAACAACAAACTCAAGATTACACAAACCACCTCGCCAGAAATTACAATAATGTTCAGAGATCAACTGGTACATCTCCAGCACCTTCTACTACTGTTTCTCCTAATTTCTTCGACGCTTATAAATCAAACAACAACAACAACAATAATAATAATAATAATAATAACAACAACAACAATCAATTTAATGGTAAAAATGGTCAAGTTCGCTCAAGCACTCAAACTACTAAATTCTACCCCAATTACAATAATAACAATAACAACAATTACGCGCCTACCACTTACTCTCCAGGAACAGCGAAAAAATCTAACAATGATGGAAATCGAAGCGATAATTACAGTAATCAGCAGTCTAATAACAACAACCAGTACTATGATGCGAGCACTCAACAAAGCAAAGCTACTCAATATTATGAATCGACAAAAGCACCCAAGAAAGCAACCCAGTACAATAATTATGACAACTCTAATTCGGGAAAGTATTATGAGAGCAGTACTGCCAATTACGATTTCGCTAGATCACAGTCAGCTATTGGATTTAGCCCGGCTAGCATAAATCTTCTTGCTGAGACTCCAAAGACTACAACTGTTGCTCCAAGGTAAATTTATTGTATTTTATTGTTTCTCTAATAACTGTTTGATTATTTATTTATTTATTTAGACGAACAGCCGCTCCTACAACTTACAATCCAAACAATTTCCATAGAACACAACAGCAATACTCAACGACGCAAAAAGCCGCAACCTATGCCAGTGGTACTGCTAAACCGTTCTCCAGCACCGCAGCATTCATCGACGCGACGACTCCAAGGCCAAAGTCTACCAAGAAAAACGACTATGATTATGCTTATTACGACAACACCGGAGGTCTAGAGTACGACGGTCTCGATTTGGAAAATGTCGCGAGAAATAAGGAATCTTCAAAGATAGCGAGAAACTAAATTTTATTTAATTACATATCTGTCGGTTTACTATTCATTATTATTAATTAGATATTATGCTAATTAATTGCAATGATTTCTTAAATGTTTTAACGAGAAAATAATGAAACGTTGAAGAAATATTTGCGATTTAATAAAGTTTGTTTTTATCAGGCCAGTACTCTGTTCAACTAGATCCTGTTTTTTGGCCGTTAAAAAACAAAAATATTTTTTTTTTTTTTATGACGAAATAATTGTTTTTTTTTTATTAATTGTTTTTACTTTTGTATTGTCAGTATTTTAGATTAGAAAAATTTAATACTCTTGTTTTTTAAACGATTACGTCATTAAATACTCTTATATTCTATTGATTGAGATAAGTATATACTTAAATTTATGGAGATAATTGACTTTTGGAATGAACATCAATTATTATTTATTGTATAAATTTAAATATTCAAAACTAAATTATCAAATAAGTAGCATTTAATTGAAATTTTATTTGCGAAAATTTTTTTCGTATATATATTTATCTTATTATTATTATTATTATTATTTTTGAATATTTTTTTAAAATCAACACACGGAATATAGTTATTAAAGAATTGTATTGGTTTATACTTTTTATACAATATTCTATTTATTACTTTTATCTTCCCGTACTGATCAATGTATATATTATTATATATATTTTAATTAAAAATAAAAATAAAATAAAACTGTTTTTATTTTTTAGTTTTTAGTTTTTAGTCGGAACTATTTTGTTAATTGTTTCATTAGAAAAAAAAAAAAAAAACTTTTTTGTCAGTAGTTAACATATTGAATCATTAATAATAATAATAATAATTAAAATGACTTAATGCATGTCATGACAAGTATTTATGCATTTAATTATTTCCTACTTTATATTTTTTATAATAACACATGATTTACATTACTTATGATGGTAGTTTGAAATTTGTCAACAATAACAGAAAAAAAAGCCGTTGTTATATAACCAGTATAAGCAAATTGTATAAATGCAGACTTACATTTGCGTAGACTACCAGTGATTTGATGACGTTAGAAGCTGCTTAAAGACAAACGATAGTAATCAAAAGGAAGAAGAAACAATACGTACAATTAGTTGTCCAAGTGACCTGTGATTAAAAAAAGTACGTGTAGTTTGATTGTTTTAAAAACAATTTTTAAAAATGGCAGTTATTACAAGATACTTGGTCCTGGATTTTTTAGTATTAATATGCGGATTAATAGTCCTGTCATATTTATACATGACCCGTAAATTCAAGTACTGGAAGAAACACGGAGTTACAGAGATAACGCCTACTCCATTTGTTGGAAATTTCGGTGATTGTTTGATGACAAAAAAGTCATCAGGACAGTGGCTTAGAGATATACATGAATGGAGTTCTGGATTACCTTACATGGGTTTTTATATTTTCGACAGGCCTTGTCTGTTGATCCGCGACCCCGAGCTAGTTAAAAACATTCTTGTCAAAGATTTTAACACCTTTCCCGATCGCTTTGTCTCCGCGAGTCCTCACGACCGAATTGGAGATGCCAATTTATTCTTAATAAAAAATCCAGCGTGGAAAGTCGTGAGAACTAAGCTCACGCCACTTTATACCTCGGGTAAATTGAAGAGGATGTTTGAGCTGATGGTTGACGTTGGTGAAGATCTCATGACACATATGAAGTCACTTAAATTGGAAGGTCTCAGAATCCGAAAATAGTTTTAATAATTTTATTCTAATTGTAAGTTATATAAGTTTATGAGGTTTATTTTATTTTTTTAGGTCAAGGACAGAATGTCGAAGTTAAAGATTTGAGCGCTAAATTCACAACAGACATGATTGCAACGACTGCTTTTGGAGTGAGAGCAAACTGTCTGAACGACCCTAATGCAGCATTCCGTGAGGCTGGTCGTCGGGTATTTGCTACTTCGCTTTACCGTAATTTCGAACTAACCTCACTTTTTTTCGCGCCACAACTCGCCAAACCTTTGGGATTAAAATTCATTCCGAGCAATGCCTCGAAATTTTTGAGGGATACACTGTGGGGTGTGATACTCGAACGAGAACGTTCTAATTACAAGCGTGGTGATTTGATTGACTTGCTTGTAGAATTGAGAAAAGCTAACGCTGAAAGTTCCACTCGAGATATTTTTGGTAAATAATTAATAATAATTATATAGCAATATGAAATTGTTATTATTAAAAAAATTTATTTACTTTTTAGATTTTGATGGTGATAATTTGGTAGCGCAAGCGGTGGTATTTTATACAGGGGGTTTTGAAACTTCATCATCAGCTCTGAGCTTTACATTGTACGAAATAGCGATTCAACCGGAAATCCAAACAAGATTGAGACAGGAAATATTAGACGGGCTCGAGCAGTCTGACGGAAAAGTCACTTACGACCTGGTACAATTATTTTATTATAATTTAAAAGTTTATCCAAGATAGTAATAATTATATATTTTCCGTAGGCCATGAACTTACCGTATTTGGATATGGTTGTAGCAGAGACGCTCCGTAAATACCCACCTTTGCCTTTCTTAGACCGGCTCACTAAAGAAAATTACAAGCTACCAAATTCTGATTTGGTTGTAGAGAAAGGTACACCTGTTTTTATCTCTATGACTGGCTTGCATTATGATCCTGAGTACTTTCCGGATCCCAATAAGTACGATCCGGAACGGTTCTCAGAAGCCAATAAAAAATCCAGGAAACAGGGAGTTTATATACCTTTTGGTGATGGTCCGCATATTTGTATAGGTAATTATTATTATCATTTAATTAAAAAAGGAAAATTTTAATTAATTTTTTTTTTTTTTTTTTTTTTTTTTTTTTTATATCCAGGTCTGCGTATTGGATTACTTCAAACAAAATTAGGACTTATTAAATTATTGCCCAAGTACGAGTTCTCACCCTCAAAAGAAACTATGATCCCCATGCGATTAAGTCCTAAAGCTACGATAACAACTGCTGACGGTGGTGTTTTTCTTAATGTCAAAGAAATCGCTTATTAATTTTTAAATTAACGTAATAAATTATATAACCAAATAGTATTCCAATTAAAAAACACTATAATTATTTTATTAGTAACGTTGAATTGAATTTTTAAGTTTAAATTCTTTGAGAAAAAGTTTTTGTATAATAAAAGAAATGTAATAAAAAATATGGAAATATTGTTGATCGAAAAAAAAAATAAAAAATTGTAAGTCGAATTACATAAACGAATGGCTAATTATTTTTTGTTAATATAATTGGATAATTCACTAAATTGTCGTGACATTTTAAGTATCACGGTGAGTTGCTACTTCTATTTTTTATTGTCAGTTCAAAAACATTATATCAAGAAATATGGAAAGAATATTACGGTTGAAAGGCTAAACGCATAATAATTAAAATTGTCACGACATGGTATATTATACATCAGTATACACTCAGCAAAAAATAGAAATATATATATATATATATATATATATATATATATATATAGAGGATTAACCAACCGGTAGTCCATTCAGTCACGGAAGAGCACTGGTTGATACTTAAAATAATTTCAGCTCTTCCTGGATTGAATAAACGGGAGATCCTAAAAAGTAGTGAAATAGTAAAAACAAATAAAATGGGTTTTATAACAAGATATTGGGTTTTGGATAGTGTATTTCTGTTAGCTTCTCTAATATTCGTCGGGTATTTATACATGACTCGGAAGTTCAAGTACTGGAAGAAAAGAGGAGTCGCTGAGATACCACCGACTCCGTTTATTGGAAACTTTGGAACGTGCATGATGATGAAGCGATCAGGGGGACAGTGGATCCAAGATATGTATGAATGGAGTACTGGGTTACCTTACATGGGATATTACGTTTTCGACAGACCTTTCTTCCTGGTTCGTGACCCAGAACTCATTAAAAACATTCTTGTAAAGGATTTTAATTACTTCAACGATCGATTTGCCAAAGCTAGTCCTCACGATCGAATTGGAGATGCTAATTTATTTTTAATTAAAAATCCACTGTGGAAAACAGTGAGGGCTAAACTTACGCCGATTTACACCTCAGGAAGAGTGAAAAAAATGTTTGAGCTGATGGTTGACATTGGAGATGATCTTATATCGCTGATGAAGACTTACAACACAAAAGGTAGTAAAATATTAATTTATTGATAATTAAAACAGTTTTTATAGAGAATTTTTTTTTTTTTTTTTTTTTTTTTTTTTTTGGTACTTAGGAGACGGAGAGATTCTAGAAGTCAAAGATTTGGCTGCGAGATTCACAACCGATTTAATAGCTACTACGGCGTTTGGAATACGAGCTAATTGTTTGAATCATCCGAAAGCCGAATTTAGAGAATATGGAAAAAAAATATTTGCACAAACAATGTACAGGAATTTTGAATTCATGTCGATATTTTTTGCCCCGCAAATAGTTGGACCACTTGGTCTAGAAATTTTACCGCGGGACGTATCCAAATTCTTACGCTCCACACTTTGGAACGTTATCAATGAACGAGAAAAGACGGGAATTAAAAGAGGTGACCTCATTGACTTGTTAATAGAATTGCGGAATAACAAGACGGAAATATTTGACGGAGATTTTGGTAATTCCTTGATAATATAATATAATTTATATATTATTGTAGGAATATTAAATACTTTCAGTGATGAGTTTTGATATTTTTAAAGATTTTGATGGTGATAATCTTTTGGCCCAAGCCGTAGTATTTTTTAATGCTGGTTTTGAAACATCTTCATCGGCTATGAGCTTCACACTCTACGAAATTGCGCTTCAGCCAGAAATTCAAAACAAATTACGAGCTGAAATTAATAAAGGTCTGGAGCAAACTGGTGGAAAAATGACCTACGACCTGGTACGTAATGATATTGAAATTATTTTCCTCAGAGATTATAATTGTTGTTTTTTTTTTTTTTTTTTTTGACAGGCTATGAATGTACCGTACATGGATATGGTGATTGCTGAAACTTTAAGAAAATACCCTCCGCTGCCGGTCCTGGATCGCGTTGCCAATGAAAACTACAAAGTCCCTAATTCAAATCTCGTTATAGAAAAAGGCACTCCTATCACTATTCCCGTCAGTGGTTTGCACTACGACCCTGAATATTTTCAAAATCCAGAAAAATATGACCCTGAAAGATTTTCAGACGCTAACAAAAAAGCTCGAAAACAATGTGTTTATTTACCATTTGGAGAAGGGCCACATGTTTGCATCGGTAATTGTCATACTTTTAATTAATAATAATAATAATAATAATTATTATTATTATTATTATAAATGATTATTTAATTTTTAGGGATGCGTATTGGATTACTTCAGACAAAACTTGGGCTTTTAAAATTATTACCCAAGTATGAATTCACTCCATGCAAAGAAACTATGGTTCCAATGCGATTCAGTACTAAATCTTTGGTAGTGGCTCCGGATGGAGGTTTGTTCTTGAATGTCAAAGAAATTAAAACCGCTTAAAGTGTCGAATGTATATATTTTCCATGTCATTGTTTATTTATAATGAAATGAAATATGTTTACACCTTAAATAAAATAAAATAAATCAATTATTAAGTTTAGTATTTAGTATTTTTACTATTATCCCTTCAAGTTTAGTATAAAAATTGTCGTTGGCAAACGAAAAAACGATTGTAGAAAATGACAGTATACCCACCACTTTATCGCGGAGAAAGGCACACAACACCGGGTATATCGATCCCCCTGACTGGTTTTTATTTCCATCCAGACCACTTTCTGGAGCCTAACGAGCACGATCCGGAACATTTGCCAGACGTTCAACAACAAAACAAGGAAGCTAAGTGTTTGTTCACCTTTTCGAGATCATTTACATATTGACACAGGTATCTATTATCACTGTCATGTCATCACTAACTTAACTTAGCTTCTCCTATAACTAACATAACTTTATTAACTTGACCTTAAAGTCCCGGTTCGGTTATTTAATTATTTATTTATCGTTAAAATTTACTAATTGTCATTTTTTTTTTTTCACATAAAATTAAATGTATGAAAAGTTTTAGAAGTTTTAGTCAGTTATCAAATTGACATTTTTATTGAATTTAAATCCATCGAATGAGAGTGGAAGAATGTGAAAAGTGAAATTATATAGAAACTTTATGCACTTTTTATATAAATATCACTTCCAGTTGCAATATAAGATACAACTCGTGTATCTAACGACCTTTTCACGTTTATGCGGCAAATAAATAAATAAAAATTCTTTTAACTGTCTCTTATCGCTATAATTTGGCCAAAAAAATTTTTTACAGGGTGATTATCATTTTCAATTATTAATTATCTTTAAGGGAAATACAGAATGGCTTTTGCGATAAAATATTGGATTCTGGATTGTGTCATATTATTATCAACATTGGTAATTATTGCTTACCTCTACATGACGCGAAAGTTCAAGTACTGGAAGAAAAGAGGAGTCGCTGAGATTCCACCGATTCCGTTTGTTGGAAATTTCGGTGATTGTTTGATGACCAAACGATCGGGTGGTCAGTGGGCTCAGGATATGTATGAATGGAGCGCTGGCCTACCTTATATGGGTTTTTACGTTTTCGACAGACCGTTTCTTTTACTCCGTGATCCAGAGCTTATTAAGAACATACTTGTTAAGGATTTCAATTATTTTAGCGACAGGTTCGCTAAAGCCAGTCCTCACGATAGAATCGGAGATGCTAATTTATTTTTTATAAAAAATCCCCAATGGAAGATAGTGAGAAATAATCTCACACCGATTTACAGCTCCGGGAGAATCAAAAAAATGTTTGAGCTTATGGTTGATGTTGGAGATGATCTTATGACGCTTATGGAGTCTCATAATTTTCAAGGTAACGGATTATATTGTGTCCAAATAAATAATCTGATTTGATAAAAATATTTAAAATAGTTTTCTTTAATAAATAAGATAAAGGAGGGATAATAGAAGTTAAAGAACTGAGCGCGAGATTCACCACAGACATGATTTCTACAACTGCATTTGGAATCCGAGCTAACTGTTTAAATAAACCAAATGCAGAATTTAGGGAGAGCGGACGGAGAATATTTCACCCGACTTTGTATCGTAATTTTGAAGCAATGTCATTATTTTTTGCACCCCAATTGGCGACTCCTTTGGGACTTAAATTTGTTCCAAAAGAAAGTGCTAAATTTTTAAGAAATTCCCTGTGGGAAGTTATCAACGAGCGAGAACGATCTGGAAGTAAAAGAGGGGATTTAATTGATGCGCTTATATACTTGAGAAGTAATAAAGCTCATTTATTCAACGATCAATTTGGTAATTTTATTTTTATTAATACTATAGTTTAATGATAATTGTTATTATAGTGTTGAATAATTTTATTTAAAGATTTTGATGGTGATAATTTACTGGCTCAAGCGATAGTATTTTTAAGTGCAGGTTTTGAAACTTCTTCCTCTACAATGAGCTTCACACTCTACGAAATGGCGCTTCAACCCGAAATTCAAAATAAATTAAGAGCTGAAATTATTAAAGGACTCGAACAGACTGACGGAAAAATTACTTATGATTTGGTATAGTTTATAATTTATAATTATTTTATTTTATTTTATTATTAATGATATTAATTATACAGGCTATGAATTTTCCGTATTTGGATATGGTTATTGCTGAAACTTTGAGAAAATATCCTCCACTTCCTGTCCTAGATCGTGTTACTAATGAAAACTATAAAATTCCAAATTCAAATCTTGTTTTGGAAAAAGGTACACCTGTTATGATTTCTATATCTGGATTGCATATGGATCCTGAGTATTTTCCCAATCCAGAAAAATATGATCCCGAAAGATTTTCAGAAGCTAATAAAAAAACACGAAAACCATGTGTTTATTTGCCCTTCGGAGAAGGACCACATGTTTGCATTGGTAATTATCATTATTAAAATATTTATTCTTTAATTTTTATTATATATTATAATTTTTTTTTTTTCAATAGGAATGCGGATTGGCTTGCTACAAACAAAAATTGGACTTTTAAAATTATTACCCAAGTATGAATTTTCAACTTGTAAGGAAACTTTGATTCCTATGCAATTTAATACTAAATCTATTGTGACTTGCGCTCAAGGAGGTGTTTTTCTTAATGTTAAAAAATTAAATTTATAATTAGCAACGATTACCTCTATTCATTTGTTATTGATAAACTATTTTTTTTTTTTTTTTTTTTTTTTAATAAAATAAATAAAAACCAAAAAAATGTCTAGTGCAATAAATCAAAGAGTATCGTTGGTAAACAAGAATAATGATTTGATAAATCAAATTGAATTATTAAAAGTATTATGTTTTTCAACTCCTGAAACTTCAATGAATCAAAAATCGGTAATTAAATACACTTTAAAAATAATAAAAGGTATTATGAAGCCATACCATTTAATGGCGTTAAGAAATATTGAACCTCATGAATTGTTGACTTGTTCAATAAAAATTATATTTCTTTGTCACGAAGATATGTACATTAAATTAATAAAAAACCCATACAAATTGAAATATAACAATAATTACGAATTATCAAAAATATATTATTATGAATTATTGAATATATTTTTTGCCGAAAGAGTACATGAAATTATTAGCTTGATAATAAAATTAATCAGTGAAGAAGAACTTTGGCAATGGGAACTTTTAAGTTATGATTTAATATACGGCTTTTGTAAATTAAACGTCGGCACTTATTACATACTAAATTATTTTTTGGATATAATTGAATCCGACAATACAAATGATAACACTTCACGTGATATTTTTAATATAATTAACAAATTATTTTATAATCAATATATCTGGATAGATACAATTAACATTTCAACAACTGTAGAACGATTATTGAATAAGTATTATAATTTAATAATAGAAAATACATCAAGTCCAATGACATATAACAAAAATATTTTAAAACGCAGTCTTGATATTTTATTTTACAATATTATTAACAATTTGTCCAATGATTATTTATTGATGATCATAAAAAAAATTTGCATGTGGATTTTTAAACAAAACAACAAAGAAAATATTAAAAATACAATATGTCAATTAGAAGATACCATCGAGTGTGCAACGAAAATTTACAAATTGAGTTTACTGAAAGACACAATGAAAGAAAATTTATTTTTTTGTCTTATGAAAATGATTTCATCGTCAAATAAAGATATTAATTTATTTGGAAATAGAATTTTTCAAGACACAATAGATCGTAGTGATAATAAAAAAAAATTTTTAGCACCAGAAATTTTTTACCAGGACAAAAATTATTTGATAAAGATAAACAAAGAGCCCGATAAAAGGGATGTTGAGTTTTTAAAAAAAAATCGCGAGTTGATTCATGATACTTTGGTAACAAGTATAATTAAACATGCTGATTCAAAAGTTAATTTAGAATCAGCGTACTGCAGCATTTGTTTGTTGGCTGTTGAAATACCAACGGGATTTACAGCAGCAGCTTTAGTTTGTCTTGTCATGAATATTCAGGACTTGACTTTACAAAGTACTAGTTTACAGATAAATCGTCAAGTATGTTATCATATTCACGCAACAGTTATAGCAATAATGAGTTTAATTTGTCGGATTCATAATGCTAAAATCCTTTATAATTATGTAAACAAAGTTATGATGGAACGAGCACAATGGGCTCCCCATTTAAATCCACCACTGAGAAATAATTATGTATTTGCTATTCACTATGTGCTATGGAATAAGCCTGAATTATTTTTTGTCGATTGGGAGGCACGTTTTGGACTGTGGAAATGCTTTCGCACAAATATTTATCAAGATACTATATCGTATGACGATGATATTGATGACAATTTATAATCTAATAAACACTCACATTATACAATTACCTACTTATTACTTATCTATATTCAAGTAATAAAAAATTATCAATTATTATAAATATAAAATTATACACTAACAACTATATATATATATATATATATATATATATATATATATATTGAATATTTTCAAATGAATTTAGAACCAGAGATCACCTGCAACATCATCTTCTGATGGGTTCGGCTGTTGGTTTTCTTGTTCTTGTTTCAGCGGCTCGTCTACAGTTTCTATTTCATCTTCACTCTCAGATACTGCCAGGTCGTCTTGTATCTTGTCAACTTCAACTTTTTCAGCTCGTGGTGGTAAACCCGCCAGTAAAAAATCCGATGGATCATAATTAGGATCTACATCCATACTTTCATCTGTAAAAATAAATAAAAAATATTACAATAAAAGTACATAAGTAAATAAAATAAAAATAAAAAATATAAAATACCTTGCTGAATATATTGCTGTTCATCAACGTAATATCGAACATTTCCCAACTGAACCATTGCTTCGGCAACCTGCTGACTGTCATCATCAGCAGGGCCTTCTGGACCTACTCTTATTTCACCAAGGTCTATTGACTCCAAATCTCCAGGCTCACGATGATCTTCAGAGGCAAATGGAACTTCATCAAAATCATCTTCACTGGAAAATTGAAGATCTTCTTCCAATACGTCTTTCTTTTTGGTATTTGGACCCCTAGAAGTCCCTTCACCGGGATCAACGTCACCCTCAACATCAACAAAATCAAAGTCATCAACACCGGATTTTTTAAATGGATCGTACGGCTTTGGTGAGTTAGTACGACTACCTCTAAAGTCATGCTCAACATTGGTATAATTATCATCATCAGGTCCCATCCAGGATGAATCAATATCAACCTGTTCGATGGCACGTTGTTGGACAAGCATTATTTTATTTTCTAATGCCGTTAAATAACCAGAATAACCATCAAGCATTTCTTTGCAAGCTTGGACAAGAGCTTCCGCTTGTCGAGTAAACGGCGAATCAAACGTATTAAATTGTGCACAGTTTTCTAATATCAACTCAACATCACGTAAAAATTCATTTCGATTGTGATATTTATTTGCTTCTATTTTTTTACCTATTGTCTCAAGGTCCATTGGAGTTTTTATAACCGTGTAATAATCTTTAACAAGTTTTTTATTGACAGGTTTGAGGAACGGCCAAGCGTCATTCATCTTTTTAAGTTTACTATTCACATTTTCAAGTACAAACGATAAAGCAACTTGGTCGTCATCGTCAAGAAGAGGATTAATTATTTTTTCCAGCCTCATAAGTATATCTTCTTTTTCAGCTATTCGTTTAACAGACATTTCCAACATTCGCTTTGCTGCTAACGTCAATGGGCTGTTTTCTCCATTGTAAAGAATTGAATTCTCAACAATACGATTAGCGTCAACCAAAAATTCAGCCCTATTTTGATATTTCTTTTGCCGTAAATTATCCCTTATTGTTTGCAAGTCCATCGGCTCTTTTACAATGTCATAATAATCAAGAACAGCCTAAAAGTAAAAAAAAAAAAAAAATAATCGTTAAAAATTATTATTATTATTATTATTATTATTATACACACCTTTGCATTGACAGGGAACAAAAATGGTTGAACATCAGGCAGATCTCTCATTTCATTCAATATACCTTCCAATATTCCTGACAAAACAACAACTGGATCAGTGCGCCTTCTATTTGTTGTTTTTTGGTGCCTCTTCAAGTAATCACAGTGATCATCACCGTTACCTCGACGGCGTTTTTTACCACCAACTGCTTCTTTTGGTAATTTAAGTAGTAACGTCCGTTTTTTTATCTCTTCCGCTCGCTAGCGAAAAATAAATGAACATTAATTATAAATGGATGAATAAATTGGATATAAATTACCTTAATAACTTTGGATGAAAGTTTAACGATGGTGCCATCGACATTAACAAGATTTTGATCATCATCATTTAGCTGTTTCTCTATTTCTTCTTCCTGCTCTTCAGTCATAGCTACATTAACTGGAGCCGTAGTTCCCATGCTATTTTGATAAAGCGGACAAGCTTTATTGGTTCTCATGTGCCCGACATTACCACAAGCACCGCACTTTAATTTTAAATCTGGTTTAAGTTTAGATTTTTTACGTTTTGATGGTGATGGATCATTTTTCGAGTGTTTAGAAGCAAGAGTAGTTGAAGGGAAATTGCTGAATGAGTAGACATTGCTGGCAGATATGGTAGTCGGAGTATTTGTATTGCTACGATCGATACCCAATGACGCAGAAGAGTAATGACTTGCCGGGCCACCAATAGACTTTTCACGCTCTTGATTTCTCTTAAGCCTTCTCAACTGTTCCTGAATTCTCCGTTTTTCTCTCTTCATCTCTTCCTTCTGGGCTTCGTCTAACGTAGCAAACTGCTTGATAAACGTTTCATCTTTGGAGTTTCTTATCTTTATATAGGTATCAATGACCGCCGGTTTACGAACTATCTCTTCTCTCAAAAACTCTTTACCGTCTGTATCGCGAAAAGTTCGCTGAATTTTTAAAATACGACCCGGTTGAGAGTTGAACCCTTGACTCTGATCACGACTATCCTCTTCATCGTCTTTCTTTTTATCTTTATTTTTTTTACCATCTTGCTCTTGTGAATCGCTCATCAGCATTTTTCTCAACTCGTGACGCTGCTGCTCTTCACGCTCTAAAGATAATTGAGAGCTTGTTTTTTTATTGGACAACATATTCTCAATATTTTTACCCATCTCCTCGATATCAGAGCTATCTTCGTCCGAACTTTCGCCCTCATCAGTACTTAATACTTCAGCAGACGCAAGTACACGATTTTGAAGATCAAAAATTCTCTGACATTCTTCTTTATATCTTTCTTGATGTTCGGCAATTGAAAATCTATTACCACGTGAAAATTTAGTCATACCCTCTTCACCGGCTTTTGCTTTTTCAGTCGACAGTGTTCTCACAACATCAATAACTTCCCACCGAGATAATTTTTTTATTTCTTCTTCAGGTACACAAAATTTACGAAGTAGTGCTTTAGCGTTATTCAATGACAAACGTCTCAAATCAGCGTCTGTACCAGTGACCGTTCTTTTGGGTTGAGCTTCCTGCTCTTCTTTGCTAATAGTCGGTTTATTGGGGACTCTTACGTAAGAAAAACCCTCACCACATCCAGTTGGATCAGCTGGACCTGCCAACTGAAGCAAACACTTGCCTTTCATAGCTTGTATGTAAGCACGAGTTGTATTCCAAGGAGCTACTTTAACTTCGTCATCCATTTTTAGCTGCATTTCTTCGTCATCGTCATCCTGAGGTGTAAACAAAAATTTTTCACCATAACCGGCATCCTTTAACCGTTGCTCAGCAGCAATCATACTAAAGTAAGCACAACACTGCTCTGGAGAAACCATAGCACGTATTTCTTCCTCAGTTGGCAATCTAAAGTCTGGTTTTATTACCCACCAATTGGAATCCATGCCAGTTCTCTTGAAATCAGCACATAATTTTAAACGTTTTCTTATACTACTCTCACTGTGTGACGGGAATGCCTTTTTAATATCATCCATTTTAATTCTCCTCGGGGTATCGGGTGACTTCCAAAACAAACGATAAATAAATACCTGAAGAAAATCACGTACAAAATTATTCGCTCGTTTTGAATTAGGCCCAGGTACTTCATAAAGTGGACACTCTTGTCCAGCAGCAAACACCGCATCAATTTCACGAATTGAATATTGCTGACGCGTACGTATTATCAAAAAATCACTATTTGGTGCTTTGTGCTCGTAAATAGGTACACGATACATATTATTTTCAATAGCTTGGATACTCTGTCCTGGAACTAGTATACCAAGAAAAGGACTTGTATGAGCGTACGCAGTTTCACCGTATTTATATTCAGGTGGTCCAGAATCTTTGCCAGCTTTTCTCTTGTAATAATTCTTCATTTTGGAGCACATACCAACTTGATTCATCAACGGTGGATGTTCTTCTGAAAACTCAACAAGTATTATCTCACCGTCTTTACCCGTAAGATCTTCTGGTGTTCTCATAAAAAATACATCACCACCACCGGAGGCTATTCTTTCTTGTTCACGTTGCTTGGCCTTTTTCTTTATATGCTTGAGTAATGGTGAAACATAATGTGGACCTGGATGAGCCAATGGACCATGACTGTATCGTCTCAGTGCGGGCCTGTGAAAACTTCTCAGTCGCATTGGACCCATATGAGTTTGAATAAATGGTGCTCTTAGCTCAACAACCGGTGTACTGTGTTGTATTAAATTTCCACCACCAACTTTCAGCCTCAAAGTTGTCTCTGAGGATCTTGGCATGTAAAATATATCATTTGATATATTAAATGGATCACGGTCTGGTGACTTTGGCGGTGGAGGTGGTGCATCTTCCTCTAAAACATTAATAACACCGGCTTTACCCAACAATAATTTACTTTTTTTTACATGAGGATGAGGAATTTTAACTTTAGGCTGAGGACCATGATCTTTATGCAGCAAAGCCGGATCAATGTCATCAGGAATTCCCAATACAATATTTTCATCATTAGGATCGAGGGTCAATATCTTTGGTTTTGGAATTTTTTTCATATTCTCACTATCCCAAATGACTTCATCCTCCCACATTCCGTAAACCAATTCTTCATTCTCAACCGGAAACAACGAGTACCAAGTATCATCATAATTATCTTCACGTTGCTGTTGATTGCCTTTACCTATCAATTTATTTTTCTGAGGCTGTATATGCATTGCAGTTGACATCTGTGATGAGGAAAGCCGAGCATTCTGTGAAGCTGGAACTGGACCACCCTTACCTGGTTGACTGAAAGCTTGAGCAGTTCTATTACAACTGGACGGGACCCATCCAGCAGCGTTACTTTTACTATTTAATTTATGCATTACCTTATTTTTTATTTCATCCCCATTCCAGACTACGTCATCTTCCCAGTGTAATTGAGAAACCATTAAAAATGCATCATCTGCAAATTCTTCATCACTTTTTCTACACTCATCTTTGTTATTATTATTATTTTCATTGTCTTTTTTTTCTGCCAATTTGAAACCATAATTAAATCCATCACCAGTTTCAGGAACTTCAAGCATGTCATACCAAATTTGCGCTGGACCAAACCTCCAATCAGCAACTTTGGGACCCATATCACCGTTTTCACCTGTATCACCAATTTTACCTATTTGCTCTTTATCTTCTACCGGAGCTAGCAGCTTTAGTTCATCATCAGGAGCGCACATTTCTGGTGTAGGCTCAGGCCCGTAGTTCATAACCCATCCTCTGAATTTGGATCTTCGTTCTTCCTGATCCGAACCAGAATCAGAGTCACGTACTTCCTGGTGTTTCTTTTTTTTACGACGTTTTCTGACTCCTCGCCAAATTTGTGGTAAACTGCTGGGCTTACCTGGACCAAACAAACGAGAGAAACGCAAAACTTTATTTGGCCTAAAATCAGGAAATAATTCAGTAACGTCAACATTTGCGTACTTTGATGGCAACATTGAAGCCAAAGGTGTTTCGAGCTTCCTTTGTCGCACAGCTTCCACTTCCTCAGGCGTCAAATTTTCTTTTTCCTCTGACGGGGCAGGGGGTGGCGGCATCAATTCTTTATCCAATTTATTGACTCCCTCATCATCGGCGTCGTAATCAACATTTTCTTTTTCAATTTTTGGTTTTACTTCTGAATCAGCTGTTTCATTTATGTCGTCTGCTAATTCATTTATGTCAGAAAAATCTAAAGCCGCTGGAGATTTCGCGTCGTAATCAGTGTCATCATCACTCAATAATGAACCACCCGCTGAGTCGAATCCATTTGCTACCGGGTCTTGCCCATTTTCATTATTTACCTCAATTTCATCTGTTGATATCATCTCCTGGAGCAAAGAACTCAATCCTAGCCGGCCTAGAGAAGCTAAATGTTGTTTAGCGTCATCGTCAAGTATATCGTTCTCCAGTTGACCATTCTCATCAATATTACCAAATAAAAATCCAGTCATATTTATACCCTGGTCCTGATCAGGATTATTATCGTCGTCAGAAGAACCCATTTTTTTTTTTTTTTATTTTTATTTATCAACTCTGAAATAAATTTTCGAATAAATAGATTGTTGACATTTAATAGTTTTTAGAGGTTATGTTTTGTAAATTATAACAATAAAATTTATACTTTTATAAATAATTTTAGAGTTAAAAAAATGCTCACCTGTCAACAACAACAACAACAACAACAACAACAACAACAACTAATTATTATTTGATTTATTTATTTTATTTTCATTGTTGTAAATAACAATTTTATGAAAATTTTATATAAAGTAATCAATGACGTTTACACACTTTATACCAATATTATATTTTATGATGCGCAAGAGCATCAGATGTCACAGGAAACTAGTTTATCTTTTATATATGTTATAATTATATATATTTTACTCTACACTTTATAATAAGTTATTTGCAGTCGGTAAGATTAATTTTTTCATTATTTTTATAATATTTCAAAAATTATTTAAATATTGTAATGACATTTCTATAAAATTTAATAAAACGCAATCAATTGTAATGAAATTAATTACAATAGTACTCACTAAATATTTTAGTCGTCAGTTAAAAAAGTGATGAATAATTAAAAAGAAGACGAGTTGATGAAGTTTAATTTTATTAATAGATTTTAAAATAGAAATTTTGTAAAATCAATATTTACTATAAATATGATATTAGATATAAGCAATACATCAACACATATTTCAATAAGAGTTCTAAAAATAAAGATAATGTATAATAATAATAAAAAGAATTTTTAACATATGTTATCGATTAATTATAAAAAAAAATGGACTTTTAAAATAAATTTTTAAGCAAATCATAAAAAATTTTGGTATTTTAATTTTATTTAATGTTTTATGCATTTTATTTTCAAATCTATTAATTGATTAAGTAATCACACTGAATATTTTATAAATCAAGCTGATAGTTTCAAAATAAGAATAAGTAATATATTTGTCACACAATTTGTCAGGGCAAAAAACTCATATAAAAAAAAGTTGTAATTTTTTTTTTTTTTTTTTTTTATTTGTTATTGATATCAGAGTATTTGCTGAGAGTTTATAATAAAGAAAAAATTCTTTATCAGTTTATATATTATATACACAAAGGTATCTTATGAGTTACTGTGAACCCGTTAAAGATAAGAAAGATCTAGGTATATGCCAAGTAGTCAATTGAAAATTCACAATCGCTATCAAAATTTACCTTCAAGTACAGTTAATAGTCAAGTACATATTGACATAAAATATTATTAATTATGTAGTTCTAAATTTAGAAAAATTGATTTTCAATCTAAATTTGTGTATATAATAATTAATTCTATTTAATAGCAAAAAAAAATTCAACACACTGTGAATAAATGATAATGACATGAGATGTATTTTAATTATATTATATTAATCTTCTTTGGTAGTATTATTAATTTTGTTTATAATGCTAACCCAAGCAATGTATCAATAATAAATAATAATGTGTCTGGTGCGCCGCAAGACTTGAGAGTTGAAATATTTGATGAGTTTGGAAATATTAATGACGATAATAGTCATGATAGCGTGTTAAAATTTAACTTTTCGTGGTTGCCTCCATCCTCATGGTACCCTACATCATACAGGTAATTTTATAGATTTATTTTTTATCACTAAATTACTTTTGTTTATAAAAACATTATTATTTTTTTTTTTTTTTTTTCAGTATTTTTATAAATTCCATGACAGTTGACCAAAAAAATACAATTAGTTGTCCAGAAGAAAGTATTTTTTATACAACAACAGATGATAATCTATTTAATATTGTTCTTCCTGAGAATTCACTGTTATCAGATGTACCAGAATTACAAATCAGACCCAGTTGTACTTATGAAATTCAAGTTTTTGCAAATCCACGTGTAAATGCAAACTCCAACGCTGCTAAAGTAAGTCTTTTATTATTATTATTATTATTATTACTATTGATGTAAATGTTTAATGAAAATTATTCATGCAAGTAATTACTGGCTTCTTGCCATTAACTTGATGATGATGAATAATAATAAGATTTATTTATAATCAAGGGCGTATTGAACTTTTTACAATCCAGATCATCTCTCTATATACTTGAATAATCAATAACTCTTTATAAGAAAATTGTCTCATAATTATTGAATAATTTTCAGATTAACATAACAGTACCAACTTGTATAGGAAAATTATGTAATTGTGATGAAGCTTCGAAATTACTTCCTTCAGTTGAGGTAAATGCATCTATTCCCGACTCCAAAAGTATTCTTATTTCATGGAGTACAATACAGTTATTGAATGCAACAGCTATTTCTTCATTCATCGTCGGGTAGCGTAGTATTTATTAATATGATTGTCTCTTTATACAATGTCATAACATTTTTTCAATTTTATATTAAATATTTAAAAATTTTTCAGATACTCAATACCGATTTTAATATCTAAAAATGGAATTCCAGTGTACAATTTGACGAAATTAACCAGCGCGCCGAGCAATTCCCGGTCATATATCTGGCATACAGAACCATCAGTTAATTCAATTTTTGATAAAGAGATGAAAATTTTTGTCGCTGCTGAAGATATTTACGGATGCCGCGGTCGAATGAGTTATTATACTATTAAAACAGACGTCCAACCACTTCTGATGTCAATCACGTACAGTAATCAAGTAAAATATATTAGTTATTATCACGAAAAATTTTAATTTTTTTTAACAAAAGAAATGATAATCAATATTATACGTTGGAATAAAATATTTCTAGTGGATTATATGGAGCACAGTACTTGTAATTTGCTCAATAATTATTGGATTGTTCACTTATATTCGGAATCGAGGTCATGAAAATTACAAATTCATTTTATCAAATCACGTCACGTCTGGGTGAGAATTTTTTATATGGTTTTTTTTTTTTTTTTTAAGATTTATTATCGATAAATGAAACGATTAAAGTGTCGTTAATGTGACCTCTGAATTATACGTTATTTTTTCTTAGCATTAGTAGCATCAGAATATCAGAAAGAAACGGCTGGATAAATACTGTTCTAAAGAAGAAAAACATGCTTTATGCAGATGAAATTATCGAGGTTCAATTAATATCTAATTTTTCATTTTTATCAGTTGAAATTATTAAAATTTATTAAATTGTTTTTAGACGACGGAAACGATAGCCGATGGCTACGAAATATCGTATGACCGTATTAAAATTTCAAGTGAACTCGGCAAAGGGCAGTTCGGCAAAGTTTACTTAGGCTATTTAGACTCTGTAACTAATAATAATAATAATAATAATAATAATAATAATGAAGAAGAGGAAAGTGGTTTTCCAGTAGCCGTAAAAATGATGAACCCGGGGAATGTTGATGACAAGACAGAGGCGCATCGTCAATTGGTTTACGAGATTGGGACAATGAAACGTGCCGGATCTCATCCACATCTTGTTAAACTTATTGGCTGTTGTACGAAACTTGAGAATCCAATTTGTATTATTTTGGAGTACGTCGAAGGCGGTGATTTGCTTGGTTATCTTCACCAATTGCGTGATAGTAGTCTACATAAAAAATTAACATCAACTGATTCAACATCAGAATTTTGTTCAAACGAGAGTAATTAATAATCAATAATTATTAATTCCACGCAACTGAAACAAAAATATATTATAAGTATAATAAGTATAATAAGTATGCAAGCGTTGATAATAAATTTATTTTTAGATTGTTCTAACGGAAATTGTAAACACAGCAAACAAAGTTGCCCTTTAATAACTGATGATAGTTTTTCTATTTCATCGCCATCAGCTACTAATTCAATTACACCTGAAGACAATAACAATCACTCTTATACGAATGTCAGCTACGAAAATAGTATTAAAAAAAATATTCATCACTCAACAGGTGGCACGGTTGATAACTATCGATTTATTAACTTTGCAATGGACATTGCTCGCGGAATGGAACATTTAGAACAAAAATATATTGTTCATAGAGATTTGGCTGCAAGAAATATTCTCGTTACCTCAAATTTTAAATTAAAAGTTATTATTTATACTCTCTATTATTATTTAATAACATTAACAGAGTGTAAAATCTAATTTAAAAAAAAAAAAAATAATAAATAAATATAAATAGATTTCAGACTTTGGACTGTCTCGAGACGGGATCTATGTAATTGGACAAAGTGGTAATGGAGTCAGACGACTACCAGTACGTTGGATGGCACCAGAAGCTCTTCGAGATCGTGCTTTTACTTTTAAAAGTGACGTGTGGTCTTACGGAGTGGTGCTGTGGGAAATATTAACACTGGGTGCCTTTCCTTACGCCCAAATACAAGATGACAAATTGCTCCAGTACATTGTCATGAATAATTGCCGTTTGAAATGTCCTGACAATATTTCACCAGAATTTGACTACTTTTTACAATCATGCTGGTCTACGGAGCCGTCCAAACGGCCCAATTTCCATCAAATTTCCCATCAGCTTACCTTATTTTCCGCTTATTACAATACAGCCATTTATAATCCCTCGCTTACAATATCGTAACACTTTAATAATAAAATCGATAAATTAATTACTACCATTACTGACATTTAATTATTATCTATTTAGAAACTCTATCATGAAAATTTTTAGCATAATAAATATAATATAATATATAGAAAAGCTTTTACCGAATATTTTCAATAAATAATGAATTCATAAATATTTTATAAAAAAATGTCTACCAGGTAATAATAATAATAATAATAATAATTTTTGTTTATTTTGTTTAATGTTTAATATTGTCTATTGGTAAAAAACTTTCCTCTTGATAGTTTTGAGAGAATAGATTTATTATTTATGTTAACCCTTTATCTTTAATATTATACTTGTATAAAGATAAGTTTGATATCAATAATGCATGTAGGATATGTGAATAAGCTATGATGTAAGCAATGACATTTTTATATTTCTAGGACGCATAGACGTCTGAGCTATTTGCGTGAGAGTGATTTCGCCCACGCGACGACGTCGGCGCACATATAACATTGTACCCACCATCACCATCAGAATCAGATTCAGAATCAGCACCAGCACCAATTTCTTCTCTCTCTCTCTCTCTCTCTCTAAGAGCACCAGCGTTTACGCCCTCGTGATATAGAGGGGTGTAAGGTGATGGCGGGCAGATAGGTAGGGATGTAGATCCATGCAAGGGTAGTTGTGTCGATCGAAAGCTCACTCCAGCAGTTGTAGCGCCGACTCGGCGAAGTTAAAGTTGCGTAGTTAAAAGCACACTGTATAAAATAGTCGCACATTTATATTTAATAACGTAGATAAATTTATTTATTTATTTATAAAATTATTATTAATGATAATTATAATAACAATAATTAATAATAATTTAATTATACTCGACCCTAACACGTACTATTAATTGTAACTTAAAACAAAACAAAAAAAAACAAAAAAAAAAAAAAACGTAAAAAATTTAAAAAAATCGTAAAATTATAAAATTTTTTAAAATATATATATATCAATGAAAATGTTACGTCAACAAGCCGAATGGAAAAAAATCGTATTCGTATATATTTTACAATTATTTTCATGTAAGTTACTTATTGTCAATATTATTAATGCAAAAGATTTTTTTTTTTATTTTGTTTTTAAAATGCTTTTATTGTGTATATTTATATATTGTTCTTTTTTTTTTTTTTTATTTTTTTCTCCCCCGAGTATAAGTAATAGTATACACATTTATATGTATAAAGTATAAATATAGATATATGATCTAGTCTATTATCCTTGATCCCCGGGGGATGAAGCAAATCTGCAGTATCTATATGTTGTCTATTGGCTGTGCCTTTTCCGGCAGTTCTCAGCTTCAACAGAAATCCCTCTCAAAGAATGGCCCGACCCTTGACAATCCATCTACTCGTGAATACAATGCTAATTCATAACAGGAAAAAACGTCGTGGCTCTGACAAACTTTTACCTTTTTTAGTTATTTCTTCTTGTTTTTTTTTTTTTTTTTTTTTTCTAACAATTTTTTAGCTTTCTTCTTCTTTATAGTTTAAAGTCGATTATTATTTTTCTCATTCATTCAGAACGATTAAGTCTGAGCACACTACACTTTAGTACCGCGAAACAATAGATGTTCAGGTGTCTGAAGGTGGAATAATCTGTAAAGTGATTCTCAAATACAATTGAATAATGAGGTCATGGATACATTTATCAAACGGATATCTCGACAATTGTGTTTTTATTTTTAAATTAAAATGCATCCAATCAATATTCACTTTCCTGCTATTATTTCATTCACTTGTTTTTTTGAATAACGAGAAATAATAACATTAAAAACCTTAAAAAAAAAAATAAAAAGAGGATTAAATGATTTGTGTTATTATTTTTAAACGTTTAAATAATTATAAATGGATATATAAAATAACTCACGCATTTTCAAATCGATATTCACCTGGCTTTCGGTATAATATAACAAGGCCTTTTATAATTATCCTCAATATATTAAGTTATTTAAAATATCTTAATCTCATACCGTTGAACAAACACTGTTTTTCATTCAAAGTTTGTCCTTTACTTTATAATATGTTTTTTTTTTTTTTTTTTTTTTTTTTATTATTCTTTCACTCACCTAAAGCTACTCTAACTATATAACTACCGCTTGTGAGTTTATATTTTTATTTAGTCAACATTTATTCTGCATTTTTTATTTATAAACTTTTTTTTCTTTGTACTTTGTATACACCGGCGCTTATATACAATAAAAAAAATAATAAAACAAAGTTTTATGTCAAATATTAAACATTATATGTACGTGACACAGTTTTCGCTACACTTTAATAAATTGGATAACTAAATAAACTATAAACAGTAAACGCACAGTAGTATAATAATATTATATCAAAGCAACGTTGATGATGATTAAAATATTTTAATTATTATAATTATGAATGAGTTAATTGATTTGATTTGATGATTGATAGATGCAACACCAGAAGTACGGCTTATTGCCCCGAATTACGTCAAGTACAACAGTACAGCGGAACTGACGTGTGATCATACTGTCACACCAGATGACCTTCATAAGGTTGAATTTTTAAAAGATAATAAAAAAATATTGGAATATATAAGAGATCGTACAGATCCATTTAGAAAATCGCCGCCAGCCGGTTTAGAATTTGAGGTATTCTTATACATATAATAAACAAATATTTATTATCACTTACTCATTATCATAATCAAGGGCTTTTATAAATTATATGTTTAAAGCATTCGCTCGATGGCAAGACAATCAAATTAAATGATGTACACTTTGATGCCTCTGGCTCATATTCCTGCTTGGTAAGCTCTACTTATCCAATTTACACTGAAAGCTCGGACGAAGTAAAGCTGCAAGTTATAGGTAATTATTAAACATTAATTAATATATATATATATATATAATTTTTTTTTTTATTTTTTTTTTTTTTTTTGGAGTATCTAGTAAATTAGTTTGATTATTGGAAAAAGATTAGGTCTATTATCCGGTGAATTTAATAGTATTAGAGAAAAAAAAAAAATAAAAACGTAATGAGATAAAAAGATTTGAGGTAAATTATTATTTTATTGAGAGTACTTTAGATAATGATACTGTTAAAAATAGTTTTACTCGAGTACTTAAAAGGGCTGTCGAGAATGTCGAGAGACAATGATATAAATTATATCATTTGTCTTTGTGTCTTTTAGTACCTCAGTCGGATAATCCGCACATAACTTTCAAGAAGGCTGTTTACACAGTAGGAGAAGTCCTCGAGGCAAATTGTACCTCAGCTCCTGCGAATCCAGTTCCTCATTTGACATGGCTTATCAATGGATTAGAGGTATATATCATTTTGTAATTTAATAAATCCATTGACATACACTTGATTTTTCATCTGAAAATTTTATTTATAAACATTATTATCAACAATTAATAATCAATACTCAATCAATCTATCGTAACGTTATTAAAATTCCTTTCAACAAAAGTCAATATGTTGATTTTCAATTATCGTGTATTGTAAAGTCATTATTACCAGACAATTGCATTTAAATTTATTCATTGTCTTTTACTTTTTTTTTTTTTAACATAGTCGAACAGTGAAATAACTCATTCGTTAAATTTGCATATACTATATTATAAATAAATCGAAAATTTCAAAATCAAATTTTCTATCATTTAAAATGTGATTTAATTTAATTATAATCGATCAAAATGAATAAAAATACAATAGGTCATCAGAACTAAAAGCAATTAATAATTAATTGATACATTGAAGACTAAGTAAAATAATTTAAAAATGTCACCAAATCCAGGTTATTGAAACACGCGTTACAACTTTCCCGTATCGGCAACACCAAAAACATTTAATGTCAGCAGAATCACAGCTATCTATTGAAGTTTCTGATTTACATGCCGGGAAAAATGGACATTTGGAAATAAGTTGCCGAGCAACAATACCAAACTATTTGCTTCATCAAAAAGATTACGCTGATATTAGAACAAAGACTGTAACAGGTAAGAAATAATATAAATAAAAGTATCAAGTACACCCTGATGTAAATTTACTTAATATATATACTTGATACACGCGCATGCATACTCTGATAATTCATAATTCATAATATAAATATTTACCTTGAATATTATAATAAACCATCAGTAAATTATTGATTTTATTGACATTTACTATTTATAATTATTTATTTATGTCTAGTGGAAATAATTCCTGGTCCCTCTCCGACAACTTCGTTGGCTGTTCTTCCACGTGGACTCACACCGATCGTTATTTCAAGCGTATTGTGTGTGTTACACATCTATAATTAATGATAAATATATTTAAATATAATAAATAAAACGTCAATTGCTAAATAAAAAATAAAAAAAAAAAACAGAGTATACTATATATAACAAAATAAATAAATAAATAAATAAATTATTTAAAGAAACCAATGTAATATATAAAAAATATATTAATTAAAAGAAAAAACAATAAATATGATAACAGATGAAGAAATATACATACACATGTAAAAGACTTAAATTCATATGTTTTATATGTAATAAGTATATATTTTGTTAGTTTTAAAATGTTTATCCAACTGTCAAATATTTATAGTATATTTATAATTATAAATTTATTTAGCCGTATTGAATATTTAATTGCAAAAAAGGACAATTATAGCAGTAATAACAAAAATGAATTAACTATTTCTAACCGGATTGTTGGTGGCTATGCAGTTAAGATTAGTAAATTACCTTTTATGGTAAGTTCCTTGCTGCTGAATAGTTATTTTTACGTTAATTAAACTATTATTATTGGCAACAGTTAAATATTAAATTAGGTTTCAATGCAATGGAGGCATGATTCCGAACATTTCTGTGGCGGTAGTTATATTAGACCTACATTTGTATTGACCGCCGCTCATTGTCTTTGTCTCAGGTACTCTGCAAAAAATAATTAAATAAATAAAAATAATATTACCTATATAATATACAGACTTAATTTATTTATTTATCTGGCAGGACTCCTCGTGGTACCTGGACGGTCATGAACCCTTGGCTTTTTGTAGTCGTAGGAGGTAGTGCTAATCTTAAATTTGCCCCCACATGGCAAGTCCAGAATATTTATAGGTTTATACCGCATCAAGGATTTCATTTTCGGACAATGATTAATGATATTGGTCTTATACAGGTTACATTTTTTTTATTTATAAATACCGTCTAACTTTTGCTCCTTTTAATTGTTTTATAATATTTCATTTTTGTTAACTTATCCGATTTTAGCTAGTCAAACCATTTCATATAACTAATTACGTTCGTTTCATAAAACTTCCCCGGGCAAGAATTGATCTTCGTGAAAATCATCTTTGTTCCACAATGGGATGGGGAGACACTAAAATGATCAATGCGGTAAATAGTTATTATAATTTATTTTTATAACAATTAAGGCATTTTTTATCAGATATTAAGGGGGTGGGGTGGGGGGGGGGGACATCATCTAGTTGATGAAAATTATGTTATATAACTTTTGGAAAACTAATTATTTATTATTGATAAAGTTCATTCAGCATATTACCTAGCTGGGCGGTCAAGTTAATTAACTAGTTTTGAGAAAATATCAGTTTATAATTGAATATTAGAAAATTATGCTGGTCAGCTTTTTGTACTGACTTAATTAATTAATTAATAACTTGTTAATTAAATGAATTAAATATTTAAAAAATAGCCCAAGATACTGAGAGAAGTATGGCTACCATTAATGGCGAATGAAGAGTGTGAGAAATATCTAGGAGGTGAATTGCCAATGCAACAAATGTGTGCAGGGAAAAAAGAGGGTGGCGTTGACGCCTGTCAAGTATGGGAAATTGTTGATATATATATATATATATATATATATATATATATATATGTATATAAATAGATATAAATATAGGATCCGAGTATCAATCCTGGAAGATATAATCAATAAAACAGATTGTCCCTTTTTGGTTTGTGTAGGGTGACAGCGGTGGCCCACTTATTTGCGATAATATCCAAGTGGGTATCGTATCTTGGGGATATGGATGTGCTGAACGTCACTCACCAGGAGTTTATACTAGAGTTGATCGTTATTTACCTTGGATCTACCGTGCTATACTCAGAAATTATTCATCGACTACTTTCTACAACCATTACCTCCTCCTTATCATTGTCATCATAATAATCATCTCTTCATCAACCTTCAACTGACAAAAATAAAAAAAAAAAAATAAAAAAAAAAAAAAACAAAAACAAACAATTACTTTGTTATTTAAATATCTTTTTCAATTATATACGTAAAAAATTTATTTAGATGATAGAAATAATATAAATATTCACCCAGTAATTCTAGATTTGGTTGAGAATATTTATTTTTTTATTTTTCTTATGGTATATATATTACATATTCATCATCAATCCTCAACATGATCCTTTCTTGATCTCGATAATGCGCGATATATGAGCTTAGAATTTATTATTGCGCTAAAAAATCTAGTTTAGCGCCACCATGCGGTCACTAAATAATTCAAAGTGTTGACACTGTAGAGACAACACACACCACGTGTTGACGTGTTTTTTAGAATTTTGTTAGTAAAACAAATATAAATTTTTAATTTTATAATAATAGATTATTATAAATAAATAAATATCGGTTAAGTGAATTATATATAATTAATAACAATGAATTTCAAGAATGACTTTGATATGTTTGTTGGTGGTAAATCTGGAGTATTTAAAGGTTAGATAATTTATTATTTTTGTTGATTACTTGTAATTAATTAATACTTATTATTGTTAATAAAATTTTTAGGAGTTAAAATTGATAAAAATAAATGTATAGCAAAAAATATACAAAATTTAGTATCAATTACAAAAGATCATGAAGTAACAACAATGTCTTGGGGTGATGATGATGATGAAAAAGATGTTCTTATTGGTTGTGGATCTGCTGAAAATCGAAGGTATGTTTATTTTTAATATTTTTATTATTTATTAATTTAAAATTAAATATTTTAGTGTAAAAGTTTACGACTCACAACACTCGGCTTTTTCGACTTCGTTTTCCTGCAATGTCAGTGCTGGAAAAATTCGTGGAATTTCTCGTTACAATGAGTAAGTTTTTATTTAAACTCTATGACAATTATTAATTACTGTAAAAAACATAATTGAACGATTTTAAAAATTTTCCAGTTGTATAATAACAGCAGTAGAATCTGGAGACATTAATCTATGGAGACGCAGCGAAAGTATAAAAGTTATAAAAACGAATGAGGATTTGCACGCCATGAGACACAATAAATTCAATAAGAATATAATAGCAACCGGAGGAAAAGAGCATCCTTTGCAATTATATGATTTGGAGCAAGACAAAGTAACGTTCAAAGAAAAAAACGTTCGACATGACTGGTTGGAGATGCGTGTACCCGTCTGGGTATCTGATATTGGTTTTTTACCAGATTCGTCTAAGATAGCAACTTGCAGTCGCTATGGATACGTAAGTAGTTTATTAATTAATTAATTAAAAAAAGGCAAAAAAAAAAAAAAAAATAGTATTAAAGTAAATTGAAATATTTTTCAGGTACGGTTGTATGATCCTCTTATACAAAAAAGGCCAGTTATTAATATTGAAGTCAAAGATCAAGCTCTAACTACTCTAGCAATTGCGCCAAAAGAAAAGTAAATATTTGAGTTAATTTATATTTAAGTAAATTATTAAGTTTATTTGAAAATCATTTTTTATTTTAGTCATATCGTAGTGGGCTCCGGCAAGGGAATAATGAATTTAGTCGATTTACGTAAACCTGGAAAGGTATTGAACACTTACAAAGGTTTTGTTGGTGGTATTACTGCTATTTCTTGTCCTAAAAATAATCCTTACATTGTAAGTGTTGGATTAGATCGATATTTACGTGTTCATAACATTAATACCAAGGAATTGTTACAAAAAGTAAGTTTATATTTAAAAAAAAAATATAATTAATAACATTGAGAATTTTTTTGTTAAAATTGACATTAAATTATTGCAGGTTTATTTGACATCAAGACTGAGTAGTATGGTATTGAGATCTGAGTTTGTCTTGAAACAAGTAGAAAGTAAAGAAAACATAACGAATGATGAAAATATCCAAATAATTGACGATAGTCAAATTAAAAACGACACAGAATACGATGAGATGTTTAATAACATGCCAGTCATTTCTAATGATGAAAATGACCGAAATTATAATGAGAATATTATTATAAAAAAAAGAAAAATTGTAAAAATTAAAAAATAAAATAATTATTTAATTAAAAACAGTTTATATTAATTTTAATGTTGATGAGAATAAATAAAAAATTGATCAATAATAATTATCTCGATATTTTTTTGAAAGTTTTTTTATTCGTTGATCATTTAAATTTAAGGATGTTCCCTGTTAATAAATTTTTATTATTTTATAATAATTCAGTTGACTTATAAACTTTACGATACTTTATAAACACTTTGTTGTTTCTGTTGATGCAAATAATAAAAAGACATGTTTTTTTATTTTTCTTTTTTTAATAATGTTTTTATCAAGTAAACGTGATTGCATTCATAAAATTATTATCGAATGCTAATTACACAATTTTACACTGATTAATAAGTTTATTGTTATTGTTAAATTTAAAAAGGCACGCGACGGAAAAAAAATTATGTGTAATATATATTGTTTCGTTTCAATGAACGTCTTTTTTTTCCTTTTTGTTATTTTTTTCTTTTTATTATTAAAATATTCTACAATTGGTGTTCAAACACCTGGATTTCGCTGGGAACAACCTTATACTTTTTATGTTTTTATTGCGTAATATAACGCCACAGATGGCAAGATTTTTTTTTCTTGTTTATAAGACATTTACAATTAATCATGACAACGCTCTTAATTTTTCCTGTTACATGATTTGTTTTGTTTTTTTTTCATTTTTTTCTTGTTTTTTTGTTTTTTTTTTTTTTTACAACATTTTACAGTCTACCGGTTTAAATATATTTAAATAGATATTTAAATTAATTAATAAAAGCTAGCCAAAAGCGAAAATAAATCGATAAAAAATTTACTAAGTACTACAATTTCTACAGTCATTTTTTAAATAATTATTTTTTAAAAAATAGGCCTTTAATTATAATTCGCACACATTAATCAATAATTATAATTATTATTATTATTATTATTATAAAGAGGCTGTATATAATTATGATCGTAATAATAATTTAATCAAAAGAAGTAATTGCCAATCTCTTGTTGTAAACATTATTATCATGATCTAAAAATCTAAGTCATGATTTCCTGATAATTATTTGTTTCATCTCAACAGGGCTAAGCTCAACTTATCTTTAATTATTCATTATTAATTATAATTAATAACTTAAAAATTATAAACTTGCCATTAAAAACCATCATATCAATAACTACTAAACGGTCTACAGCTAATACACTCAATTAATTATTTAATTATTTATTTATTTATTTATTCATTAATTATCTATTTACATAAGAAATAATCAATGACTTTAAGTCATTAATTAATTTATTTATTAATTAAATATTAAATGGCATTTTTTATCGACTGAAAAATGGTGAATTTATTTTTTCTAATCTATCACATATCAGTAAAGTTTATCTCACATTTATATTTTGTCTTCTCATTCTTTTCGTACTTTTTATTTATTAATATATTTATACATTATGCAAAAAAAAAAAAAAACCATTCATCAACCAACTGTACCACTTTATTTATCCCTAGTTAAAAAAGAAAAAAAATTTATGATTCAAGATCACTATTTGCAATTTAGTAAATTAAGTTAATAGAATGATTAAAAAAATTGATACAATTTAAAAACTTGGCGAATTTTTTTTTACAAACAATCGTTTCATTATAATTCTTTTTTATATGCAATATCACGAAAGTCACGATAATTATCGCTCGTACCTCAGCATTTAAAAAAACAAACTTGTAGCACGTTATAATAATTTTCGTTTCACTTTAAATTTATTTATAATTCGGAATTATGATTAAGTATGAAATATGAGGCAGCAATTATAATCAGTTCATTCGTCTGAAATTATGATGCGCATTATTAGTTTGGTGTATTCATTTTCTTTTTATAATTAAAAAATACATTTTTTTTTTCGCACAAGCACTAAAGAGCGACAATTGAGTATCAGTGATACTTTTTGATGTTTACGAAAACACATTGCAAGTAAGAAAAAATTATGCTTTTTATTTAAAAAAAAAATTTTTTTCAATAACTGAATTTATTCACCACTGGATACTGCTACTTCTCGTCGTGCCGACTCTTGGGATTGTTCAACAAGGGTCGATTGAGTCCCTAAAATATAAAATATAAAATATAAAATATAAAATATAAAACTTAATTGTTGTAGGCATTAAGTAGTTTTGATATTGTCACAAAATTATTTACCATTAATAGCTTCTGTTTCAGTATGAGCCTCGACACCTGTTTCAACTTCTATCACATCGTCTTCATCATCATCATCATCCTCGTCATTATCATTATTACGAGCGGCAACGGCTGGATCTGATTGTACTAAACTGGAAGCTGTCGAATCTTGTGCTCGCAATGAGTTTGAAATATCTTTGGTACTGCCTCCATCTTCACCTATATTTGTTTTATTATTATTTAATTATGTAATAATAAAATTTGTTTCTTTTGTTTATTGAGCATAATCACGATAACTTACCACATGGCCTTAAAACAAGATACAATAATATATCAGATAATGAAATAATACCAATAACTTTTTCATTTTCATCAGTTACAACTAGCCTGTGAACTTCAGCTTTTACTATTTTTTCCATAACGATAAACAATGTATCATCTAATTTACACTTATGAACTCCTTCAAACCAATCACTTCGATGTTGAGTTGCTTCTTTTAGAGAAACATCCAAATTATCATAAGTTTTCATAGCAGCTAAATTCTGTAATTCAATAAAAATTTTATTATTTAATTATTTAACAAAAACCAAATTTTAAAGATAAATATTACTTACAATTACATCAAATTTGGAGTAAATATTAACCAATTTTCCTTCAGAATCAAGAATAGGTAAGGCCGAAACTCGCCTTTCGACAAATTTTTTAAGAGCTAAAATTATGCTAGTTTCTTCAGTAGCTGTTGCTATATTATCATAAGTTCCTATTCTTAATTCTTCTATTGTTTTATCTACAAATGAAGGTCTTGGTAGCTCGTGAATCTGTAATATAAACAGACAGTTTGTTATTTCTAAATAGAATTATAATATGAATATCATAAACTGTTGTTTTTAAAACTTATTAATTAAATGGATTATCTTGGATAAGACAGAGCCATTTAACTGGATTAAAGGATTAAACAGCGGATATTGTTTAGTGTGAATAAGTTTAATAACTTACATAGAGGAATAGAAATTTGAGTATCCTTTTGTGTGTTAATATATAAAGAACATTGTCAGTATCCGGGTCTATCACAGGCAATCGGTGGATTCTATTTTGAATCAATGATTTAATGGCATCGTACATAGAAGCATCAGGTCCAATAGTTACCAATGGATGAATTTCTTTGTGTAAAACATCTGAAATATTATGATAATAATAACGATTAATAAATTATTTAAATTTAATAGCTGCTGTGTAATATAATAACCTCTCCAAGTATTAAGTTCATGTTCTTCCAATTGATACATTGTGACCGTAGGACTAGTATAATACTTTTGAAGAATTTTTATAAAATCGGTAATGGTTAGCATTCCAACAAATTGTTGTTTGGCACTGTCCCATAATGGCGCCGCTCTGACACCTATTAAAAAAATTTAATTAATTTATTAATTAAAAATTAAAATACATAAAATTTATAAAAAATAATTACCATTATAAACAAGAGCGAAGAATGCTTTTTTGACAGCGAGCTTAGTATCAAATATAACCAATTTTGCACTCGTAGGTATGAGATCATAACATTTGTGAAATTTAAAAAATTTCACGTATATCTGCGTTTCATCCTTTTCTGCAAATCCAAATAATTCACAATACAATAATGCTTTTTTGTTTCTCTTCATTTTTAATTCACAATAATAGCAATAACAATATTTTTAATACAACACAACAGGTTAATTATTAATATTGTTTAATAAAATACAGTCTGCATCAATATTATCCACTTGAAAGTAACTAATAAAATAATTATATGTATATCATGAAGTTAGTATAGATCACAATTATTGTATCTCACACAAATTATCATTGGAAAAAATTTTTCCATGAATCAGTAAAACAGATGACCTCCAACAACTTCTCAGAAAATAATAACAATTGACAAACGTATTGTACAATAAACGGGTGAATTATGAATTATTAATTATTAATTATTAATGGAAAATCCAATTAAACACAGAGATTATAATTATTATTATTATTATTATTATTATTATTATGATGATGATCATCAACCGAGCAATTTAAACTGATCCAAATTATTAATTTACAAATTTATAAAATTTAAATAAGCACATTTAATGATTAGCAATAAAACTTATGTAATTAATTAATTAATATTATTATTATTTTAACTAAACTCTGAATAAAATCAATGTATAAATAAATCAAATAAAATTATAAAATTAACAGACGATTTGTATCAGTTGTATTAAGACAGTTGAACAGATGCCAAAAAGTTCTCACTAATCGAATTACACTGGGTATAATACTTATATGATTTTATAAATTTAATTTTAATTTATGTAATAGCCTACTACTGTCCGGTAGATTTAATTCGGCGGTTTACAGAGATAGAGATAAATATGAAGAAATAGGGAAGAATCGATTACGATTAATGATATCTTTAATTAAACTTTGCGCTTGCCACTTACAACACGACACTAGATAACTAGTTACTATAAGAGATACTAATACTAATAATATGCCTCTATATTATATTACATAGATACAGTATAGTTAGTAGAGATCGGATGGTAATGGGTAAAATGGGGTAATCCCCTCAAAGGTGTTGTGAGCATGCCGTGTCAGAGAATGAAAAGTCGGAGGAAATTATTTTCTCATATCAGACCTATAGCCTTTCTATTCAAGCTGATACAACTCAAACACAATATTGAATTATTTAAAAAGTAGGTTTTTATAATTTAATTAAAATAGTTTTAGGTAATAAAAATCTATTATTGTCCCAAGAAAAACTTTTCTATTTTATTATTTATAAAAATTTAAATCTGAGATAAATTAATGAAATTATTTGTGGAATGTTGGCTCATACCTTGACAGAGAGTCTCGGCGAGTTCAGGTTCAAGGGGTGGATTCTCAACTGGAAATTCTTTGATAAGATGCTTCGCATAAATGGGACTATCATCAAAGTGATTACGCGCAGAGTGAAATTGAACATCGATCAACGAGCGAATACATTCAGCGTTTGAGAAATAATAAAGTGTTAACATTTTCGATCATCGTTTTCATTTATTCTCAAGTCTTCACATAACATAAGTATATATACTCTTTTTATTTTTTAACTTTGAAAATAAAGTATTATTAAATTTTTTAAAGCTCTTCTAAAGGTTCCAGATGAAAATAATAAGAATTATTTCTTCTCAGGAACAACAACTGAAATAAATTGTCCTTTAGTCTTGTGATACTAAATAACATTTGGTGAGTATAAAAAGTAACGGCACTACTTTTCCATAGCAACTCCCTGAGGATAAATATCTGTTGATTACCACCAACATATACCTCAATTTATTTATTTTCATTTCATTTCTTCATCATCATCATCATTAAAAACATCAACAACAACAACAACAACAACAACAACACTGTTTTTTTTTTTTTTTTTTTTTTTTTTTTTTTTTTTTTTTTTAAATCAAGTTGTTTAATTATTTTAAAATGACAGTATCACGCGTCACTTTAATCAAAACAAACTTTTCGACAGTTTGAATGCTAATTATAAATCAATTGAGGGTGACAAAATATATTCACTAATAATATTATATTGTATTGTATTGTATCGATAAGAAATGATAAATGAACAAGTTACTAGTGCGGTATAGCAAACGTTGCAAGCACATTTACTGGTAGATTTTATCCTTCATCTTGGTCGTACTCGTCGACGAACTTGTTCGTCATCACTTGCCAAGAATAACGTCTGAAAAACCGTGAAAACGATGCCAAAAAAAAAAAGTATCCAAGGCACATATTACTCTAACGGTAATCAAAGAGACTTTGTTTGTTGTTGTCATACAATATCTAATTAGTTTTATCAACTAAACGACTTTCCATCTATCCAATTACTGATGTTTACTCAAATAAAATAAATATTTAAGCAATAAACACCGGTAGTTACATTCAATCTAATTAAATAATAAATGTAAAGGATATCAACAAGTTAAGGAACTTGAGTGATGTAATATCATTGATTCAGCTTGAAACGTAATATAATAATAATAATACGAGTAAGGTAGAGTTTATCGCAGAGTGAATGAAAACACTGAGAATAAGCCCCTTACTACTATACAGGTTGATATGCTTCAATGTATAGTGACATAACTTATTGATAAATCACGCGATTAAAGAATAAAGAAAATCCTAACAGTAGTTGTTGTTGTTGTTGTTTTTTGTTGATATAAATAAGCTTTCAACAGAAAGGTAATCCTCCATTAGCTTTCATTGATGAAATATCAAATTCATAGCCTTTGAAATTCAACATCGTATTTTGTTGCGTAGGCGTTATTAAACGATCGATCAGTTACCCGGGAGTGGAGCTCACTAGTTTAGTTCAGCTTCGATGCTAATAATAATAATTCCTTGTTAATCTTTATAATAATCTTCAATAATTACTGCTCTATAATTATAACTTATAACTTATAACCATTCTTTAGAATTTTATTTTCTATTTTCTTCAGGCAAGAATGATACATAACAACCAGTTTATTAGAATAAGAAAAAAAAAAAAAAAAAAAAGTTTGGTCTTACTGGTGACTTGTTATTAATTCATGACCATGACTCTCTTCTAGCATGTAGGGAGCAATGTAACTATGTGATGTTGGATATATGACCTTCGTAGTAGAGGTCTACGATCGATCAGCTCAACAGAGTGTAGACAGAAGCTCTTATTCTAGATGTCAAGCGGCATTACTTATTGTGCTTCCATACATACTGCTCAACGCCAACGTATACTCGTCATTAGGATGTTCTTCTCTTCACTTCAGTCAGCAATTCCCACTCAAAATAACAACACCGAATTCAGCTTTTATGATGCACTTCTATCTCAGTTGGAGCTTTTTTTTTTTTTATCTAGGTCAGGGTCATGGTTTACACCCAATCGATCGTAACAACTCTGACGCAACAAACGCGGTCTGCCAGTTTATTCATTTTTTTTTTTTTAACTTAAATTCAATCACCTTATTAATCTCAACTTTATTGATTTTATATATATTATATTTATATTAATTAACCTTGTTGTGTTGTTTTTATATTATTAATATTTTAATAATTAATTAAAGAAAAAAAACTTACCCAAATCTGATTTTGGTTGACTTTTTGTGAATGAATCAGCCACTGGGAGCTGAAAAATTAATAAATATTTTATCGATTAATTAAATATTAAAACTTTGAATATTTTTTATTTAAAAGTTGAGTTTATGGAAAAATTTATAAGGTTATTGATTGTATGAAAATACTTGGGGATTTATAAAGTAGCTTTTATTTTTAGATATAAATAATAAATTAGAGTTTTGTTGATAGACAAGAGTGTTTACCAGAGCTTTCTTCAGCAACGTTTTTGGGCTAAAAGGCTGTCGTTTTTTGACATTTGCTGTTATTTTCGAGTACCAATTAGTAAATAAATTTGAGGAAGTCGGACTGGAGGTCGGTGAGGGGGCTTCAATTGCATTTGGGGAAAGTTTTGTGATATTTACTGGAGCACTACTACCACCAGTGGGTTCACTAGTCTGTCTTTTAAAAAGCATATTGCACAATTCAGCAAGTTTTTGATTTTGTTGTTGAGTTAAGTTGGATTTACTACACGCTATTTATATAAATATAATTTCGACTTCTCGAGCTGTATCTTACACTATCAATGATTCACAATCACCAGTATTTTGGACTCCATTATTTTTAGTTCAATCTCATTTTTAAATATAATAAATACTCTTAAACTTAGAATTATTTTATCGAAAAATAATTACACATGGAAATAAACAGATAACTTATAAAACACATTTTTTCAAATTATTCAATTCTTTTACAGTTCATTGAATCAAACAACTGAAATATAAAAAAAAAAATTAAATTAACTCGACAAATATAATTCACTATAATTATTCAATTTTTCGTAATTGATAAAATAAAAATATGTTGAAATTTTCATTTAAATATTTTGGCACTAAAATATTTTCAGTTTACATATTTATTACTGTCACTCGCACATAATATTTATATTTATATTTATAAATATGAATATACTGATATGTTATTTTTTATTTAATTGACTTGCAATAGATAAAATAATAATTGATTATATATTGTAAGTACTTTAACGCCAACAGTTATTGTATTTACTATGTTAAATAAATAAACAAGTCTCCATAACGTAGTTGTCTCATAAAAATATAAAATTATGTCTTTATAAATTATAAAACATTATTTTATCAATTAATCATTCTTAAAGAATAATAAAAATCTTAACATAAAAATAATTAAATTATTAAAATAATAACAATAATATAACTGATAAGATATTTATAATTGTTTTATTTACGACACTAATATTATTATTATTATTATTATTATTATTATTATTATTATTATTATTATTATATGTGTATTTTAAATAAAAATAATTTGTTGGATTTATAAATTTACATGTCAACAATTTATGTGTTTGCATATTTGCTAAAACGACTTTACTGAATAATAAAAAAAATCCCAGCGTTATTTTATTTTTTAGTATCAGTAACACTTTCTTCTTTATTTTTATTTTTTATAGAATATAAATAAAAATACACAATGTGTATTGCAAGTTGTTGAATACGATACCAGTGTAAAAGAGAATAAAGTTTAAAAAATAAATGATAATAATAATGTAAAAAAGACTTTTAATGTATTTGTAAGAAGAATAGTGTGTAGTAATGTGACGAGAATTGATAACGATAGTATAAATGGATTATATTACAATGAGAATTCAGGTTGACAAAATATATATTATAACATATGTGTATATATTCATAGAAAATTAATGATGTATATGTCCATTGACAGGACATAATATTTATTGATAAACATCAAATGTCAATCTACCTTTATATTTACAATTATTAATTATTTTTATCAATTTACTAAAATTTTGTCGAGCTAATTTTTTAAAAGTAAATTATAATTGATAATTTTATAAAATAAAAATTAAATCAAATACATGGATATGTTATTGAAATTTAATCACTAGTTTAAACACTTGAATTAGTTTTTATGGATTTTAATTTCATTAAAGAAAATTTCTAATTATTTACAAATAATTTTTTAGAGGTGTGATCCTTTCGCGACACCGCTCGCGGAATACTGAATAGCAGGATGGTACTCAACACTAGAAGCCGCGATTCAGAATGGAAGCAAGCGCGAGGTTCGAAGCGCAGTGACATGTAGTGTTATAATAAACATAATAAATAAATAAATAAATAAATAAAATGAAAAAGAAAAGAGGCCAAGTTTTTCTTCAAAAGCAATAAAAGTTATAAAAAAAATCTTCATTTAAATCCAATCGCTGAATATTCTTCTTATGACGAGTTTGATAACTCAAGAAATATCTACGTTTGAATTGATTGTAAAAAATGAAGCAGTGTTTGATGGAGTGTAAAAAAAATCAATAAGCTATCTCACAAACTAAACTTGAAAAATAATATACAAGTTTTTAAAAATCACAAGAATGAAAACTTATTTTTGGAGTGGGATTCAAATTCACATATGTTATTTGTCAGATAAAATAAAAAAGCTATACTTGTCGCTGCAGAGAAGATTTGTACCGAAATGATTAAATCGATCCACGTGTTCCCGACAGTTTTCATTTTTGACTTTGCTATAAATTTTATTATATTCAAGAGAAAAATACTATTTTCGTTTGCCAATAATCGAATCATTAATTAGTCGGTAATGTCTGGATAAAATTTATAAAGTTATAAGTTATGTCTTATGTTTTGTTATACTGGATATTTTATTATGTAAACAAAGAAAATGTTCTAGTTTTAGAACTATCAAGAATTTAAGTAAAAACTTTTAAACTATTTGGTTTTATTATTCAGAAAATTTTATAAGAATTTCAAATTGAATTTAAAAGAAAAACTTTACGTTATTTATATAACTGGTGAATAATAAATAATTGTTTTGTGAATATTTAACAATGAATTCAAGTGACTATATCAATTTAAAATAAATAATTTAAATTGTGATGAATAAAAAGTTTTCATTTAAAGATGAAAAAAAATGTAATTTGTATAATGTATTTTAAAAAGATGACATTTAATTGAGTATTTAACTATAATTGTCTTTGATATAATTAATTTTCTGCGCATGACACAATTGATTTCATTATAAGAGTAATGCAACGACCGTACATTATTTTGTGATCAACTTTTGCCAACGTGACATTAAAAAATACATGATATTTAAACCAAAAATTAAATAAAAAAAATTTGAAGCGCGGTTGACTTTGCAAATTATTTTCTTAATTAATCAACTGTGTAAGATGTAAGTATCTTTTAATTCAATGTTATTTTCCAAGTGAACTCACCAACTACTAGAATTTAATCTGACAACACATTTGTTCAAGATATTATAATAATATAAAGCTTATTTTTTATTATTTAAATCAGGAAAAATCAAATTTGAAAAAAAAAAAATTTACCCTGATAGCCAGCGCTTTCTCAGTAAGTGTTGACTTCCAACAGTTACGGTTAAGTTAATTTATCCATCAAGTTGGCGGTAATTCTTCACTCAACAACAGTTGTAAGCAAATTGACGGAAATCTACAGCCGCAACTTGAATACAAGTTAACAATCAAACTTGTAGTTAAATTCCCTTTCAACTTTACTACAATTTGACGGAAATACTTGTACAGCAAGTTTTGACGTCTATTTGCAGAGTAAGTTATAGGTAACAAATAGGTAATCGCTCGCTTTGCCAAGTCTTTCCGTCAAGTTTGCTTCAAATTGCGGACGTAGATTGACAGTAAGTTATAGGTAAGGTGGCTATCAGGATATAAATTTGTAGGAATTTACTGTATCTTTTGTTATTAATAATAACTTGCCAACAGCAGTGTTTAGTTTAAATTGATTTCTGTATTATCCACATTTTCCAAAACTTTTTTATCAACAGTTTAATGTTACTTTTTCCAAGAAAAGTTTATTATTAACAACAAAAATCAATCGACGATTTGAAACTTGTTGTTATTATTGTTTATGATTATGTCAAAGGAGATTTTTTTTTTAAGTTTAAAGAAAAAAAAAAAATAATGACCTCTAGACAACGACCCCTAAAAAGATGAGTTAGCTAGCGGTGGCTTTTCTATAAATAAATCCACTAATTTTTGCCCAACTGTAAAAGCACTGAAAAATTGAAAATAAAAAAAAAAATTTAAGGTGATATGTAACCCAGTAGAGTAAATGTATTATTTTTATTTAAAATTCTATTAGAATATCATAAAAATAATTTTTATGAAGCCATAAATCTGTTTTTTCATCTAATTGAATTTAAAAAAAAATTTTATTAAAACAAAAAAATTCTATAATTATTTATGTTAACTTAAAAATATGTGGCATACGTAGAATACAAGGTTGTTATAGAGATTGTTAAAAAGACGTAGATTTCTTGGTATGGGTAAATATCAATGAGTCAACGAAAGTATACGGGCATATTATATTGTCACGTACGCTTTAGAAAATTTTCACAACGTACAAGTTATTAGTGACAAAAAATAGAGCTAAGAAAGCCAATTACTAAAATTGTAAAAGTTGAATTTATTTTATTTTTTATTTTTTCAGTTTAAAATCATTTAATTTAATAATTAAAAAGAAAAAGAAACTCACCCCTCGAGCATTGCGAAATAATATAGCAGTGTGTGCTGGATCGAAATGATGAGTTCTACGACGTGCTCCTGGTATAGTTATAGGATTCCTGTCACCGGATTCAAGTGAACTCCGTCTAATAGCACCTGCAATTAAAATTTTATTTAATTTTTGTGCTTAATTATAACAAGTTTCTATGGATTAGATAAAATAAAATAATATAATTCAAGAGTCGTGCCAATTAAAAATTATTTTTAGGCAACAGCACTTGTTAACTTTTAACTGTGTCACTAAATTATTGTGTATCAATTTTTTTTTTAATAATTAAAAGTACTTGCTTTAATCTCATCCATTTTGACGTAACCTACATTTTTTTTTATTAGGTTAAATTATTATAAAATAATTAAGTGTAAATATCAGTTAGTAGAGTTATAACCTTATAACTAAGTAATTGAGTAGTTGGCAAATAATTACAATGACTAATGGTAAAATGATCGGTAAACTTGGATAACAATATTTGACGCAGCAAATAATGTTACTACAACTTTTATTTATGTTAACAGAGCTAGTGTTTCAAGATTAAATTGCGAGAAAATAATAAAATAGTTCTCTACTGTAATTAAGAGTAAGCTTCTTTTTAAAAATAATAAAAATCAAGTACTTAATTATTACTTTAATATGTTATATAATACAAGCACAAAATGTTGAAAAATCAAATTATGTATTTATAAAGGTATACGATAAAAAATAAATTAAATATGAAAATTAAGATAAGATAACCATTAATTGTTTAAGATAACTTGTATATTATTATTATTTTGTTTTTGTTTACCATAAGATTCACAATCAGCAATTAAAATTACTCACTGAAAATAAATAATTTTATTATTTTGTTACTTTTCGCAGGTTTAATTATACCCGAGTCTGCTTCTTTTATTTAATCAACGTCGATAAATATATATGATTGACCCTATTGTATGATGTTTCATGTAATTTTAAAGACAAACATCGCTTGTCAGCACTTTGGTATATTTTTTCCCTGTTTTTATTAATATTTACACTATTTTTTTTTTTTTTTTTTTTCATCCAACAATCTGTACGTGACTCTTAAACAAAGTCTGATACATCTTTATAAAAACCAGTTTATATTAATTTAAGTTAGGATTATCAAAAAAATAAAAGTTTATAAAATAAAATGTTACTGAAAGGTAACATATTCGTTAAAAACAATACTAATTTAATAATAATAAACATGATAAACGGAAACTATATTAAACTATATATATATAGTTATAATTTATAGCTGTGATGCATGTTAAGATTGATGTTAATCTAAATCTAAATTGTTAAGAGTAAAAATGAAATTGCAAGTGTGATAAAAGTCAAGAGTTGAATGAAACAAGTTATATAATAAAATAAAATAGATAAAATCTTGAAGTAGGTAATCACGCAAATAATTATATTGTCAACTATATTATTTAAATTCTACTACCTATATCAATTTTCTCTCTGTTGAAAAAAATATTAATATTTATATTCTGGTTTTGGATTTATTAATTTAATCAGACATGTGGCTTTTCCGTATCATATCTAAATTTAATTTAAACTCTGAAATATATATTGAAAGTAATTTAATCGTGTATTTCCAGAGAGTTAAATTAAATTATATGTTAGCTTTAAACTTTATAACCCCTACGGAAAAGTTAATAAATAATAACAGAAGACAAACGTTAAACTGTAATACTTTTGCCAGCAAATATGAGTTGGCTGCTGGGTCTGAAAAACAATAAATAGTGTTTACCTTGCTTGAGAATGCTTTCATAAATTCGATAAGTGGTTTCGCAGTCATCGGCGAGACGAGGGGAAGCAATTTTTAACGCGCCATCTAAACTCTGGCTTCTGTTTCTGAAATCATTTTCATTTTTTTTAGGAGTTTCCTGACACTCGCTTTGACGCCTGATATGTCCAAGTCTGCGACCAAAATGTCTGATCATCTCCTGAATACTGTGATGGTGATGATGATGATGATGATGATGATGATGGTGAGAACGTTTCTCAGTAGATTCATTGGTCGGACTCAATGAGATTGGCGTGCCAGCGCTGCTACTTATTGAGTGACGATGATTTTGGTTTCTTTGAGTTCCTTGATAAAGAGTTTGAAGAGGACTGTGATGCGTGTAACCAGATCCGTGGATTGTATGATAAACAGAGTTGTGATTATTGCCGGCACTGTGAAGCGGATTTCCGGATCCATAATTTGAGGAAGACGACCCGTGACTGGATCCATACGAAGACCCGTATGAATAATTTGAGCTGACAGAGCCACGTGATTGCTGACGGTCATTTATGTTAATCTTTTGGGATTCTGTATGCTTTTGATTGTTCAAAAGTTCTTGCAGAGCTCGTGAATTGTCTTGCTGATAGTACCGTTTTGCTTCACTTATCGAACATTTATCCTGGCTGCCTTTTGATTCGTTGCTCGAGCTTGAACTCGAATTGTGGTGAGACAACAAATTACTTAATGAGTGCATCGTTGATTTTTAATATAAAAATATATTTATAAGCCTGAAAATTTTTATTGTTAGTATTATATTTTTATTGGCTCGTTAAATATTTCATTGCTTAAGTTTTTTTTTTATTTTTCTCTGGAGATTAAAAACTCGTCTAGGTAAATAAAAGATTAAGTTTTTTATTATCGATTTTATTAAAACAAAAATCAGAGTCTTACGCCATAGTTATTTTACAATCTGTGGATAAAAATAAATCTTTAAAACTATTAATAATTAAAGTCACAGGAAACAATCTTGTTATTTTTTATTTATTGATTAAATTTGTCTTTTAATTTAATGATAATGTTCTGAAGTTTTGGTACAAAAAAATAAAAGGTGAAAAAATATATTCATATCAGTTGATTGGAGCTTTAAATAAATATCTACTATCTACGAAGATAGTGTAAAGGAGGAAGTAATAGTTAAAGGTCAGGTGATTTTATTACAATGATATGAAAATTTAATGCGCCTCAATGCCAATTTAACGCTGCCCACGCGAACTATTCAATTTTCCCAGATTTGTCACGTGGATTAGACAATGATATTTTTAATTTATCTTTACCGTAACCATTTGTAACACCAAAATTATATCACATCGTATAAAAATAAATATCGACGATAAACTTTAATAGAAGAAATAAAAATCCTTATGATGAATCTTATAAAAATATTAATCTAATTGGATTTTAACTTATCTATAGATCGACTACCATCTCAAATTACAGCTTTAAAGCAGAAGAAATGTTTGAATTAAAATATAAAAAATAAAGAAGTAAAAAGTAGAATATTGCAAGTGCAAAGGGAATAATAAAGCACAAAAGAAAATTTTTATTACTACATTGTGTGGTAAATCAAGGACAGTGCGCTGTTTTTTTTTTCTATTTAGGTCAGTACAGATGAGATTTTTGAGTATGCATATATATAGTTTAGCACTGCTTTGTATCGATCTACTTTGCGACTAAGCACAGAAATGCTAATAAATTTTTATTTTAAAACTCGGTTTATTTCTGTAAATAGTAGTTGCGTAATAACTTTACTTTGTTGACTGAGTAAATTAACAGACTCAGTAGTTTTTTTGAAAAATTAATATTTTTACTAAACCGAAAACTCTGGCTTTATTATTAACTTTCATGTCTTTGAAATGTTATTCATCTCAAATCCCTCAAAAAGGGACCAACTTCATGATAAAGGATCCAATTTCCATATTTTTCTCTTGTTTTTTATCAAGTGATTTATCTTTTGCTTAATATTATCCTCTTTTTTTTTTTTAAAGGAGCGATAATAAATTTAGTCTTTTATCAGTAGAAAAATTTACATTTTAATGTAAGTTGAAAAAACAATGATGAATATTATTATAAACTTTTTCAATAAAATTTTTGTATTTTCATTTCTGGTCATTTCTAATCGCCGAGCTGAGTGATCAAAAATTTTTTGAAAGATTAAGAAACTTTACTGTTACCATAACTTTTGATCCACGGGCAAGTTTAATATTTTATTTGACTATGGTATTTATTATTTTGATAAAGAAATATATTTTAGCCAAAAAACGGGGCCAAGGATAGCGACATCCTAATTTCGCTTCATCCCTTTTTTTATCATTTTAGCCGGTCGAATAAAGTATCAAAACCCACACAATACAGGCTTTCACTCGCCGAGTTCTTTTCTCAAGAAAATAATAGAACAGGCCATTCAATAAATTATTTTGCTAACAAGAAAATTTATTACAATTGTACGATATTACATTCAGCTCAAAAAATTTTGAGAAAATTTTTCATACGGAGTAAAATTAATATATTACCTACTAATTAAATTAAATTTTTGAAAAAAAAAAAAAAAAAAAAAAAAAAAAAAAAAGTCTTTCAAAAATGATATAATAAAATGATTCTTCTATTCTCATGTCTTTAAAAAATTGTTTAACGTCTCTGTTACAATAATTATTAATACAATTGATAAGATATAAATGTCTATATATTGTAACTTGACTACAATAGTAACCATTTTTAACATATGTAAGAAAAAAATCTGTACTACCATTATCGTTTTATATAATTTTTCTTGCAAAGTGATGAAATAAGTTGAATGAAATTTACTTAATCGAAATATCGTTTTAAATTTAGATAACAAAAACGAGACTTATTTTGTCTTCGTATAAAATAATAATTATAATTATTGAGTATTCTTATATTTTTAATAAATCAAATTATTCATAAAAATTGAATTAATAAATTAATAATTGAAACATTATTCATTAAGCAATAATAATTTTGACTATTAAAAATGAAATTACGAAACAAAACATAAGCTATTCAATAGGTCACGCCGAGTTTAAATTAATTATTTATTTATTTATTTCTTCTTGATTCATATATGTTTAAATATAGAGCCATTAACCGCGCATCTTTGCAGACTAAATAAAAATAATAAATTTAAAAAAACATAACCATTAAAATATTTACTCAATTGTAATGTTTATGCAATTATTTTTAAAGTCGCACTTTTAAATGAATTATTTATTAGTGTATTATTATAATGAATATTAAATGCATTTAAAAAAAAATTCGAAATTAAAAATATTTTAAAATTTTTCTTATTATACATTGAGCCTAAAGCAATAAACGAAATTCGTTGAATAAAACAATAATCATATATGGGTTATACAAGGGCATCGATGAGCCAATAAATAAGTTCCGTCTTAATTTAATAATAAAATGACTAATGTCAAGAATTATTAGATTTAAATAACACCTGGAGGGAATGTTGATTCAAAAATTTTAAATCAATTCATACTCTATATATAATAATTTATTATAGAATCAACATGTGACAATAAATGTTAATAATAATAATTTTAATGACATTAATATTTATCGCATGGGGTGATAAATTAATTTAAATAAAATTAATACGTAAACTCATCTCAGTACGGTAGAAATGTTGTGAATAGCAAAAAATAAAATTTATCGATAAAATAACCTTGTGTAATTAATTATCTATCAATTAATAATCAAAGATATAATTGTCAATATACAAAGTCTAATCAATAATAATATTAATGTAATAATTAAGGATTATTAAGAATAAAATGAAAGTGTTTGGTAATGAAATGAAAATATGGATTAAAAATAAGTATCTGGCAGTGACGATGATAATGAACAAAATAGCAAATAAACTAGAAGGTGGAATGTACTTGACCCAACATCAGTGACTATGTAACAAATGAATCGGATTATATAGATGTGGTTATAAACCGGTTTTTCTTCTGTTGACTACAAAGGTGGCTTAACTTAATGCACAAACAACTTCAATCAATATTTTTTATTAAATCCATAATTTAATTATTCCCCGATTAATTTTCATTATTTATTTATAAAAATAAATATTGTTTAAAAAATATAATAAATTTTAAACAGTGTAAAAAAATATTTATTATAAACTTGCAATGAAATATTTTCCAATAAAAATAAACACGTTTTTTTACTCACCAAAATTTCAATTATAAAATATTTTATGTTTAAACTAGTTACTTTTATAATTATTTACTAGCATAATAATAATTAAATTTCTAAAGATTATATCTGTTTTTAAAAAATGGGATTATATAATATAATATTTAATGATTAATCTGTAAGTATACTTGGCAGTAGTAATGTTTACAAATTAATAATATATAGTAACGCTAGTAACCAATTATTTTGAACCTTTCACTGATACATAAGCTAATAAAAGCTATCTGGGACAATAGTCTGGTGTATTATATAGACGCTTATTGACATCAAAGTTATTAAATGTTGAGGCCATCGATGGAGTTGATATACCACTATTTACAAGCAATATCAAAAAATTACAGCAGTCACTTTTGTTAATTATTTTTCACTGCAGAATAAATATAAAAACATCGGCTGTAAAGCGTCTCTCAATCTTTTTTGGCAACTCAATCAATAATTTTAGCGACTTCACAATTATATCCTGTGTTTATTTTATTCCAAAGCACAATTCAAGTTAATGATCATCATTCAATATAATTACGTACAAAACACATTGCACTGAGTGTCAAATAAAAATCATCAATCATCAGTTAATTATAACTTACACATGATCAGTTATTAATAATACATGTTTATATTTTACAATCAATTAAACTTTCAATTAATGAAATTTTACATTCATTATCATTTTAAAGTTTATTAATTTCCTAAAATTGGATTATTTTGTTGTTGTTGTTGTTGTTTTAATTGTAAATAGCCAAGTGTTTTGTGTCCAAACGAGACATTTATATTTAAGCACTATTTTAGTTTAATTTAAATTTAAATAAATACACGAGGTATTACTCAATTGACATTTTACTTTTGTTGATGGGATTTTTTAGTCGGCGAAAATTAAAAAGATTAGTAGGTATTTTTATCAGTTGTATTTATACGGGGTGTACGTGCATGACTGCACGGGTGTCGCAGTAACTCCAATATCTAAAATTCAACTCTCAAACCACGAGGTCTCCTATAGTACTCGGCGTCTGTATTTTCTGCGCAGATGCTACTCGTAAACGCGAATATACTAGAATATACAGCAAATATATATCATACATTACAATAATAATAATAATAATAATAATAATAATAACAATCAAAGATAAATTATTCCGAGTATGTAGTATTGCAAAACACATAACGCCGTGATATGATGTGAGAAAACGAGAAAACGCGCGCGCGCCACTCCGATCGCAGATTACTTACCAGCGAAACACGCCAGAGAATAAAATGCGCGATTACCGCCGAAACTTGAACTAAAAATTCTTTACTCTGTCAGTAAAGCAGCAGCACTTACCAAAACAATAATAAATAAAAATAATAAAATATATTTCATTTTCTGAAGCGGCTAAATTTTTTAATTACTCTGAATTTTTTTAATAATTAATATTTAAAATTTTTTACTTATCAAAATAGTTTGAGGTTATAAATATTCTATAATGTTTTGGATAAATTATCACAAAATTTTACTCCTAAATGCTATTTTATTTGGCACGACGCTTGTCAATAAATAATATAAATAAAAAAATAAATACCTTGAGAATGATGACCTAATTGTGATCCTGATGTGGAAGGTAAAGTTGATGCTGATGATGATAGCGATGACTGATGCGAATGAAGATTCTGAGATCTCTGTGAAAAAAAAAAAAAAAAAAAGAAAATAAATTATTATATAAAGAAATTTAAAAAATCAATACTTTTTATCACAGCTGAAAGAAGAAAACAAAGTCAGTGTTAATTGATAAAATAAAGTGTAAACAGTATAAATTAAAAATAAACGATTACATGTTGTAAAACCAGACGTATACCAGACACTTCAAGACTTTTGGAATCCAACGAACGGCTTCGAGGCTTTGAACCACAGTAGTCATCTTTTTTTCCACTTTTTATCCAACGAAAATATGATGACATTGTTAAATCATTTATTACTGTCCGTACTACACATCAATCACTTGAAACTTTTTGTTTCTTCTCTTTTCTTTTAGTTTTAATTTATTCAAAATTATATTTATCACATGATTTTAAAGCTTAAAACAGCAGTCGGTACTTGCTTTGTTGTTATGCAAATGTACTGATGTTAATAATAAAAAAAAAAAAGAAAAAAAAAAAAAAAAACGAGTCTATATCATTTGACTAATATTTACAGTATTATTTACAATGTTTATAGTAAACGCTTCATGTTTATAGTGTACTTATTTTTTAAAATATCATGTCAAGGATATCTGGAAACGACTCTAGAATATTGCTACTGTGTAATACTACTAAAAGTTTTTTTAATTTAAAACAATTAATATTATGAATATAAATGTTTTAAAAAAATTTATAACTAATTATCTCAAGTAGTACACATGTGACAGATGTAAAACACTCCTACGTTATCATTTATGAAACATGTAAGTTCAATACTTAAATAATTAAATAACGTATACATTAAGTTAAAGTTAAATACATCGATGATAAATTTTTTTTAAAAACTATTGATTAGAATTTGATTACTAAGGATTTTCATTGTAATACAAATATAATCGCTCGTTGACCTTTATTTCATAAATTATTCCGACACGTGTTTTTTTTTCTAAAATAACTACCGCTATGCAATATTTAATTCGTTAATGAAAACATCAATTTAAATTCTACCATATGATGATATATAATAATTTGATGTTGACTCAATCACCCGGACTTGTTTTATTGAATGAATTTTTTTTTTTTAATTATTATGATCACCTATCAAGCCATCTATTTGTAGAAAATTTTTTTGCAACAGCAGTTAGACCGCAATATTATTCGTTTTCGTATAAATTTACATTTTAAATACCAAATTGCCGGCAACCTTCTGTGACATCTGATCCACGTATACACTGAGGTGACATACAACTGAAAAATACGTCACAGACAGTGTGATAATATCTTTGATGTTATGTATGCATTTATTCATATTTATGTTTAATAATTTAATATATTGTGCAAAAATGAATATTATTAAATTATTATAGACATAAAAAAAAATATTTTAATTAATGATTATTGATTTCTAAGAGAGAAGAAATATAAAAACAATGGTGACACTTTTTTAGGTCCTTTTGATAATTCAAATTGACTGAGTTATTACTATATTTTGTCACTGGTACGTTTTACGAGCATTGCGTTATTACTTATTACATAGCACACGCGATTGTCACACATGTAATCACAAAAAAAAAAAATATAAAGAAGCAAGGTCGTGTAGAATAATACTGATAATTTTGTTTCAATTTGATTCAACACAAAATAATATAATTAATTTAACTTTTGGTGATAAATTTTTGTTTTTAATAATCGATAATTATTCCTGCAATAATTAATCAAGGTTTCAATTATACTTAAATAATATACTTTAAATATTAGGTGTTTGAATAAATATTGAGACGAAGTGTTTTGTGTTTAAGCTTTGTAATCGAATCCCGTCAAGTCACTGAGTGAAAAAAAAAAAAAAAAAAAAGAAAAAAAAATATATATATATAAACATATGTACTGGTCTGCGATGATTCGCGTAATCTCTCCCACTAGTTTAACTATTCCAATCTAGTACGTCACGACATTCTACCGTTTATTAATTAGAGTACAATAATAATAATAATAATAAAAACAAGACTTTAATTTTAATTATTCAAACATAATTGCCGATTAATTGGAATTTTAAATTAATATATAACATTAAAAACACACACTGTTTATATATATATTAATTAATTTATAAGTTACGAGAGTTAGAATTTATAATTATTTATTTTTTTAGATAAAATAATTGAGAGTATGTGTAACACGATTGACGATCGTCTGCAAACTGTTTGTTTAAACCGTATGAAGAAAGAGAGTTATGACGAAAATTATTCATAACGATCAAGTAACCGGTAAATGATCTTATAACTTGTGGTAACTGAGAGTTATATGAGAAGTAACAATAATATCATTTAAATCTAAAGTACATTATTACATGTATTTCCTTGATCTACAGCAATCTACATTTTATTCAACACATGCTTCTAACAATTACTTATCTAATGATACACCGGATAATCTCAAAGCTAAACCACCGAGTGACCTTATCATTTAATCACTTAACATAATAATAATTTATAATACAACTCACGCGTATAAGGATAAAAGATTCAAGTTTTTAATTATCATAAACAATCTCATCTCCAAAATTTTATCATCCTGTCCTTGATTTTTAATTTATAATTGAATAATTTTTAATTTAATTTAGTAAAAAAAAAATTTTAATTTATATATAAATTCGACGATGAATATCTAGAGCACTACCACAACAGCAGATGATAATGTAGAAAGTTTAATACGATAAATCCTAAAATAAAAATAATAATATATTGTAATAAAAATAAAAAAATTGATAAACTTACGCCTCTTCGCCTATCCTCAACTGTATTTGGACTTTTACTGCGTCTAAGTAAATCAATAACTCTTGAAACAGGATTTCTCATGCAATCAGCAGAAGCACGACGTTCATCTTTACGACTTCGGCGTGATTCCCTTTCAGGATTGACATCACTCGTGGAGCTTCCAGTTGAACTTTCACCTCCACCACCGACACCACCAGATCCACCACTACCTGATTCTTTTCCTCCTGCTTTATATAACTGTAGCTAAAAAATAATTATAATAAAATTATTAATTAATAAAAATATATTATCTAATATGATGTAATAAATAATAATAATAATAATAATAAAATTAATTACTTGTGCTCTGACGGTAGCAATAATACTGGACTTTCTTTTACTTGAATCAGACTTACTTCTCGAACGAAAATTACCCAAAAAGGTATTACGTTTAGTAGGACTTAGTTCTTCACTTCTTCGATCTACACTATTACTACGGCTATTACTGCGGCTAGTTGAGGCTGAACGTGTTGCCGTAGGATGTTTTTTCAACGCAACTGCCGACACAGATGCTGATGTGTTTACAGCTATTGAATGATGAGGTAAAGGTGTTGATCTCCCAGAATTAGGAGCACTACTTACTGCTGGCTTAGGTACTTTTTTCTTCTTATCTGAATTCGGGCTCCAAGTACCTAAAATAAAATTATATATATATATATATATATATATATAAGTAATCCATACAATAATTAAATAAAAATATTTATTATTATAATTATTAAGTTTTGTAAACAATTAACCTGCTCGTGGACGAAGACCTTCAACTTCTTCATTGGCAACGTCAATTTTTTTTTCCTCTTCCTTTTCATCCTTTTTAACTGGTAACGGCTGAGACAAACGCAACTCCTGAAATTAACAAATCAAAAATAATTATCGTAATCCAAAAAAAAAAAAATTATAATCTAATTTTTATTTAACTATCTTATCTCTATAAATTCACGTTTGATATGAGTATTTCATGCTATTGTAGTAGTATTAAACAAGAAAAAAATAAAAAATAATACAGAGATCTGTTAAAAGAAAAAACTATGATTAAATAAAAAAAAAAATATATATATATATATAATTTGTATAATATAAAATATCTCCATGCGTTCTGATAAACGTTAGAGTACCTTTCGTAGTAAATTTTATTTTTTTGATAAAGTTTTAATAAAAATTTTACAAAATAAAATTATCTAAATATTACGTAAATTTTATTTATTGAATTAATTCAAGTCACTTTTTAACGGGTATTTTTTTTTTTTTTTTTTTTTCCAATTATTGATTCAATAAATTATAAGAAAATTATTAGTTAAACACTAAATTTGTTACAATTTCAATCATATATTCTATTCCTGAGCCAAAATTTCAATTTTAATCACTTACAGAATAAATTAAATTTTTTTTTATACAAGTATTAAATGATTTATTTGAAATTAATTGATAAATAAAATTTAATAAGAAGATATTGATAAAAATTTCTATAAATAATCAAGTGATTGTGTGAGATAACAAATTTCATTGGCATTGAATTAATTAAAACTTTGTCAGCATTTTAACTAAATTACTTTTTGAATAAATAAAAATTTATAAATAGTAAAATATTTAATCAAATAATTATCTAAAGAATGAAATTGAATGAATATCTAACCTTGTAAGTACCATAATTATCATTTGAAAATCTTTCTGTTGATTTGGTTAACGAATATTTACGTTCTGTTGATTTAGTTAATGAAAATTTACGTTTTTGTCCATTAAAATAAGACGATTGATCAGTACTAACGCGTCGCATTTTATTTTTACATCAAGTAAATAAATATTAATAATAATTATAATAAATAAAATTAAAAAAATGACACGTTAACAGGTTGTTATATGTGGTTCAAAGCAAGTTTAAACGCAAACTGATTGTATAAGACAACGATAGAGTGTCATATAAGATAAAAAAAACTGTGCGTCAAAAGAGACTATCTCATTGAATTGTACTTCAGATTACTTCTATTGATATCAGACTATTTCTTTCATCATTTTTTTATTTTAATAATATCTGATTATGATAGACTTTTAAATTTAACTCCTATAGTTTTGATTTATGTTTATCTCTTTAGATATTTTTAACTTTCAATAGTTTATAATTACTTCGATTACTTAATTACTATCCAGGAATTCTTTCGATAATATTCAAAAACAATTTATTAATTACAATGATTTTATTGTTATTCTATTAAATTCCTGGTATACAATAAAGTAATGAGTTTTATGTGAATTTTATGGATTAGAAAAAAATCAAACAAAAAAAAAAAATAATGTTTACATTTACTTGTTGGAATAAATGATAACAACTTTGAAGAAAACTATCTATTAATGGATGAATTTATAAAATGTAATAAAGTTGCCAATCAAAGACTTAAAATGAAAGAAAGCTAAAAATAATTATGTCAAGGATAAAGAATTTCTGGTTGGCCATAAATTATTCAAACATCTTTAAATGATAAAACTAACTGCTAAAAATCAATAGTCTAGATAAAGCAAAAAATTTTTATCATTCTAATAAATAAAATAATACCATTAACACAATTTCGTTCAATGATTCAATGCAATTGTGAGGATTAAAGTAATCATATTGTTTAATTAGTATAAAGTATAAAAGTTCCTTTCGTTTTAATATAATTATTGTAATGTTTAATAAATATATCGTTATTCAATTAGTCTTCAATTAAATAAATTTTTTTAGTGACATACGCATTAGACTTTTTTTATTGCCCATGAAAATAATTCGAATGACTAACGTCGTTGTTATTTATCAACGACAATATAAAGTATAACAAAGAAAATAATTTCTATACTATAACAATGATATCTATTATTAAATGATAAATTAAAATGAATACTTATTATTTTTATTAATTATAAAACTTACTTTGCGCTTTCGTTCCTGCAAAAAATCAACCCTCTTAACCCAAATTTCTTCAGCAGAATCATAATCAAGAGTACTTGAACTACTGGCTTGGCTTTTCATTTCAATTAAACTCGAATCAAAAAATCTTTTATCCAAATGTGGACTCGGCAATGGACTTGTTCGAGAAAAAACCATGCTGTTGCAGTAATTTGGAGGATCTGTTGCCGGAAAAGTCATTGTAGGACCAGATGTATGCCTTCGACGTAACAATGGTTTATTAGCCGTCGGTGATGTAACAATTGTCGTTGTAAATCTAGAACCTGTTGATGCAGTAGGTGGCGGCCGAGGTCTCGACTCCGAGACACTTGATGTCGTATTAGATTTTTGATCTATTTTCTCTGAACTTGATTTCTCAGATGAGGATGGACTAGATACTTTTGATGTTACACTTTCAGATTTATCTTGAGACTCCTGATTCGTCACTTTCTTATCATTTGATTTATCCCCTTCATTTGTTTTTCCTAAAATTCATAAATATCAATATATATATATATATATATATATATATATTTTTTCATTTTTTAAATAAAAATTTTTTCAATTCTTACAATTATAAAACATATACCAAGTGTAATAAATTAAAAGCAAGTAGTTAATCATCGTTTTCATGTTGACAACAACGAATGCATTATTCTCTTAAGAAATTCTCATAAATAACAATTTAATTTTTTATTTTTTTAACATTTAGCTTCAAGGTCAAGTATAAAATACAATAAACTACTTGTTTTAATTAAAATTACCACGTAAATTGTTAATCTTTCCAATAAAACAAAATTAATTATCACTAAAAGTAGGGTCATGTCATAAATATAATAAATATGTATTAAGTTAATAGAAATAGTAACATCATACGATGTTTACTAAGGGAGTGATAGTAAATTGATTATCGAAAATTATATTAATTTTAACCCACGTGCATCTAGATATTATATGTATATACTGATTGGTACTATGGTTATCCAGAATAAAAATTGCTCCGTTGAATAAACTCGTTTGTTCATGAGTATGTGCATAAAAACAGAAAAAAATAAATGATAATAATAAGAAAAAACGACCATTAATTTTGATTACCTCAAGTACTTAAAATGTAAATAGACTCAGTAAGTTAGGTTGATGAACGCTTTCACGCTTTTAATCTAAAAGTTTTATTTATAAATAGTAAATCGTTACCTAATGCAATGTAATGTAAGTGCTAAAACTAAAGTTTCGCGCCAACTGACAAAAGCATTAATGCTATAAACTTGTTTTAAGTTATTACTAATATTTTAATAATAGGAATTTAACACTTTCACGGACATTACTTCCTGTTATTTATGCGTTTATCAGAGGACCGAATTAAATTTTATCACAATGCCCGCATATTGTATATTTTTTTCAGTTCTCGTCTTTTACTCTGATGAAAATAGTCATTAAAAAATTATATAATTATTCAATAGTTTGAGGAAAAAAAAAAAATGAATAGAATTTTTAATGAGCTAAGAGTTTAAAATAAAATGCATTTAAATAAGATGACTAGTTTATGACATATAAATTGTATAATATATAATATTTAAGTTTAGAATGTTGGCAACTGGTGGAAAAAACCTTCCTCTAGAAGCCATATATTTATGTATAAGATATAACAATGATACTATACGCTTGCTATAGAAACCTTAGAGTTAAAAAAAAAAAAAAAAAAAATACTGAAAGAACTAAAAAACAGTATTAAAAAATAATAATATAAAAGTAAAAAGTACCTTCTTCAGTCTCATCTTCGTCTTCTTCACGGCACTCGGAGAGTCTTCTGCCCCAGGGATAAGGGCTGTGAGTTTGATTTCTTGAGGGCAAACGATTAACGTGTGACAAAAAGTAATGATGAAAAAAACTGTCAACATTGTCAGAGTCTTCGCCAGTACACTGAAGCATATCTTTTAACGCGGCGAGCGAGGTAATCGTGTTGTAATTGATAGTCGACACAAGATCGTCATCAATATCACTGTCGTCGGTGGTATCATCATTTTTAGCGGGTTCTTCAGTCTTTTCTTGTGGTTTATCAGAATCAGCGGCGGGAGGTGAGGGAGGTGAGAGAGGTGAGGGAGGTGAGAGAAGTGATGCCTCTTCCGGTTTACCTGAAGGATCGGTCTTGTCTTCAGAAGTCGTCTCAGATTCATCATCCGAGGTCGACGTTGACGATGTCGAAGACTCTTCATTATTATCACGTTTGTTATCCTCAACTTCAGTCTTCTCTTTACTCTCCTGTTCTTCATCGGAGCCCTTGCCTTCGTCTTCCTCGGGGTCCTCTTCTCGTGACGTTTGTTTTTCCAGCTTCTCCAACTTCTCCAACTTTTCCAGCTGGTTACCGTTTGTCGAGGACATTGCGTTTACCCTATTTTCCGAATCATTTAAAGCATTGTTAATGTCATCATCATCATCATCATCATCATCATCATCATCATCATCATCATCATCATCATCATCATCTTCTTTCTTTTTATTTGTTTTAGTTTCTTCTTCCGAGGCTTCATCGCGCTCCAGTAACGCTTCTTTTTTATTAAAACAGCCATCAGTCTCGTTTGTTTTTTCGTTACCAATTCCTTCCATCTATAAATCTGAAATCATATTATTATTATTATTATTATTATTATTATTATTATTATTGTTGTTGTTACAACATTAATAATTGGATAAAATTAGTCAGTTTATTAAAGTTTAAGCTATACTCAATACTTAAGTATATTTTGTTACATTAAGCATAACAATATCTAACAGCTATACTGTATTGTAATATATTATGCATGTGGTGCATTGCGGTAAAAACAATTTACTCATTCATTGCCTCATAAGAAAAAAAAGAAAAGTGTGTAAGTAATAATATATCGATTATAACTCTACTTTTAATTGAAAGTATTAGTTTAAATTGATACTTTTCGCTAAAGTATAGAATAGGCAAATGTAATGTTTTTGCAGAAGAAACAAAAATACCCTCATGGTTATTTAACAAATTTGAAAGCTTTGATTATTACGTCAATTGTTGTATATAAATGGAAGTTATGAGTGGTAAGAGTTATCGATCGTTGCGAATACGAACTGGTTATTTTCTTTCTTTATACTTAGCTCGCATTTAGGTATATTATACCGGAAATCCGTAAACTCTCTGAGAATTATAATACTGTCATTTTATATTTTCTTTGTTTTATTATTTACTTATTCATTTATTATTATTATTATTATTGTTGTTGTTGTTGTTGTTGTTGTTGTTACATCAAACCACTCTAATAAATATAAATAATTAAAAAAAAAAAAAAATATTCTATCAGAGTACTAAATATTGATGAATATAGTGAAATATTTAAGTGCATATAAAAAAGTATGGCTTGGCTTCCGGCCAATATCAACGATAAGGACTTGTTTACAGTGTGTGTCTAAATGACGTAAGGAACTCAAGAATGTCATTAAACATTCTATATCATCGATTGTAAAGAAGAAAAACTACAGCGGCTGGATTTATTAAATTATCTTTAAGACTTTTCATATTTTTCCGAGATAACTTCGATCATTAACCAACAATCTATTTAATTAATATTTATAAAAATTTAAATATTATAGTTTAAATTTAAAAAATCGCCTGTACTATATTTTGATCATAACTATATTGTAATGTAATGATAAAAAAAAAGACATTACGATTACCACACCTATTTAAATAAGTCGAGCGATGTAAGCAAGCACACATTTAATATTTAATATTTAATATTTAATATTTACAGGATTAATACCTAATCAATTCCATAAGATTAAAGCTGAATATTAATATTTTATTGATAATGATTTTAAAAATTGTTGAGGTAGGTCACGTCTTTTACGTCTCACGTCTCACATTTCAACGCTCATGTTATTTTTATTTTTTATAGTACGAGTGTTATGTAACCGAATAAACTTTTTTGCTCTTTGTTCGTTGTTTTTATAATTTAAAATATCACTGCTTGATAGAACGGAGCATTTAACTTTCTGGCTTGCCGCGTGACATAATTCGCGGCATCAATGTTACTGGACACGCGATATCGACTCGCTGGTATATTATATTAATATATATGTACTGTTAGTATGAGAATAGTTTAAAAAATATTTTATGTACGTACAATGTCCATTATGACTAGCCAAAACATTAGTCAAGTTAAATTTAAATTCGATCTTTGTTTTGTATGTTTATGTATTTTTAATTATTTAACAATCCATAAATATGTTTCAGTAAAACAAACAAATCCATTGTTTATCTCAATTATTATTATTATTATTATTATTATTATTTTAAAACTAAAAATAGGTTAATAAAAAATTCAGACTGATAAAATTTGAAATATAATTAATAGAATGAGTAGTGTATGACTGCTGTACAAGTTATAGTGTGCAGAAGAGCTGAGTTGAGTTTAATGTCGTGTAGTTTGCACCATTTGAAATAAGTCAACCACGAGAGAGACCCCGATCACGCGATTATAGTAACAGCACGTGCTTAGCGTTATAATGACGTCGATTTGCGTCTATAAGGAATTTCATCCCACCAATATCAAATGAATAACTGCAATAATAAGGATGCATCACTTATTATCATTCACTCTAAATAATAAATAAATTAATTCAAAAATTTACTATTTTAATTTTTAGATATTATTACAATGTTATAAATGTTTAAATAAATTACTTGCGTAATATTTGGCAGACTTTCAAAATCAGTGACAAAAAAACAATTCATCTTTTCAAGACAAAGATTTTAATTTACTCTCTCGGGTTTTAGGTGATTAAATTTTTTTAAATTTTATTTTTATTTATTATTTTAATCCTTCAAACTTTCAATGTCTCTCCTGAAGATAATAATATATTTGTATTATTTTAATTCTACAACAAACACCTTTGTTGAAGAATTAAAATAATACAATATAGAAAAAAACAAAAATAAAACTGTAAATACTGAGAAACTGAGGATAAAAATATTTTTGTAATTAGCTAAAAATATTATAAATAAAAACGACAACAAGATGACAATAACGATAAAAGTTTGTTAGTACGTAATCTCAGTCGCCGTTTTGTCTGGCAGAGTTTAGTAAAGATGGGAAGATGGGGGCGGTCTGAGTGCGTCTCGTGGTCTTCTTGGATTGGAAATTCCAACTGAACTGCATACACCACGTCCTCATTCGCGTCTATTATTCATTTTGAATCAAAGAGCCAAATGGATCCACATACACACACACACACACACACACAAATAAATACACGTCCTCGACCTCTTTATAACCTTGTCACACACTACACTATTAATTCTACTTTTCAGTCATACATACTCCTAATTACTATTATTTATAATCCACTTAATTGATCCGGAATACATAGCAAAAAGCAAAACTTTTACTCGAGCAACCATTAAATTCTTAAGTTTATAAAATTTACAGCCCACCACGTGATAAAACTTTAGCGCAAAACTAAATAAAATGAAAAAAAAAAAAAAAAAAACCTACTTCTGTAAGTAAAGTACGTGAGTAAATTTTGTAAATAATTTTTACAAGCATAAGAAAATAAAATAGTTTAAAAAAATTTAATTTAATGAGATTTAAATAAAAAATGAATTTATGTCAACTAATTTAATTATATAACTCAATCACGTTGAGAGAAATTATCGACCTTATGTCCTTGTCGGTCATATAATAGACATGTGAGAACAAACTAGTATAATAGCAGTATAGTAGTGATAGGATAGTTTAGACTACTGCTGGCGATTACTTGATCATTACTCATTGATGATCCATTCATCAACTGTTTAATAATCATCATTGACATATCAGTTATAAATCCTAATTTCATTTATTATTATCCTATTTTAATCCTAGTTACTGAACTAAGCAGTAGATCATACCAATAGAATATTTTTTTTAATTTAATAAAACAGTTGTTGAGTCTTGTGCAAGTAACAAATATATTGTATGTAAACAATCACGTGGGTGGTTTAAATTTTATGGTGAGTGTAATCACCACGCTTGAATATTCAATTATTGCATGTTACTTCAATGTTAAAATTATTTATAATTTTCAGTGTATGTATACGTGCTTAAAGTGTTTGCATTAATTATAATAACTGCACCAGGTCAATTGATAAGATAATTTATTTCGAAAAATCAACTGCAACAATAAGAAAAAAATAATATTAATTTATTAAATGAGTAATTTATTTGAATGGTATTATCGACTACTTATATGATGTAATTGTAATCATGTCACGTTTAATTGAGTTCCGGTGATGAATAAATTTATTAGTTTTATAAATCGGAAAATTACTTTTTTCTTTATTTATTTGTCAACAGTATATATTATACCTAATAAATATAAGAAATAATCTACCGGTTTTATGTATAAATTAAAGTTTATTTAATCAAACAAATAATTAAAATAAATAAAACATTTTTTTATTCTTTAAGATTTCTCGATCTCTGTAAATAAAGTATACGAGTGTAAATTTTAAATTACCGTAGTTAACTTATTTACACAAATGATAAAGGATCAATTGTAACATCCATAGCAATTTCAATTCAAGGAAAAATATTCCACAGTTAAATTCTTACATAAAAAAAACTTTTTAAAACTTATTTGAATGGATTAAAATTTTTTTAGCGCAACATCTCATTTAGAATTTTTATAACTAACAGAGCTTGATATTGTATACCTTTTTATATGAGGTAAACAATGAAATTCTCTTGTATAAATTTTTTTCCTATCAACACACCAGAACAACGTAAAAATTTTTCAATATTTTTTCATACGTAAACAATTGTAAGAAATAAATTAAGATAAATAATAATAATAATAATAATAATAATAATATTGTGGTGAAGAAAATATATTTGAAAAATAATAAAAATGTTTACCTTGCTTTTATCCACAGCCTCCTCTTATTAACGTTCCACTTGAAAAATGGCACAACACTTAAACTTTATACTTATTTTATCTCGTGAAATTGTTTTTATTTTCACTCTATCGCAAATACTTAAATCCCACGTTGTACTTTTATTATTAGTTATTAAAAAATTGTGTTTTAAAGTTAACCAAAAAGTGTTATAAAAATTTAGCAGCTTATTAAATAACCATGTGGATAAGTATTTATCAGAGTACATCTGTTATATCGTATTTGATCATTTTCCATTTTAATTAATCACACTCGGCTGTGAGGAAATAAAAATAGTAACAACAAAATTATATTAAATAGAATAAAAACCAATTGAATCTCATTTAAATGTATTGATTACACACGCACAAAAGTATCTTTATGCAATGTAATAAATATAGACTACTCTAACTGTTAATAGATTAAAACAATGATAAAAAATAAAACAATTGGCAATGATTAATGAATTAAATCAGATAATAAACACTGCCAGAATTCTTCTTGCATTCAATATAAATAAAATCCTCCAACACACGATGCTCCAATTAATTATTGTAATACAATGACAACTAAATCACGTTGGAGAAAAATTCACGCTCCACTTGACGGTGGAAAAAAAAAAAAAAAAAAAATAAAAAAAAAATAAAAAAAAATAAATAAATAAAAAATTGAAATTGAAATTCACTCCATTTACCTCACTAAACCTGATCACTCGTCGCTTTGGTTATTTTATTATTTATTTTATTTATTAATTTTTAAACCTCTTGAGTAATTATTTAAAAACAATTCACTTTTTATTATTTTTTTTTTTTATTTTGGAAGCCCAACAGCCACGACAATTTAGCCCGGCGTTCATCCAGATGTCACACCACCAGATTTTCGTTTTTTTAATTCCATTTTTTCACGTAGCCATTAGTACCGTTGTATTCGGTGTATCTATAAATAAATAATTAAATAAACATGTTAAACAAAATGTCTACTAATTATAAAAAAATCTACAAAAGAAAAACTAAAATTAATTATCCACCCTCGGCAAAAAGGCTACTAAAGACAAACACTATAAACTAGACAATAAAAATAATTAATTGCAATTATTACTATCCCACGTCAGCTGGTTATTTTTATTTTCCTCCATACTCTTTTTTTTTTATTTTAATCAGTTATCAGTAATCACTAATCATAACGTGACATACCTAAACAACTTTCTCTTCTCGGTAACTAATTTTTTATCACAAATTACTATAAAAAATAAATGACAAAAAAAAAATAGATTGGAGTAAAACAACTGAATTAAAAGTAGTTGGTTGGCGAATTTATTTTAATATAATAAAATAATTAAAAATTGAATGAATATTGTAAAAAAATAATAAAAACTACCGGTGGCTATTGAAATAAATAAATTGACACATGCTTACGTGAGCCCTAGTTAAAGCCAACTACTCAGTACTCCCGCCTCATCCACGAGTACTCTCGTGGAATCAACAAAAGGCGAATCCACAATAATAATTATCTTATACGTAGTTACTTTTTCACTACTCAATGTAATATACTAACTCTTAATAATGTATGTACAATAGAGCTAACGGAAACAGCTGACATCAACCGATACCAACAATACCAACGTATAAATAATCTAAAAAATAATATTAATTAAGATACAATAAAATAATATCTGAATATTGATAACAACAAAGATTTACGTACATGTGCTTGTGTGTTGTTAAAATGTACTGATAAATTTATATTGCTGACAATGATAAGGATGATGATGATGATGATGGTAGTGTGTATATTATTTGTTAATAATTATATTATATCAATTTATGTACAACAACAACAACAACAACAACACTAAATAAAATAGATAAGTTATGCAGATGGTATTACGTTTAAGTAGTAAGTACACTTGTATACAAGAATACACACGCGGCTTATACAAATCAAAATAAGAAAAGAAATCAGTGATGTGAAAAATAAAATAGTGGTGGCGAGTGCGCCCCCGCCGCGGATTAACGCGGACTCCAAAACGCCAAACGACGTCGTCGACGGTAATAATAATCGACTCGACACTCGACGATGGTCGACGTCGTCGTCGTCGTTGTCATTCGGTTGTTGTCGTTCGTATTCGCATATTTAGTTTTTTATTCTTGCTGATTCGTATGTTTTTTTTTTTTTTTTTTTTTTCTATGGCGCTCACGCTCGCTCCAAGTTTCATGCTAACAAACTGATGGCGCCACCAGGCATTGTCCTAACTTTTGGGTGATAGGTGATAAATACCGTCCTGACGTCCTGATGGTGCACGTATGTATTTATATAGGTGTAATTCGCTAAAGAAAAAAACATAAAAGTAATAATTAAAAAGAAAAGTTTCGACGTCTCTGTGTCGAAACGATAAAAGATAGGACAGAAGAAACGATAGACAACTAGAGCGAGAACGAGCACGAAGATTGTAGAAGAGTGGAGAAGGGTGAGGAGACAGAGACGTATATTTGTCCAGAAAATATAACCTGTATTTTTTTGAAATGCTTAATGCACTTCTGTCATCTGGATGTTTTATTTATTACAATTGGTTTCATTAAAACAACATTTTTTTTAGTTCAATTTGTGTGACAGTGGATTTATTTTTGCTTTTGTTTTATTTATTTTTAATAAAACACCATGAAAATTTTAGTTAAAATTCTTCAAGGACGAGAGTGTGTCGTGGAGGTACGTAAATATATATTATTTTTTATTTATTCAATACACTGTCATTTTCATTTATAAAATTACCAATTAATTTATCAATATATATAATAAATTTTTATTTTTTATAGATATCACCATCAGAAACTGTTTTGGAGTTGAAAAATAAAGTTAGCGAGCTTTTGGGTGTGGACGTTCCTCAACAAAAACTTCTGCTTACTGGCAAAGCACTTGCAGGTTAATTTTTAATCTTTATATTTATTCTACTATGCTATTTTTTTAATTATTAGATAATTAATACTAAGTATTTTTTTTTTCTTTTTTTTATTATTTGCAGATGAAAATCCATTGAGTTTTTATCCAGGAATAAAAGACGGCAGCAAGTTAAATCTAGTTGTCCGAAAAACGACACAAGAGTCAAGCGATGAGAAGTCACCTGCAGTACAAAAATATGGAACAGCGTTACTGCGTGAATCAGTATCTAAAATATTAAAAAAATATTACAGTCAAGCAGAAACGGAGTCAATTACCAATGAACTGGTCAAGGAATTAAGGACCAAAGTTAATAACCTTAGTTTCGACGATTTGGAAAGATTAGCTACCGCTTTACTTCAAGATCAAGAAAATATAGTATGATGTAATATTTATTAATAATAATAATAATATTATTATTATTATTTACTATTCCAATTTATCCCTTTACAATATATAATTATTAATATTAATACTGTAATAATAGTTTAACTAAATTAATATTAATTTTCTATCGACATAAATCATCATGGTATACTTAGAAAAAAAAAAAAAAAAGGTTAAACGTAATCAATTTAAGTTATAAAATCAATCATTTTTTTTTTTTTTTTTAATTGTAACATCTCAACAACAAAATACACCAATTTATAAATTATATTGGCTATTTATTATTTTATTACGCTAGAAATAATTATTTATATAAATAAAAAAATCAGATATATTAAAATATATAAAATTTATTTGATAGTTAATTTACAGTATTTTATTAAGGATCAGCTAAATCTAATTGTCTGAAATATCTTGCTACGAGACAGATGAAAAGATTCATAGTTGATACCTCTGCATCATTGCTACAAGTCTGAAAAAAATTAATAAATAAATAAATAAATAAATAAATAACAACAATTTATAATAAACGTTACGTATCAATTGATGACTTCTTACTAAATTAGCTCTGGCGCGTGAACAAGCTCGTGCTAGTTTTCTCAAACACGAACAGACATCAGGATCTAAAGGAAGATCAACTACACTTAGCAAAGCATAAATCCAACGTCCTAACTGAGTAGTTAAGCCTTGACTCTCAACCTCTTCAACAAGATACTCGAGTAGTTGATCAACCAGTTGAATGTGATCTTTTATGCAAAAAATGGTGTCTAAAGTTGGAAAATGAACTTGCTCATCATCAGATCCGAGACAAAAATTAATCCAACCTTTCTGATTTTCTTTATTCGGCTAAAAATAAAATACAACTATCAATTGTAAAAAAAAAAATAATACAGGTGACATTACTTACAAGTACTTCTGACTTGTTTTTATCCCTACAGTTTTTCCTTTCAATTTCAAGTTTGGCTACGTAAAGTCTCAGCTCTGAAAAATTAGCTACTTGACAATTCTGCCACTCCAATGTTGGAGATAACGTTGCTGGAGCTTCGACACACCCTGCCAACTTTTTCAATATCCTCAATTTATTAATTTCTTAGAATCATCGATTGTTATAAAAAAAGTTATTTAAAATAAATAATTATACTCACAGTTTCGGTAGGAACGTCAGGACTCTTTAACTTTTTACTGTCAATATTAGCTACAACAATGTCATCGCACTGTTGAGCTTCAACCCTAAAATTAAATCATTTTTAATTAATAATTAACATAATTATAAATATAAATATAAGTATAAGTAATTACACGACACGTTTAATGTAATCTTCACCAGAAGTTGGAGGCTTTGAAAAATCAATTTCTCCATTTATTTCTCCAATGACAAATACTGCTTCTCGGAATGAATCACTCATTATTTTATTTTTAATAACTATTTAAAATACTTGATTAACAAATTATACAAAACATCACTTATAATCAGATTCATTGTTATTATTTTTTATCACTCCATATATATACTCCATGCGGTTGATATTTATTGAAAATACAGAAAATTTACTTATCAACAATGAAAGAGAAAATTTTATATTGAACAATGTAATAATAACTTTTTTATTATTGTTTTTTTTTTAAATTTTTTAATAATTTAATTAAAATTTCGAAATACTTGTTTAATGAAATATTTTATTTTATTTTATTTATGAAATTAAAAAAATAGCGTATTATATTCATATATCCTATATTATAATTAAGGTTATACCGGCAAAATAAATGTTTATATTATCAACAATAAATTAGTAATGTATTTTATTTTTTATATCATTAAAAAATATTTTAATAATAACAATTTTATAGTCAAGCAATGACGTATATATGTATTGATATATATATATATAAAAATTGATAAAGGTTTTAAAGTAAATAAATTTATTATAACCAACATTTAATGTTTATTATAGTTATATTTATTTGAAATTGTTTCTCCATTCAAGTCCATGGATACAGTTTATAGTATAAATAAATACACACTGGTCACAAAAATAATAATCATAAACTCTATAATCAACATAACCATAACATATCAAGCTGTCAAAGTTTCATAGTTTTAAAATAATTATATATACATTAACTCTTGAATATTTTGACGTATGATAAAACGAAATACGTCAAAAGTTTGCTTTTATTTATTTATAGATATTTATAATACATATAGAGTAAATATTTATTGTGCAAACATTGCTAAATAATTAAATGCTAAAGTGACTCCTAATTGATCAAGTCTATTAAATCGTTTTAATCTCATACTCTTGGTTAAATTTATATAAAATTTTACTGTTTATTTAGTTGGAGCGATACAAATAATCTAAAATAATTTGCTGAAAAATTTTTTGTGGAATTGGTTATTAATTAAAATAATAAAAAGTTATAATGACTCCTGGTGTTAATGATGGGCCGAAAAATACAGGAACATTACCTAAAAGTAACAGAAGATATGACAGAAATAGAGAAATTATAAATTCAAATCAACCATCTGCTCGTACTGTTTATCAAAGTCGTACTCAGCATTCAAATAATTTGGTAAATTTATAAATTATATTATTTATTTATTATATCAGTTGTAATTATATTAGCACTTTGACAACACGGCTAAAATAATAAAATTTTAATAATAGATTTACTAATATATAATTATATTATTTAAACATATTAATTAAAAATAATAGTGGTTTTGTTAGATGGTGATAAAGTTCTTGAATAGCTTGAGCATCAGTATAAATTCAAGATGTTAAATAATCTAAAAATAATAAAATTTGAATAGTGGGGAGTAATTCTATCTTGAGGCTTTTAAGTCGATTATTTGTAGTACTAAAGTTGTAAGCTGGTACTGGTAAGCTGGTAAGCTGGTAAGCTGTCGGTGCTCCTACCATTTTAATGTATCTTTAGCCTTTATTTTAAAACTCTAAATTGTAATTCCATATATAACCATACGTAAGACATATGAAACTCTGTATTCAAATTTCATTTCTAATAATAATGTATATAGTAGTATTTTTTTTTATATTATATATATTTTCTGTCTTTTTAAAACAGTTGGACTTGCAACCAGTTGGAAACGACAGGGATACTTGTACTCTTCGAAGTACAAAAAATAGTAATACACGGTCTATATCATCAAGAGCTTCACTGTCCTATCAGGATATTGCGGATATAGGTACGTAAATTTATATTTATAATAATAATAATCATCATCATCATCATCATCATCATCATCACAAATAAATAGATTAATTTATTAGAATTATTTTATGAATTTTTAGTTTCATTGGGCGGAAACAGGCAATATAACAATTATACCGGTGAAGATTGTATTCAGTGGCAAGAAATGTCTCAGTCAGTAGATTCACGTGCTCAATCTCCCCCGCATACACAGCCAGCTAAACCAATGAATGTTGATAAAATGGTAATATATTATAAATATGAAAAAAAAAAATTAATACATTTATTTTATTTTTCAACAAACAGCCAGATCGGAATCAAGTGGAAAGTCGGTTGAATCAAATTCGTGATTACATCAGAATGACCTCTACGATGATGGAATCACTTAGTTTGTCTTCTGATCCAGTAAGTTCTATCATCTAGTGCCAAATATTATTACCAATATCTCTCTATATAAATACTTTTCTTAACTTATCACATAAACTTATTTAAAAAAATTGATAGCGAGCGCACACTCAGCACGATAAACTAGTTACTATGGTTGAGGATCTACGTGACAGCGAGAGAAAACTTAGTAAACTTTTGGAAGAATATCGTCCTATCGAAGAGGTTAATTTTATCCATTAATTAAATCTTTCTATATAATAAATATTTAACCAATTTAATTACTATTTATAAATACTAATAGCATGATAAAATTTTAGTTAAATCACCAGCCTCAGTATTCCAGTCACATGAAACGTTTTAGTGATCTTCTGGATATACTAATCTCTCAAGAACGTATTCTTGTTACTAACAATAATAACTCCAGGGTGTGTGTTGTCAACTTAATGTTTTAATTAATTTTTTTTATTTTTATTATATTTGTTTCAAAATAATTATTTTGACTGTGATGATTAAATTATTATTTATAAATATTATCAATTGTAATCAGAATGGAGAGGGAGCTGGTGGAGAGGAATCACTGGAATCACAGCTGAGAAGGAAAATGGAGGCGTCCCAACGAAAATTGGCTGAACTGCAAGAACATCAAGCTAATCTTGTTGGCATGCAGCAACAAGTCAGAGAACGTTTACAGGAAGCACGTCAAACTCAGCAGGCATTACTTTTGCAAGAGAATCAAGCTTTAACTGGTTCATCAACTCCCGCGTGGGAAGGTGGAAATTCCGAGCGTCAGCTGGCAAATGACTCAGAAGTATTGGAGTCTGAGACTGCTGCACTGAGAGGTAAATTAGCTGCTCTCCAGAATAAGAAAAAACAAATGGATTTACTTGTTGCTGAATTGCAAAACGTTGAAATGTCTGACCGTGCCAGTTGTGTAAGTATTGTTACTAACAGTATTTTTTACTTTTTAAATTTATATTATAATATATTTTTTAATTTTTTTTTTTTTTAAATTTATTTAGAGCTCTGGAGGTTCCCGAAATGCCGAGAGAGACAAATCTGTAGAACTAGAGACTCTTAAACAGCAATTAGATCATCTGAAAAATTTAATGTCAGAAGCGACACGTGCCAGAGATGCTTACAACGCGATTAATCAACCAGAAGTTGATTCAAATGCCAATGATGCTTGTTGCAATGAAAATGGGCAAGCTGATGATGAAGCCGCTGCAGCATTGTCCTCTAGTAACTCTGTTGATCGTAATAGTGAAGCCGATGATATTTCTGTTAAATTTAATAACTCTAAAGAGCGTTTAACTGTTGAGCAAATCCAGGTAGTTAAAAAATTTATTTTCAATTATATATAAATTTATTTTATTAACTTGTTTAAATTTTCTAGGCTGTGACGCGTGAATTAAAAGAACAACAATTGCTTTTACAAGCAGCACGCGCTGAAATAAAGCGTCTGAAAAATTCAACATTAGCGCCTACTTCAAGCGGGCCACCAATTCTCTCACATGGCTCAACTCCTCCGCCATCCATGGCTGGAGTATATTTAGTTGATAAAAAATCCAGTAACAATAATAATAATAATAATAACAATAGTAACCAAAATAATATGCATGAAGAAATTTCTCAGTCTAAAAAACGTCAATTGGAAGAGTTTGTAAGAAAAGAACAATCTTTGACAGCGAGTGTTAATCGTGATGGAGCTGCTACTGACTGGAGTAGTAGACGCGGATCTAATTCACAGCACAGTCACACCAGTACTCCGGCTAATATTTGGCATAATTCAACTACTATTGGTTGGTACTTTTTCTTTTATCAATTAAATATTTTATTTAAAACAAAAATGACAATTGAATTTTTAATAATATTCCAGATGAAGCTAATGATCAAAATGGTGATAATATAACAGCTCCAGATAATTTACTAGATATTGGACCACAAATAACAGCAGTTGATGGTTTAGGAAATAACTGGTGGAATGTACCGGCACCTTCAGTAAATCCTCAACAACACGGTAATGACAATGGACAAGTAGATCAATTGAAAAATTGACAAAAAATTGACAAAAAAATAGAAAAAAGACGTTGTAGTTTCTCAATTTAAAAAGTAGAATTCTTTTATAATAACTTAATGATGAATATTTCTTCTTCATGTGACTACCTAAATTCTTCAGTAGGTACCGGTTCATTGGAGTACTATCGACAATTACTGATGAGTTCGCAAGCTCAGCAGTTGCAAATGATGAGCACAACAATGCAACAATGCTGTCAATTGCTCTGGGCCCAACAGCGTGAACTTCAGGCAATGAGAAGCTCAATAGTTCAAATACAGCAACACTTGCAGATTAATCAGAATCAAAATCAGTCTCAGATACAACCGCAATCACGCGTTTCTAATGAAACTCGGGATAATTATTCAAACTTGAGCCGTTCAACTCATCACTTGGGTAATGTTCTTGACGCCGCTTTACCACCCAGTTCATCACTTCCCAATCTAGTCTCTCTGCCAACACCTTCGCCGGCTCCATCACACAACTCAATAGTCACATCCGCTAATTCTCATCATCATCAGCATCACCATCACCACAATCATCAACAGTTGAATAATCAAGTACCACCTGGTAATCGTGCCAACAACTACTATGATAATTTCAGAAGGTAAACACATAATTGAAAAAAAATAATTATCACTATTACTATTTGTCTTAAAAAAAAAAAAAAAAAAAAAAAAAAAAAAAAAAAGTTTGCGTAGTATACTTTTTATTGATGATAAATCTATTATACTTTCATTCAAAATTTTAAATAATTATTATACAATTTATTATTATTAAACCCTTTATTATTTGCAATTAAAATTGTTCGTCGTTTCATTTATTTATTTATTTATTTATTAGATTATTTCGGGGATCAGTGTAATATTATAAAACGATTGAAAAAATAAAAATTAACGGCCTGTTTTTTTTTTTGCATTAATTCGCGGTTCTTTATTTATTTTCCCCTAAAAAAAATAAAAAATTGACGCGCTTATTGCATTAATGTAAGTTCGCCTGTTTATTTATATGATTGACGAGGAATTTATTGGGGCTTTTTGGTAGGTAATTCCTAGGTATGTAAACGGTTTGACGTTTTTTTTTGCACCTAAAGATTTAAATAGTTTTTTTTTTTTTAAATTTTACATCTCGAAAGTGTTGAAATAATAACCAATATTGCTTGCGAAATAAATTTTTGCATGAACTTAAAAATATTTCAAATTGAATTGTCAATTAATATGTGTGACGTGTGTTGGATTTTTTTTTTTTTTTGTTTGTTTTTACAGTTACTCCAGGCAAAACCTATTATCGGGAAATTCAAAATCAGTAACTGATTCATTGCCTGGTACTTCGGGTAATTCAAGTACAGTAGCAGCTGTTCATGCGGCACACGTGTAAGTTATTTGTCCTCTAACAATTAAAAAAATAAAATAACTTGTTTGATGGTTTGTGTTAATAAATTACTAATTTTTTTTTTTTGTTGTTTTTCAATAAAAAATAAAAATTGTACAGAAGAAATAAAAGAAATCGTGAGCATGGAGTTGATAATATATCATTAAACTCTCTCTCGAGTACTGAAACTCCGTACTCATTAAATCTTCAACTCTCCTCGAATTTACAAATTCAAGATCGTGAAACACCAGCTACAAGAAATAATAATTCGTATAATGACGTTGCTACACAGCCAGTTGATAACTTTTGGGATGATGGACACTTATCTTTTCGCTCAGTACCCGACAGTAATGAAGAAAATTATTCATTGCGTCACTTAAGGTATTATAAATTAGGATTATAAATAAAGTTAATGTAATTAATTATTTAACAAGATTAAATTGTTTTTTTTAGCGGTGAAATGCGTGACGTTCTTTTATCACTAGTCACATCAAATCGAACAAGACCAGACTATCTTGTTATTATTTTACGTGAAATAAAAGCCATCAGTGAAGATCACAGATTAAGGCCAAGGCTTTTGCGTTCTTTGAGAGCTCTTCAGGATACTCAGTCAGCAAATAATCCTCTGGTAATTAAATTATCTCTGTTTAAAATTTAATTTTAATTATATTAATTAATAAACTTTGTTTAAAACAGAATGAAACAACAGATCAAACTGCAAGTGAAAGTTGTCAGTCAAGTGATGAAGATTCAGATGCTGGTGGTCAAGCACGGCCATTACTTAATACTTCTAATAATAATGATCATCAGTCATCTTTACTAAATGAATTTTTAATGCCATCTCATGCCGTAGGACAAGTACCTCATGCCCAAAATATGCCAGCTCTGCTGGTTGATCATTTTGAATTTGAAGTAACATTATTATTATCATCATCATCTGTCATTTAATATTCGTTAAATTTAACTAAATTAATTAATTAATTACTTTTTAATAGGCAGCTGCTCAAATAAATGAAACTAATACATTCCCTCCACCAATTCTCACACCTGGATACAACGAAGACTTGGCTGAAGCTGATCAGTCGCGTCCTGAAGCTTCAAATAACCAACAAGTAATTTTATTAATCTATAATTATTTAAATTATTGCCAATTAACAATTTATAATGATAATGATTATTTTTTATCTATTCTAGAATTCACCAGAAAATGAAAATGTTGAAATACAAGAGAACGGTAACGTACAACACTTGGCAAATCTCGACATTGCAACACTGGAAGCCGATCGTGAAATCGCAAACTTGATATAAACGATCATAATTTAATAGTTTACTAGAATTTATTATTGCTAAACTCTATAAATTCCATTTTATATCAATTAATAATTTATAAATTTTTTTAAATTTAACATTTTCTACAAATCTCAGACTATTTAAAACAAACAAACAAAAAAAAAAAAAAACACATGATACACAAGTTTTTTTAAAAATTCAATTGTATTTTTTTATTATTAATTTAAAGTCTAGTTGAAACTTGTTGTATTATATCGGATCTTACTCATACAGCTTATATTTATTATACAACAAAGCAAACAATAAAATTTTATGAAACGAGTTTGAAATGTTATTTTGAGGAAAAAAAATAACAATAAGATCAAAAGAAGGTTACTTTAAAGATAATTTTATATTTTTATTAGAAAAGTATACATTTCACACAAACTTTCGATTAAATCCATCGTAACCAATGAGCTTAAAATTTTTTATTTGTTTTTTTTTAAGTATATAAATAAGTCATATATAAATATAATTATATAGGCATCTATATAAATATATTTATAGAAATATGTAAATAGTTATAATATGAACAAACAGGTAAGAGGAGTGAGACAGTTAAAATTCTGCCTCAAAAGTATTGATATCTAAAAACTGATGGCGGTAAAGGTGATAAGCCAAACAGCCATGCGTCTCCATCAGCATTGTCTCATAATCTACTATATTATTATTATTATTATTATTATTATTATTATTAGTACTGGTAACCGGCAGTACGGAGCTATTTTTATCAGCTCGTTTATTGTCACGAGCACTAACACGTATATCGTACGATTGAACGGGATCAATTTCTCTGGAATTACCTGGTGATTGTAGTACTGATGGGTTACCATTACCATTATTGCAACTGAAGCTGACAACCTGGGACTGTATCGGGATACTACAAACGCTGTTGGAAACTAAATGAGTTGTCGGTTCATTATGCACCGCGGATGATCCAATATCTCCGGTACAACTCCTTGTATTGCGGTAAACGCGTTTGTTACCACCGTCTCTGAAAGGAAACCCGCTTTCTTATCAACCTATTTTAGCTCGACATTTATCTCAATCCATGCTCTCGCGTATGCCTACTACTTTTCCTTTCTTTTTTACTTAAAAAAAAAAAAAAAAAAAAAAAAAAAAAAAAATATACTAGGTATACAAAGTTAGTTAATTTAAACTAAAAAAAAACTATTTTTTCCTATTCATTTTATCAGGTACTTTTTTCATTATATAAATTAAAAAATTTTTTTAATTACCCGCGAAAGTACTCCCTCTACAATATTCAATACGAATTAATATTTTGAAATGAGCACGTGGGAGTTTTTTACTTTGATTGTTAAATATAATTCTCAAATCATTAAAAAAAAAAATAGTAATAACAAATGAATTTAATTAAATGAAATAAAAATGCAAATGCTGATTAGTGGATTTAAAAATTAAAATCGCGATTGACGAAGCCACAAGGACTCAGTACGGGTGTCCACAATATGTTGATAAGTCGTACTGAATTCTCTCCTACCTGGACGAAACTTCTTCAACTGTCCGTGTGAAAATCCCTGGTCAACTCCGGCATGATCGTAATTATTGCGCTTACGGTTTCGCCGGTGAATCTCCATTGAATTAACCATTATTCCATTATTATGATTATCATTGTAAATGTTATTATTATTATTATTATTATTATTATTATTATTAAGATGAGCGGCGTCGGCGTCGCTGTGGTTCATTCGGTAGATAAAACCAACGCTATCTCCTATCCCGCGTCCTCCCGGATCACCAACGCTGTTACTTCTGTTACTTCTGGTGTTGAATTTGTTGTTGTTTTCGAGACGCATCACCATCTCTGGAATCACGTAATGGTTATTCTGGCAGTGTAATTTATAATCTCCATTATAGTGATTATTATCAATATCATCTGTTTCCATGGCTAATCCGTTATTTCCATTATTTTGTTGTTGTTGTTGTTGTTGTTGTTGTTGATGATGATGATGATGACTTTGATATGTTCTTTCATCACTGTTTGTATTATTAAAATAAACTTTACTTTGTTGAGAATTGTACAAATACTGATTATTATTTAATTTAATAGCTGTTGTTGGTGTTGTTGTTTCATTAATCGGTGGTACGTAACCGTAATAACTATTTGATGACACGTAAGACTGTACTATTCTCGTAGCTGTTACTTCGCTTACTGCTGCCATTTTACGGTTATTATATTTATAAATATATTTATCTATATATAAATATATGTATATCCTTTTTATTTACACGTAATATGTTATATTAATAGTTGCTAGTCAGTTGAGTATGTATTAATAAATATTTTATGTATCTGGATTAGAGTTTGCCGCGATAAATAATAATAACTGTAAGTAGTAAGCGAAATTACTTCCACGGCTTATAGGCTTATAATAGGGAAATGAAAACGATCAAAACTAAATAACGAGTCTAACCGAAACGTTGAAACTTTCACGAACCTTCTACGGAATTATACGAATATCAGGCGGGAAATACCGAATTCGTTACGAGAATACCCGAGAAGCTTATAAAAGATTCGCGGTTAACAAATAGTACCGGTGTCTTTTAAAAAAAACTCAAGTCAAGTTCAGATTTATATCATTTATTTATTTCATCAAATTTATTAATTCTCAAATTTTATTAATAAATATAATCATTATTGATTAATATTATTAACAATTACAAGTACTATAAATTTCTCATAAATTTATATTACTTGATTTACTTTTTTTTTTTTTTTAGGTGCTGCCCTCTGATATTTTTTATAAAAATGACTTTGCTAGGTTAGTTAAAAGAGATTGTATATAATTTTATAACTATTTATCTTCTCTAAATAATTCTGTAATCATTGAATTTAGTGTCGTGTCATTTATAACAAAAAAATCACGTGAGTTTCAATTCAGTTCTAGAATTTTCATTAAAGAAAAATAAAAACTAATCAAGATGATTCTCCGGGTTAGTATACAATTAAGTATCTCTATTTACTTGTTACTATTATTTAATTAATTTATATTGATTATTTTGTCATTATAGGAGCTACCTGATTTGCAAATATTTAAAACAGTATTTTATTACTGTGCTAATATTATTTTCTTACCGATAATAACATTTTTTGTAAGCAAAATTATTCTTTTAGAAGGTAAATATACTATTTTAAATAAGCTATCAAAAAAAAATTAATTAATTTATTTATTTATTTTCTTTTTAGGTTTGTTGAAATTAGATAGTATGCAAAGTAGCGTTACGGCTGCAATTATTGCGGTAATTACATTACACATTGCACTGGGTGCTTTTATTTACAAAGCGTACTCAGATACTCCGGCGGCTAAGGTAACTGAGAAAAAAGATTAATTTCATTCAGAAATTATGGTTCCATTAATTCTGCGTACATTCGTATTTAATTATGAAATTATTATTAATTTAATTAACTTATGTAAATAATAGAATTATAAATTGTTCATACTATTGAGATTCGTAAGTTAATTTATTGTAAAGCTTACGATGTGATTAATTTTATATAAACAATAAAACTAATCCTAATTATTATCCGTACTTATTATTATTATTATTATTTTCTAAATAATGTAGCAAATAAAAAATTTAAAGCATTAAATATTTTTTATTAAGTTAAGAATGAAAATAGAGACAAAACTTAAATTATTTATTTAATTTAATAGTGAAAAAAATTAAGCAGTAATTGTTGAACGATAATTCTTAAAATTAAAACATTAATAACTAAACAATCAAGTGTCAAATTATTATATACACCATTTATTATCGGTATTATTTATCTAAGTATTTAAATAGTAATAATAATAGTGAGTGATGCAGATTTTGAATCAACTCTCAAAGTAATCTAAAACAAAACATACTGACTGGGGACTTTATAAAAAGAAAAAACATACATATATTTGAATAATTAAATGTGTCACAGAAGATTAACAAATATTGTATCTATTGAAAGTATAGTTGATAAATGCAATACACATGTACCAGTTGGTTAAATTAAATTTAAAAATTTCTAATTATTCTGTTGTGATGGAATGAATAATATGTAACAGATAACATTACAATTCAATACGTAAAATCGCCTGCGATATTAATTTAAATCTTTTTTTTTTTTTTTTCAAATTTAGCTAGCAAGGTATAATAGTAAAAACTACTGTTTTTGTACGTTTATAATAAGCTGCGACGTATTTAAATCTTAATGTTATTCATTTACTCATTATTATCTCGTTTGTTTATTTAGGTAATTAATTAAATTTAAATTGTTTACTATCGTTGAACACAGCGTCTGATTATTTAGACAGTCCTCACAATTAAATAAGGCCAATATTATTTTTATTATATTTAATGACAATGATTCACTAATAATTTTATTATGGTTATTTATAACAACATTGACATTTTTTATTTTCATTTCTCGAGGTAACTAAAATGAATATTGATGATAAATAATTTTCAACATTTTTATTTTCCCTAAATGTTTTGATCAATAACAACACCCAAGTGAGGTAGTAGAAAAAGTTTTTAAATATCGAATGTTTGAGTGAGCACTATATTTTAAGTAAGGAAATTATGAGGAAAAAAAAAAAAAAAAAAAAAAAAATTTACATATTTATATCACTATTGTAAATCTTTTTATCTAAATTAAATAATGTAGTAAAAAGTGCAGTCGTTAAATATATGTTGTGAGTCGTGAGGCCCAAACGCTTGTGTATGTTGACGAGAATAATTTATTTAGTTATTTTTTAAGTACTCGTCAGTATTAGTATCCATTCAATTACTTAATGTTAGATGAATTGAGTGTGATTTATGTTTGATCTATGTATATATATATAAAAAAAAAAAAAAAAAAATAAAGGGAGGAAAATGAAAGGAATTAGAAATGTTACTCGACATCCATTTTTTCATCTTTTGCGGGTGGTTGTTGTTGATTATTCTGATTAGGACCATCACCTTGGGCATTTTGATGATTTTTTTGTTCCTCGGTGGTTTTTTCTTTCGATTTATCGTTTTTTGGTGGCTCCACTTTAGGCTTTGGTTTGTTGAGAACTGATTGTACAATTGTATCTAACGCCTAATAGAAAAAAAAAAAAAAAAAATAAATTTAATCAAGAATGTTATTGATTTAGAAAATAAAATAAAAAATAATTACCTGTTTTTCAGCATGAATTTGTGCTACAGTGATACTGCATGTTTGTGTAAGTGGTGTACCTGCGATAACGACACGAGCTTCTTCTAACCACGTCCATTTATCCTGTATCGTTTTAGCGGCTTGTTTGAGCTCCTCGTCAGTCAAATGAGAATATTTATCATCTTTTCCTAACGATACTTTAATATTATCATAGGTTTTTTTAGCGATTTGTAGAGCACCAGCTAAATCATTAACAGCTACTTTTCTTCCTTCATATTCTCGTTTTTTCTCTTTAATTGGTTCTCCTTGAGCCTACAAATTTAACGAATTTTTTAAATAAAAAAAATTAATATATAAGATAACAAGTGATAAAAATGAACGTACCTTCAACGAAGCTAGTCGATCAACATAAACTTGTCTATTACACTCTTCGCCGTCACCATATAACCAATCCTCAACTTCATCAAGAACTTTACTGAGAGCTTGTCTGTCATTATCCGTAATGAAATGTCCTAATTGATCTTCATCAGAAATTTTTGATCTTAAATCATAGACATACTCTTCCAAAGCATTTTTAGCGTCAATTCTTTCTTTTTCTTGCTTGTCTTCAGCGACCATTTTACCCTATAGCGAAATTTATTGTAAATATTTATAATTTTAATTATTAAAAATTATAAATATAAAAAATCATACCTCTTTTTCCATAGCCATATCTAATTCGTGCTGAGGAAGTCCTCCAGCATTAATTTCAATAGGAAGATCTATTGAACGAACTGGTACTTTTTTTTTACCTTTGTCATCAGCCTTATCATCACCCTGAAAAAAAATATAAACAAAAAATGTTATCATTAATTTTATTTAACTAAAAAATAATTCATTAAATTATTAAATACTTAATTAACACACAAAACAAATACCAATGGCGTGATAAACACATTCAATGAATATTTAGTTTAAATGATATTGATAAACAGTAAAAATTTATTTTAAAAACCTAAAACGTTAACTTTGTGAACAAATTAATAACTAACTATTTAAAACTAATAATTTAAATAATCTACATTTCTTCTGCAACTCAATAAAAAATCAAGGAATAAAAAATAAAAATAGCATAGACATCCATAGCACGCACGGTTTGTGACACAGCTTCTTGGACCCATATGCATCAATATCAATGCTCAATTTTATATATAAAACGTTGACATATCGCTGATACGCGAAATCGCCAACACATTAATTGTTTTATATTTTAATTACAAATTTAAATATAATAATATTAAGCAAACAGAAATATAATTATTAGTATTAATAAGCAGTCAAAAGAAAAAAGAAAAAAGAAAAAAAAAAATATTGAGTTTGCAGAAGAATTTTTAACACCATTTTTATCTTCAAACAACTTGTCAATTCATATATACAGTTAATAAATCTAATTGATCTAGTTTCAAGTAAATGATTTTATGATTTTATGACAAAAGTCAAGTTTAATAAGATAGAATAGAGAAGTGAAAGTATGATAACTCTTAAATGAAATGAAATAAATTAAATTAAATTAAATTAAATTCAAGTCCTGAGTGCGCGTCAGTGAAGTGCGCAAAAATAAATGGCGATCTCGTTGGAGCATAATTTTGAAGACATGGTGGCTCAAGATTAAATAGACATAGCGTAAAAAAAAAAGTAAGGACAGGTGTGTAATGTAATGCGCATGGGTCCAAGCAAATGTTAGTGTGTCGCGTACCGAGCTGAACCAAGAGCGTATCCTCGAGGAATAGGACGGTGCAGACTTTGTATTTCTTCCATCATCATCATCATCAGCATCTGAGTCCCGCCGTCCCTTTTCTGCGCTAACCTAAACCACAACAGACTTACAGTCATGCTCGCGTAATTAAATATTTTTTTTTTTTTTTTTTTTCTCAATTTTTCTACACTACTTTCCAAAATCTCTTTTCTATTAAATCTTTTTTTTTTTTTTTTATTTATTTATTAATTTATTTTTAATTCAATTCAATTAATATACGTGCAAGTCTGAGATGATTTTTAGCAATGCGCAACAATATGAAATTAATTTATTTTAATTATCAAGTTAATAAAATAAAACATACCTCTGGTGCTGGTGGTTCATTAGCCTGAGCTTCCTGATCAGGTTTATCTTGCTGTGGTGGTGTTGGATCTGTCTCCATGTTGGGTTGCTGTTGCTGTTGCTGTTGCTGCTGTTGCTGTTGTTTTTCTTCTTCCTCTTTTTCTTCTTGTGTTAATTCACGTTTCTCAGTCATAGATGCTGATGCAATTGTCAGTATACCGTTCAAATTCAATCGTACCTTTATTTTAACTTTGGACGGTTCTCCTTCAGGCGTAGGTTTTACATTCTTAATATGAAAAGTACCTGAAATCCATAAATAAATTTTATTATCATTTATAAAAATAATAAAGAGAAAATTTAATTTTTAACCATTCTTACCAATATGAGTAGTTGGATATGTAGAAATCGGTGTGTCATAACTGGCAGTCAAAGTAAATGGATGATCACGTTTAAGCGTCAAATACTTGGAAAATGGGAATTGATGATTGTATGAAAATATTTCAACCTCTCTGAATGAATAAATAAATAAATAAATAAATCAATTAATTATAGTTTTTAAAACTATTGAGAAAAAAATGTAATGAAATATTTACCCTTGCTCGCCGTCTACTGGGTCCCATGACAATTTAATTGGATACGGTTGAATGTCAGTGACAGAAAAATCACGTACTCGTACAGCTGGACTTAGCATAGCACACTGAAGTGCACAACCACGAGCAACAGCTTCATCTTGATTCAATGTTGTTGAAGCTGACTTGCCAAATACCTCTTCTACCAATCGTTTAAGAGCAGGAATTCTACTAGATCCTCCAGCTATTTCCACAGAATGAATCTCGTCAGTTTTTAATCCTGAAATTTAACAAGGAGGGTAATTAAGGGGATTAATTGCTATAATTATTAAGATTTCTAATTTAAAAATATAAATAACTACCAGAGTCTTGAAGAGTCTTTTTCAATACTGCTTCAACACGCTTGAAGAGATGATGACAAATAGTTTCCATGTCCTCACGTTTCATGTCACCATGTACATCTTTTTCATCCATAAAACATTCAATGTTAATCGGAAGTTTTGTTGAGTTAGCCGACATTTGTTTTTTCAATTTTTCAACTTCAGCAAGTAATCGAATGTAAGCCTTGGGATTATTTAATGGATCAATATTGTAACGAGCTTGGAAGTCTTTGCAGAAATGATTAGCAAGAATACGGTCAATATCTCTGCCTCCACAATTGCTGTCTGAGCAGCAAGCCAGCATCTATTTTAATTGAGAAAAAAAAAAAAAAAAAAAAATAAAATAAAATAAAAAATCAATAGTTTATAATTTTTACAATAAATCAATTTAATGAAAAATTATATATACCTTGAGTTTGCCTTTGTTAAATGCACAAACGCTGACTTGTAAACTAGCGTAACCACAGTCAACAAACACGACGTTTCGTGGTGGAGTTTCTGGTGTTGGTAAATCTTGCTTGTAAATACCATAACATAATGCAGTAGCAGTTGTTTCATTGAACAAACGCAAAACATTTAGTCCAGCAATACGCGCAGCGTCCAAAAGAGCATGACGTTCAGCCTGAGTAAAATACGAAGGGACCGAGATTACACAATCATTGACGGATGTCTGGAGAGCATTTTCTGATATTTCCTTCAATTTAGTGAACAACATTGCCGTGATCTGTTCTGGTGTAAAGACATGTTCCTCTCTCAGATATTTTACCTAAAATATTCAATAATTTAATAAATATATATGGAGCAAATGGCTAAAACATTTTTTTGAATAAAAATAAACTTGGTTTAAGATTTAAATTTGGCATCTTGCCGGTAAATAAATAGTTTTATATCAAATAATATTTAAAATAAAGTAATAAATTATACATACTCGAATGCCGATTCCTCCATCAGGCTGTTCAGTAGTTTGATAATTAAGGTGTCTGAGTTCCTGTTGAACTTGAGGGTCATTGTGCTTTCTTCCCAACAGCCTTTTGAATCCATAAATCGTATTCTTCATATTAGTTATCATTTGATTCTTAGCAGCAACACCGAGGATACGATTTTTCTCGCTGAATGCCACGCATGATCTGTAACATTAATAAAAATCAATCAATATATGTGTGTGTGTGTGTTATAAATTCTTTATCAATCAATAACAAGATAATTGACATAACTGATTCGTTTATTTTTTAAGTTGTAAAAAATATCAAAATTTATTCAAGTAACATTTAATTACATCAGTTGTAAAAATATATAAATATTTATTACTAATAGAGATATATCACTTTTAAAGTAAATAATAATATTTTTATTAATATATACTCGAATGCTTTAGTAGTATTAAAGACCTTGGGTATCCTATGAATCATATCAACCTCCAAATAAGGTCAAAAAATTAGACAGTCTGTATTAATAATATCAAATAAATAAAAATATCTTTAAATTTTCTAATTAAATCAATATTCAAATAATTTTAACCAGTAATATACTAATTAAATTAAATATAAAAAAATAAATTCCCATTATGCATGTAAATCGTCCAGTCATCAAATGCTACTGAATATTTAAATTTATTTATTTCCTTGTGGGATCTGAAAAACTTTTTTATCAATCAAATTCAATATAATTTTATTAATAAATAATTAGAAAATTGATAAAATGTGTACAAGAAATTAAAAAAAAAAAATTAAAAAAAAAAAAAAAAAAAAAAAAAAACGTTGATAAAAATGAATGCCGGTGTGCGCCGGCGCTGGTTGTTGACCATACACAATTGAAATATATCTATCAATCCAATAAATAAATAAATAATTAAATAAAATAACTTACGGCGTGCCCCTCAAGCTGTAATCATTAGCAATTGTTTCAATACCACCGGCTCTGGCAACGGCAACATAACAGCTATCGTTACCAAAGTCTATTCCAATGACGGACATAGCAGCCATCGTACAAACTTGTCTTTAGTTTATTTTTTGGATTATTCTGGAATCACAATGATGACTACCAACCAAGTTATGATCTTTTACTTTCTGCTAAGCTGTTACACTCCAATCCAAATCTTGATATTATTTTTTATAATAGTTTATGTTATTAACTTTAAATAAATAAACTTATATAAATTTTAATTTGTAGATTCGTTGGATGAACGTTGATTGATTATTATCTCTTGAATTACAATAAAAATATTTTATTTTATTAATTTAATAACTTTTTGAGTGCACGAGACACGAGAGTATCAAGTTGAGTTATATACCACAAGATATACCTTGCGATCTTTACTGTACGACTATGTTCTCTTTACTGCCGTTGAAAACTGACCAATCATCGCGCTAGCCTGAGGGATACCAACGATACGAATATAGGTTCAATTAAATAAAAAGACGCTCTAGAATATTCTAGAAAATCTCGCGCCACGCTCACACTTTACACACTGTGTACACTGTACCCTGTGTAACGTATTTTTATATATATATATATATATATATATATATTAATGCTACCTTCACATCTTTAAGTTTATCCTCACCGCAAAACCGACCAATCGCGTTGCTTCATTCTCCTCTATCGATTATTTTATTCGTCAATTTTTTCTCATTTCCGTTGAATAGTAAATTTTTATTGGAGGAGAAGAAACTTCACGTTTCTTCTGGATGTTACTATTTAATTTAAATTTTTTTCTTGAATAAACCTTTAAGTTTTGATATTTAAATTACTAAACTTTAATTTTTAAATTAAACAAATGTATTTTTATTTTAATATAAATATAATTCTATTTAAAAAGGTATGTAAATTATAATAAAAAAAAAAAAAACTAGTACAAAATGTAAAGGATAAAAATTACAAATAAAAGATTTGATTTTTTTTTTTTTATTTGTCTAATGCAGGTTCTAGTAGTTTGCTGAGGAAAAAATTTTCTTTGTCCTCACGATATCTTGCTTTGAGTATAAATTCCCAAGCAAACGAATGGCCAGGATAATCATACTTCCGAGCGTGTCTTTGACAATTTTCAAACCACATCAGTAATTGATTTATATTTTTTCTATTATGAGAATTACGTAAATTACGTTTTTGATCGTCTTGAGCAATAATTTTAGCAGTGATAATTGACGTTTGCCAACGATTAAAATATTTACGAGCTAACAATAATTGTCTAGCTGCCCAATAAAATTCGTCTCTCTTTTCCTTGATAGGATTAAAATTTTTAGTCTTGATAAAACTGGATAATATTTTACTGACAATATTTTTTCTTTCAGATTTAAGTTTATAATCGTGATTGTCAGCAGTTTGTTTAATCTTTGTGGGATTTAGATCTTTATCCAGTTGTAATTGTTGTTGAGTAATGAAAGTCGAACCACCATCCCAATTGATAGTTTGAGTTTTTTTGTTACTTGCTTGTTTTAGCATATCACTATTATTATTATTATTATTATTATTATTATTATTATTATTATTATTACACTTGATTAAATTATCAAGAGAATCATAATTATTTATTTTAAGGATTTTTATCAAAATATAGCCAACATAGGGGATCAATGGAGGACAATTTTCAGCTTTACTCCAAGCCCTTTCATAAATTTTACTTTGGGTATTTTTAAATACTTTGGACAGTCTGGAAATTGTATCATAAGCAGTCGAATGATGAGTTTTTATTCGTGACCATGTATCTTTTAATCGATAAATTGGTGGTGATTGCAAACCCGCCAAAATTGAACGGCAAGAATGAAAATTACCAATCGAGTAACATTTATAGGCAGCATTTATAAACCTCGTCGATATTCTGGCTCTCATATTTAAATTTTTTATAGCAATTATTTCGCTGGTTACTAAACAGGAAACTCGATGACTAAATGCTATCCAAGCACGAACATTTGGAGTATTTTTTGATAGTTTTTGAGTAATTAGTATTTCAATTTCAGTTAATGAAATCCGTAAAAATAAATCCCGATCGATAAGTGTCAATTGTTGAGCTATTGTTGAACTAGTTAAATCCCATGCTGTTATTTTTAAATTCATTTTCAATAATTTACGCATTTGATTTATAGAATCGTTTTTTTTATGATGATTATTATTATTATTATTATTGTAACTATAATTATTAGTGTTTTTTAAATCCTTGATTGAAAATATTTTTTTCAGTATACAATTTGTTTTATCGCATTTAACAGAATCAACACTTGAATTGCTTGTGTTTTTGCGTAAAAAAAAATTTTTATTTGATTTTTTTTTCGTCGAATGATAATCGCGTAAATTAATCAAGTGATTTTGTAATTCTCGGTAAGAAGTTATTGCTGATTTGGGACGATACCAGTAATCTGGTGTCCAAAATAGAATAAAATGTTTTTTACTATTATTGTTACTAATTGAATTATTATTAATTTCAACAGATGGAACCAATTGAGTAAGTAAAGTCAAAGAAACGGATGAAGTTAATTGTTTTTTCGAAACTTGCAACTGAAAATCATTTTTTGAATTACTGTGTCGACGTATTGCAACAGCGCTTGAGGATCTTTTCCGTTGGATTGATATTTTATCACCAGGTGTGACTGCCCAAGGACCCAGAGCGTAAAGAAAATGAGCTGTTGGTACTAAACCCCATCTTCTCAAATGTTTTTTACCGTTGTTAAAATTATTTTTTTCCCAAACAATTACACCACTCTCAATAAATTTATACGGATCCATAAGTTTGTACGCAGACTTAACACGTACCAAATGATGTGGATCACCGTAATGAGGCTCTAGATACAAACCCGTAATACAATTTTCGTCAATTCCAAATTTAAATCGTGATAGTTTTGGTACTAATGTGTCATTTGAAATACTTGAGACTTTCTGCGATGATTTTGTTATCAATTTGTATTCTTTTTTCTTCATCCGTGTTTTTCGTTTACCATTTTTGCTGTCATTATAGTGAAACGATTGGATTTTTGTGAGATTCTTACGTCTTGTCTTTGTCGGCCAGGTGTTATTAGATGTTTTAAATATTAAATCCGTCGAAGAATCTGATTCATTCCTGATGGTTATAATATAAATAAACATAATTATTAATTATTAATTATTAATTATTAAATAAAATAATAAACCTTAGAAAAGTAGTTTCGTTATTAATAATTGGAGTATAGAATCCATAACCGAGTTCGGTGTAAGATGGGCCTAAATATAAATCTTTTTTGGACCATTGAGATAAATTTCCATCACCAGCACCACCGTATTGAGCCCACAAACGACATAAGCTGCTTTTTCTGTCAATCCCGGTGCTATGCTTTCTATGTTTCCTATCAGTTTGCGCGTGAAAATATGATGAGGATGAATATGAACAAGATGATGATGATGATGATGATGATGATGATGATAACACATAAAGAGTACTGGTGCTTGTTGAACTTAAGGCTGATGGTTCTGATAGCGAACTCCCTTTATCTTTTTGTGATAACAATATTCTAATATGTTTACACCATAAATTCCAGTAATATTCTTTTTTTTCAGTTCCACCAAGTTCATAGTAATTTATTTGTCCATCAATAAATCTACAAAATGATAATTAATTTTAATATTTTTTCAATTTTTTTTTATATCATTTTCATCATCATACCTTGCTTTTAGAGTTTTTCTACGTTTACGACGATAAATACTTAGAGTGATATAATTTAATGGATAAATGGAAACTAATTCGAATGATTCAATGGCTGGATCTAATTCAGACGGGCAAATAAATTCAGAGTTTATTTTTATAATATCAGAAGCTATTATAAATTTTGATGATGTTAATCCTAAAGAGACTTGTCGTAATCCTTGGCCATCTCTCGTTGTTTCGGCAAAAGGAGATTCAACTAAAACTCTTCCAGTAAACTCTTGATATTCGGTTAGTAATAATTTTTGGATTCTCTTGTACTCCATTATTATATATTTATTTAAATTTAAACTACTTCTGTATTCATAATTGTTAAACAATTATCTTCAAATAATTCATTACTGTTTAATGTTTAATTTTTTGGTTAATAAAAAAAGCAACGTGAAGTTAAACACGGTTTATTTATTTTTAAAACGATAAATAGTACATATAATAATAATAATAATAAATAATAAGACAGTAGATTTTTTTTTTAATTTAAACTAGCTTTATTCATAAGTACTCTGTCCTGCAGTAATTATAATCGAAGATGAAAAAATTAATAAAAATATTTTATACACATTGAAATAATTTACAAGGAAATTTTTTTGTTTAATCATATAAATAATAAAATAATAATAATTAGGTACATATATAATATAATTTTTTAAATGACATAAATAAATTACGCTCAAATTATTATAATTTAAAATATTATATTTTTTTTTAGAGGTCACTCTACCTACTTTTTATGTATAAATAAATGACAATACTTTTGATTAAATTTTTTTTCCAAGATTGTTACATTTTTTTATTGTAAAAAAAAAAAAAATGGCTTAAAATTTTTCAAAGCTCTAATACAGAACAATAATTCGGTGATGTGCATTAATATTATAAGGTTATAAAGGTTATTGGATTGATTCACAGTGCTTGATTTTAACATTATTATATAATAAATCATTTAGTTTTTATAATAAGTACACAATTTACTTACGATTAATATTATATACTTAATACATTACATATTGTATATTTTTATAAGAATTGACAATATCTAACGAATCTTATAAAAATTATTAATATATTAATAAATACTGTAAAAAATACATAAGTATAAAAAAAGGTAAATGCATGAGACCGAAAATCTTTAGTCGTGCAATAACGCGACAAGAGAGTAGAATAGTATAGATATGAGTACGAAAACGTATAAAAAAAATTTACAGTTGTTATTTAAAATTACGTGGTCGGATTAGGCGAAAGTAGCTTTGTTAATTTTTTTTTTTTTTTTTTTTTTTTTTTATATATATACTTTAATTAATTAATATTAATATAAAAAAAAATTTTGCAATCCCAATATTAGTATTGTTATTGATTCGTATTTCGTTTTTTTTTTTTTTTATAATATGTATTTCTACAAAGTCTATCAATAAATTGCATCCTTAATCATTAAATGAATAAAAACAGTATATTTATCGAAAAAATTGTAAAATTTTCAAAAACTTTGTTTAAAAAATGTTATTTTGCACGTGAAAATGAATGTATGCACTTTAAATTTATGAATTATCAATAAATTTATCCACTAGATAGTACACGTCATCTATTATCATTTATCATAGTGATAGTGAAAAAACAAGCTATTATATAGTTGGCGAGCAGATAATTATCGTGATTCATTTTCAGGATTTACTTTAATAGTTACCCTGTTAGATAAAGCAGCTGCTAATTTTTCGACATTGCTCTGTAATAGTGTAACGGGTCTGTTGGTTGATTCTGGACTAGGAGATTTAGTCATTTGTATTGCTGATACATTCTCCTGTAATTATAAAAAATAACCAATTTTAATATAACAATTTATTAAACAAAGTATACTATTAAATAAATAATAAAAATTTACTTGGTTGGTTTTTTTTTTTAAATTAGAACGCTGAAGAGTAGCTGCCAGCTCATTTTGGAGTCTCGAAACGACGGGACCATTGGTCACGATCTCACCATTTGCGGCAGGCTTAGTCACTGAGTCGGTAACAGTGCGCTGTTGTTGAGGAAGAAAATCAAATCTTGAGGGTTGTTTAGCTTCACCTTCATAAGCACCAATTTTCACAGCAACTTTACCATTTCCCGTAGACGTTACAGTAGGCGAACCCGAATTTGTTTTAATATTCTTCTCCATTGTTTGCTGGTTAATATTATTAGTAGTAACAGTAGTAGTATTATTTATTTGAGTTTTAGTCAGCAGTGCAGAGTGTCTCGGGCTTCCATTTGATGGAGTCGAGATTGGTGAAGATGAGTCTGACGTTGAGAAATACGTCGGCGGTGGTTTTGGTATTACTGAACTTGGACTTTCTTTCAGTTTGAAAGATTCAATGCTCTGCATTTCCACCAAGTCTTCTTTACTATTGTTATTGTTATTATTATTATTATTATTATTATTATTGTTGGTGTTGTTGTTGTTAGTGTTGATAATATTATTTCCATTTACATTATTGTTGTTACTTTTTAATGGAGACGTTGGTAGAGGCATCGGCGGTGGTGGAGGCGTACCACCTCCCTTTATAGCAGAACTATCATTTGCTACTCTTTTCTCCTGCTCCTAAAATAAGTAAGGTATATTTTTTTTTTTAATTTAAATTTCATTTTTATAATGATGATGATAATAATAATAATAATAATAAAACCGACAGTGTAAGGCGTGATTGTCACAATAATTGATTTTCTTTTGGTTAAATCCATTGCAATAAATCGTTATTACTATTAAAGTTTAAATAAATTTCTAATTGTACCGAAAGTTCACTCTCACTGAAGAAGAATAATATTCCGACAGAATTCGAGCGTGAAATACAGGTAATTTCACTTTTACTAATTTGATTTTTTATTTGTCTTACATGAATTTATAAATAAAATTTATTTATCTATTTTTTTAATAAAATTAAAATTTTTTAAAATAAACTACGGCTACACAACCAACTACAGTACGATATAGTAATAATACTTTTTTAATACACTGCTGGTAAAATATCATTGAGGCAAGACGTTAACAATATGATGATATTCTTGTGACCGAGTTTGAGTTACATAAGATCTTATTATTTTTTCACGTCTGTCACCGACCCTCATCGCAACATACACAATACAAATGAATTCACTGAATCGTATTAAAAAAAAATTACACATTTAGCCACACTATCTGTTATCTTTTAATTTATTTTTTATCTATAAATATATATAATGATAAAATTTTATAATCCAACTGATAACTTGTAAAAAATAATTTTAGTGTAAATTAATAAATTTTCAAGATTTATAAAGTTTAATTAATTCGAATTGTTTCAATAGACTAAACGAACAACGCTCGTAAATGTTACTACGAGGCTTTGATTTTGTTATCTTAATGATGTATGTTGATTTGTTGATATTTGATTAACGAGACAATAGATTAAAAGTTGAATTGTATTTACAAACTAAACTAATATAATGTGTAACGTAATATATAAATATGATATTTATTTACATTTTATTAACCGATGATTTTTTTTTTTTTTTTTTTTTTTTTTTTTTTTCATTTTATTTATCAATTAAACTACTCACTGATGAACCAACCCACCTTGGAGTCATACTTACACTTACTATACATGTAAATAAACATAAATATTTTTTAAATAGTTATTTTTATAAAAGTTAGTCTGTTGTCGTGATCGCCGCCGTTATGATATAACTCTTAATAAATGCCCCGTTATCAGTATGTAATTTTCTCGGTAAGGTAAGTAATTACCTGATTCTCGATAACGATTAGTATTTTTAAGAGTCTAATTTTATCTACTGTTGGAATTTAAATAGCTAAATAATTTTAAAATATAATATATCTTTACTTTTATAACAACTATTAAAATATTACCTGATAATATTTGTATCTATTAAATTAACTACAAGCGGGGAGGCCGATTAAAAAGCGTATCGAGATATGTGGATATTATATGATGAATCCTTTCGCTTTCAGTTTAAAAAATTTCACACGATACTCAGTTCATCCGACGTTTGCGGATTAACTGAGGAAGGAAAATGGATAGAAAGTTACAATTTAACGCTTTACCTCAACTTTATGTCTGTTATACAATTTGAGAGGTCAGCGTACCTGTCATCAATTTTTTATTTTTTCACTATTAATTAACAATAATATAACTTTTTATTATCAAAAATCATTGATATTTAATCAGTGGCCTTGATTGTATATTATATAAATAATTTAGTGACAAAAAAAATATTTATTTTATAAATAATACCGTCTGATAGTTTTATCTAGCCTTAATAAATTTTTATGATATTTAAATATGTACGGTAATATTTATTTAAATATATAAGTATGTACGACTTACTTTTTCAGAAAGTTGATCTGAAAATTGTACTTTTTGTTGATTGCCATTAAACATTTTTTTATGAGCACGTTTAAATTCCTCCATTAACTGTGGAAAAAAGAAAAAAAAAAAAATAAAATAAAATAATAATAATAATAATAATAAAATATATATTTATTAATATATTACTAAAAATAAATTACCTTGTCATGAGTAACTTTATTCTCCGGAGGAATTTGTGGTTTTTTAGATTCAAACAATGGTTTTTCCACTTTGTTAATTTCACCTTTGGCAGCGTTTAAACTTCTCTGAAATATAAAAAATAAATGATAAATACTGTAAATATTTAACTATTGAAATAAAATTCAACTTTGTCACGATCATCACATAAATAAAAAATTAGTCACATTTTTAGATAAAAGTTGTATTCTTTTTATTAAATAGTAATGACACACACTGCTATGACGTTCGTATTTACTCAATAAATAATAAATATAATTAAAAAAAAATTAATTTAATAAAGAGAAAAAATGAAAAAATTACCTGTTGAGCACGTCGCTGGAATTCTTGAGCTATGGCAGTACTGAGATCAGTACTTGATACGGGAGGACTTGGACGTCCTGCAGCAAAATTATTAGTATTGGAATTAGAATTAGATACGTTAGATACGGCAGCAAAGCGATTAAATACTGGAGCTTCTGGGGATTTTATTGTCCCGGTTGACAAAGTATTGGTAGATCCTGAAGTTATAGTAGACGCAGGATCACAAGATGACGTCGACAGAGACGATGAAGTTGAGGCTGAATCTTTTCCGCAAGATTCTAAACTAGATTCAGTCTCTGTAGAGCCAGTGCTCCCCATAGACATCGTACTTCCCATTTGTTTTCCCATACTTATCATTGGTTTAGCTTCTGAAAAAATTAAATTATAAAATTAAACTATATCTATTACTCGTTTTAAATGAATTTTAATGAATAATTAACCTGATTGCCATTTATAAGACATTGGAGGTGGACAAGGCGGAGCAGGTGGTCCACAATTTTCATGTACTTCAACTGTAGTAACAGTCTGTCTCTCTATTTCACCGTGTCGTTGAATAACATTTGAATGGCCATTAGAATTATTATAATGATGATGATGATGATGATGATGATCTTCAGAAGCAGGTGGATCATAAAGATCAATGCTCTCTTTCTCGTACAACAATCTCCGATTTCTTTCTTCAACCGGATTGGCATCAAAATCATGGCTCTCGTAATCCCGCGGCGGTACAGGATCGTAAAGTGGCTCATTTCCGGTCTCACTACGCAAACCATAATTTAGATGATTTGTGTTGTTTGTTGGATGAACCATAGATGAGATGGATGTTCCTCCATCACCAACACCACCAACATCACCACTGGCATTAGAACGATACTGGTTTTGATTATTTAGATGATTATTCTGGTTAACTCGTATAACCGTCGTGTTATTTGGTCTACGTGTCCACTCCGGACTCTGAAACATTCAAACAATTTAATTTTATGAGTTCTTTGCCGTTTGTAAAATAACAGCATCAAGGAAAAAAACAAACTAATAAATGGAATCTATAGTTGTTGTCGTCGTCGTCGTCGTCGTCGTCGTCAAAAACAACCGGATAAGAGGTTATTTAGTTTTTTTTATGACCTTTAGATTTTTTACCTGATCACTTGGATGACTCCACTCAGAAGACGAACCACTGCTTGTTGACAATGCCAAAGGACAGCAAGCTCTAAACAAAATAACGAAAATAAATAAAATAAATCAGTTTATTTCTTATATTTTTTTATCACATCTTTAAAGATATTTGTTGTAAAAAATAAATAATTAATTGATTAATTATTACCTGCCGTTGCGATTATTACAAGGATCATCACGTTCTCGTGTGTAACGTGATTGAGGATGAACGTTGTTTTGATGATGATGATGATGATGATGATTATGCTGAGGTGAGGGTGGATTTTGGTGAGCTGGAGGTGACGGACTTGCCGTTAACAAGCTCGATGACTCAGAGTCGTAACCGCTGGAGCCGCGCATCCAAAGAGTTTCAGGACAATCGTAGAGACTGTTGCTGCTGCTGCTGCTGCTGCTGTTGCTGGGTGGTATTGGACGGTTTAATATAAGATCCAAGATAGCAGCACCTCGCATTATTTCAATGGCTCGCTCAAATGGGAGATCTGTTAGCCTTTGACCATTGCACCAGGTTATTACATCACCGGCTTTCAAACCAGCAGCCCTCGCTGGTCCACCTTCTCTTGTTCCCTGTTGAAATAATTTTATTTATTTAATTACCATAAGCCATAAATATTTAAATTTAAATTACTAAATTTCATTACCTGAACAGTTAACCCTGGAACTAATCCACGGCAAACGCCACAACCTAGTCTACCTTTTTCACCTACCATAACTCTAACACGTATTTCGTTGTAGGGAATTGGATTTGATTCGTTGTATTGAATTTGTTGTTGGTACTGTTGATGATGATGATGATGTTGTTGTTGTTGTTGTTGTTGTTGTTGCTGAACCATGTGCCACGTTACAGGATCATTTGGATTACTGTTTAATTTGTTGTTATTTTTATTTTAAAATATATTTTATTATAATATTAAATAAAATATACTTACTCTTTAACAGGTATCATACCAACGCTTCGTATTTTTAAAACTAAAACTTGTTGGTTTTTAGCCAAAAGCGCAACTTCATGATGAACAGCATCTTCCACTGGATAACCATTCACTCGAATTATTTGGTCACCAACCTGAAAAAATTTTTAAATTAATATTTAAATCTATTTGATTATAAATGTATAAAATAAAATAAAAAAAATACATACTCTGAGGCCATTTCGATGAGCTTCACCGCCAGGTTGAACATCACTGACGTAAAAACCAGCAGCGTACTCTCGTCCTCCACGAAGTGAAAACCCAAAGCCGGAAGCTCCTCGTCTTCTCAGTCTTACATTTCGAGTTACCCCAATTACAGCCATTCTAGCACCTCCTGTGCTTCCGTTTCCTGGGCCACCGGCTGATGACCCTGTTCCAGTGCTTGAAGTACTGGAGGAGCCACCCGAACTGTTTCAAAATTTAAATATTTATTCATTTTTCGTTAAAATTATTTTTTCAATAGTTTTATAAAATTTTTAGCAGTCTCTTGACCATTATTTAATTAACAAATAGATTATTAGTTCCTCCTCAAAATTTATTTGTTACAAAAAAAATATCAAATATTAATTAAGTTCCATCGATAATAAATATCTTTAACTGAATAATAAATTTTATATTTTAGGAGATTGTAGGCAACAGCAACAGAGTAAAAATTATTATACTTAATATTGAAAAAGTATATTTTTTATAACAAAAGTGACTTTATCATTTAAATGACAGCCATTATAGTCCAAGATAAAATGCTAAAGCGCCTTTTAAATTATAAAGTGACTGACTCGGGAAATTTTTAATAGCCATCTTAGGTCTGTGAAAAAATAAGAGAAATTGAGCTGAGAAAATAGTTTTTTTTAAATGAATAGACAGAGGAATGAAAATATGTGGGTGACCGTCTGTTTTTTCTCATGCAAAAATTTCTTGTTAAATATTTTCTTGAAGGCTTAATTTCTCATAGTCCAAAATTTATTCGAATATACAAAAATTTATTTCAACATGGCTCCGTCTCTTTATTAATCCGTAATAATTTATCGCAACAAAAATTTCTCATTCAAAAATAAGAAAGGGCACAACAAGCTTATGCGTTGGTCGTTTGTTATAATAAAATTTTAAATACCTATATATGAAAAATTTTTTAAGTATAATTATTTGTTCTGTGAGAATTGTTTAAATCAAGAAATTATTGAGTGAGAATTTTTTGCATATGATAAATTTTTTCACGAGAAATTGTTACGGATTAACAAAGACACAGAGCCAAAAATATCAGACATTCATACTATATTATTAATTATAATACTGGTTAACAGTGAAGCAGCATAGACATATGGAGTTGATATGAGCTTGGTTAAGTTTCACGGAAATTCAAAAGTTGAGTTAACAACAACAACAACAAGTAAAACCTCTGTACATTTCTAACCGGGCATTTGTGTCAAGATAGTCTAACAGATACACTGACAACAACCGTCATCAGAGTAGGTCACTCGGACACAAGATTCGATATCTCGAGAAACTTACCCGAGCCTGAGAAAAATAACATTTTTATTACACGAGTTGTCTTTTAATTATCTTTTAATATCTTGCCCAGTAATTTAGTTATTTAAGTTATTTAGCAATTTAGTAAACTGGACCCAACTGACATTACTGACATTACTGACAAGTTATCTTTTTTCATTGTATATAAATTCCAATTCAATGTCAACAATTAATTGTTGTAATATTTATATATTAATGATGATATTAAATTTGAGAGACATCTGATGATTTAATAAAAAGTTACAAGTGTAATTTTTTATAAATAATTTTCTAGACCTAATAGTATATTATTAAAAAAAAAATTTTCAAGTGTCTGACAATTTTTTTAATGTTACTGATATATGATATATATATATATATATCAAATTTAAAAACTCAATATACCGTTAGTCCATCGATGATATCGTTTATTCAAGTAGCAAATAAAAAGTAGTACACAATGATGAAAATTATAAATATTAATTATATTAAAGACATTAGTGACAGTAATCCATATAACATATCTATCATCACTGCGACCGCATTCATTATAACTTTTATCGTTATTTTATAATTTATAACATTTATAACACCAATAACTTATTGCGCAATAACATTTACAAAAATAATTCTGTAATTGTTATATTGAGAAATAATTATTATATAATAACATATTGTAAAGATTAAAGATGAACGCTTTACAAGAAAAAGAAAAAGAAAAAATATATATACTTTGTTGAATTGAATAATAAATTTAAATGAACGGAAACTGTGTCAAATGCGCATGTATGTAATAATAATTAGCGTGGTGTTTTTGAATGATAAAAGTAAAAATTTGAATTCATGTCACATTTGTGTTGTGTATGGTAATTTTTAAACTAAACGGTGCGAAAAATAAATGTAGGGTCTTGTAGAGCCCATGGAAAATAAGACATGTATAATTATGTTCTTTCTCCAGCATTATACACAATGATACAATGATTATTCCTTGTTGTAATATACATCTATATGTCTACTATATGTGAGAATAAAAGCATGAGCAGTTAACCATATATAAAGTATCAGGATGGTTAACTGATGTAGTTCGTGCACGTGGTGAACCAACGGTAATACACCAATGACACACCCTGATCTCTTATTATTATTTTTTTTACTTAGTATTTGATTCTTTGTACTTGAGCATTTTTTGCACGCTTTGATCGCCTTGGTCTCTTAAAAATTATTAAAATTCCATTCCTTCAATAAATAAATAAATCAATACACTTTATTCTTTATTTACTTTAGCTCTTAAATTTTTAGTGATCTTATTCAGAGTTTAAAAAGCCACATAAAATCATCACCAGGAAATAATCCTATCTCTTCCCTAGAGGATTAATATATTATTATTATATATTATAATAACTTGTAACTAATATTTTAAAAAGCCTGTAAAAACTCTGAAAGTTTTATAAAAATTACAATGATTTAAAATATTATTATTATTATTATTATTCTGATTGAAATCGAAAGACTTTTATCGTTGGTATCTATTGCGGCAGTAATGGGACTTTCGAGAGCATTTAACAGTACAACTTAAAAACAGTAACAACAACTGTTTATTTTATCTAATCCAAAGTTTCACCAATATAGCCATTCACACAACTCATAATATATATATATATATATATATATACTGTCGATACGCATCAACAATTCGCGTTTTACAAACCTGCAAGTATTCAGTATATGGGAATATTATGAATAAATAAATAAAAAGATCTACAAAGATTAATCGATAAATAGTAGTTACGGGTGAAATTGTCTACTGCAAGTTCTGCACAAGTATTTATAAACCCAATGGGTGCTTAATAGTCACAAGATTATAGTCTACTCTCAATATATTATTATACATACCTACGTATATAATTTTATAATTCAAGATAAATATATAATGTATTATCTTTAATCTGGTGTAACCATCACAAAGTTACTATGAGAAACATCATCTTCGTGGAAAATTAAACTAAACATCTCTGATCTAGAATAGTTTCCGGTAAGAGTCAAATTCCTTTTCTTTGGCAAAAATAACATATATAAATTACTATTCGTAGCAATATCCAACGGTATTTTTTTTTTTTTTTATTATCTGACTATTTTCCCCGCGAGGAATTATTTCTTGAGCGACTATTGTTCTGTTATTACTTTTTAAGCGCGTTATGAATTTTTTTTATTAAGTTAAGTTAACACTTAAAATCACTGTAAGATACTGAAATTACTGAAAATTATTTTTTCAAATCAATTGTTTAAAGAATTTACACTTGTCATTTTTTTTTATTTCGAGATGTTATTAAATTTTTTGATAAAAAAAAATTTACAGATTGTCAATTTGACTATCATAAAATAACATTGAAATTCATTTAAAATTATTGCCAATACAAAATAAAACGATATAGTGAATCGTAACCGGTAAAGCTAATAATGTATATAATATAGTGGTATTATATCAAGAAAGCCGCAGCAACAATACAAGCAGCAAGTAGCAACCATCAACGCGCGGTAGTGTAAATTGAGATTGGTTTACTATATTATAGAGAAACGTCAACTCATCCTTATTCTTAAATACCTGGTTATTCTGTACTGGTTGTTACATTAACTACCTCAACAACAACTTAAATGAATTCCAGCGTAAATAAAATAGTATCGGAAATTTTATTCTCATTTTCTTTTAATTCGATAATTATTATTAATGTAAAACAAATAAATTAAAAAACTATATAAGATGTCTTTCAATATAATAATTATCATTATTTATCTTTTGAAGATAGAATAAAAAAAAATCCAGTAAAATAATTATTTAAAGATAGTGTTGGGTAAACTGATTTAAAAATAACAGCGGATAGGATTTGTAAGTGAGTAAAGTTGTTAAAAAACAGGTGCGCTAAAAGTACTTAGCTAGCTCCTGAGTAACCTGAGTATGAGTTCTTACAATATCTTATAGAGTTTTACAGTCTTACACAGAGTGTAATAAGGACTGTAAACGTGATGTTGATATGGATAAATAAAAATGTACGTGTCTATAACGTTTGTCCGGTACTTAACTAAACTATACATATAACAAATAACTACGCGTAGTCACGCAGCACATGAGGAGTATATGAGGAGTTGAGGAGCACAGCTGAGCACAACTTACAGTATAGGTGAGGTATATATATATATATATATATGCTTATTATTGAATTTGCTACCACACTAACATCTTAGCTTACTTTGCTTGTGTTTTACAGGTATACATCGTATTATATGTATTTATATTGAAAATCGCCGTGAGTAAAGGCCTCGATCTCGGTCAGGAGGTCGGTGACTTTTGCCTGGGGCACATCGCTTCCAGTCAGAAACAAAACAAAAAGAAAATAAAGAAAAAGAATAGACAACCAGACTGAGAAAACAATATTTTCATCATCATAATCATCATCATCATCATTATTTGTTATTCGAATCAGATCAACTCTTTCGTAATTAAACTAAGTATTATCTCTTTTTATTTTTAATTTTTTGTTTTTGCGGTATATAATTTTATTTCAAGTAATTGTTAAATTAACAGTCTCATTTTGGAAATTGTTTTTAATGAAAAATATAAATTGTTTTTTATTCTTCTTAGTATTTATTTTTAATGAATTGCACTTTTAAAATACTTAAAATTATAAAATAGCAATGTAATACTCGGACTATTGTATAATTAATGTTTTTTATGATTTTTGTCCTTTATAGGATCATTTGTCAAGTATACGACGGTGATATAATTATTATTTCCAAAAGGTATTATTAACCTCTTGAAAATGAATTAACACAAACTAAAACGCCTTGTTTTGTAAGCTGTCACCATTTTCACCATTTTCACCATTTTCACCATTTTCGACGATGATACAGTCTCTTGTATCTCCAGTTTTGTATTGGATATAACTTTAATCAAACATTATAAGTATTAGCGAAAGCCAACTGATGGGATTTCTCGGTACCTATATACAAGTATATATAACACTATATATCGATTATTATATATAGCTAAGCATACAGTGCGTACGTATTATTTTCTGTTATCTGTTATCTACCTGCATACATCCATCCACTGATGAGACCACGACCACGACATTCATCTTTTACTCACGTGTATAATATATTTACCATTCTCTGTTATTTACTTATGCACTCTTATACACTTTTACAGACTCTGATGAGTCAGACTCATCGACAACCGTTGTTATTTAGTTCAGAGAAATTTTATAGTTGAATGGAAAAATACTCTAGGATTTTCTGATCCGTGGAACAAAAAATTACACTGGTAGTAAGTTTTATAAATTTTTAAATATTTTGAATACATTTACCTCTCTCGAGTGTTTTCACGCGCGCCTTATAAATTATAACTATAGCCTTTAGCTTAATACCAAATTTACAGTTAATCCAAAAAAAAAATGATTTAATCTGATGTGCTCCTTGTGTTTAGCAGGTCAACATAATATAATAGATATTTTTTTTTTCTACTTGTATACATATACTGGAGTATAAAATCCAGCAGCTCAATAACACTAAAGTATCAAATAAAAATAATTTTTCTCTTGTATTAATAATATAAAAGTTAATAATTACTTAATTATAAAAAATAAATTCTAGAGAAATTATCACCGTCAATAGATGGAAATTTGAATATATGATGTAATTTATCTGTTATGTAGATATATTAATAATAATAATAATAATAATTTGCAAATCTGAAGATTTGCATTAATAAAGATCCATCCATATATGTATTACCACACATAATATGTATTAAGTAAACACTTTCTACATATAACTAACAAATGATGCAAAAACAAAGTTAACCTGATGCGCACACATCGATACTTTCAAAAGCCCTGAGGGTGGTTTAGTTTATATTACCATAAAATATAAAATTATTTTAAAAAATAATAATGAGCTAAGAACAACTAGGGATGATGAATTGTTGATGAATATTAATATATTATATTTTAAGTATGTATTACTACTTGTAAATCCTGTCCCGCGTAAATGGTGTAACCGGGAGGACTTTTCTTATATATGCTTATTAACTAAAATGTCTGCTCAGCTCACTATTATATTGCATAATAAAGTTAACTAAACAACCGGGAGTTTAATAATTTTGTACACCCTCTCGTTACTATTACTATTATAATTTATAACTTAAAATAATTACTAAATTTTATATAATGTTAACCAGTATTAGAATTAAAAAATTTTTTTATTTTTAAATATTAAGAATTATCTAATAAAGCCGTAATAATATAATAACTCATGTCTATATCATCATCATAATCATTGAACACCTTTGACTTTTACCGCATTAAGTGCTATAATGTTGAATAGTTATATTCGGATATTATTATAAGTATAAGAAAACTTATTTATACTGCCAATGGAATTTTTTTCGTAACCTTTCCCATGGTGTATAACAACTATAAGTCTATCCATCCGTATATTATATACAATTTGCATGTAAAGCTTTTATAAATTATTATCTTAACTTTCGAACAAATAAATTTTTCTTAAATTATTGATAATATAGCAAATTATTTTATTTAATGTTTTAATTAGTCTAAATTGGGTAAGCAATATAAATTCACATGGAAGCCCATAAATTACATATTGTCAATTAATAAAATAATAACCTCAGATATATATATATGTATAAAGAATTGAATGTTATACAATATGAGGCAAAATTAATGACAAAGAGGTGCGCGAAATTATTACAAAATCAGTCTGCCAGTTATTATAATTATTATTATTATTATTATATGGATAAATTTAACAAAGAGTTGGACACGTGGGAATGAGAGTGGGAATAATGTAGAATGTAGGAAAAGAGTCAAAAATCTAAATAAAAATAGAGTTAAGAAATAAAATGTTGGAAAGGAAGGTTCAAGCCAATAATATTATAATATTACTATACTAATACACACGTGTATTAAATTTTATATTCAAATACTCGCATGGTTTGTCTAATAGTTTATGAGAATAATTCTAGTTAGTAATAACACACCATAATACACCATCCACCATCGCAATTCTTAATTATGCAACCTTTCTTATATACTCCTCTCCTTATATTGCATTGCATTAACTACAAATAAACGGAATCTTTTCTCACGCACCAATGGACTTGCCAAACATTTTGCTGAATAACAGAAAATTTTTCACCTTTCGTGTGATAATTTGTTTTAATATAATAATAGCTTAATATTTTTTAATTTTTCCGTTTTTCATGTCAATGTATTTTAGGAAATTAAAAAAAAAAATCCAATAATATAATTAGATTTTTCTTCTCCATTAAACATTTTTTTGAACGTTTTCGTATTTTCGTTAGCTTGAAAGAGAAAAAAAAAAAAAAAAAAATAAATAAATTAAGAGACTCTTGTGTAATCTTGCGTTATTATAATTATTATTATTATTATTATATGGATAAATTTAACAAAGAGTTGGACACGTGGGAATGAGAGTGGGAATAATGTAGAATGTAGGAAAAGAGTCAAAAATCTAAATAAAAATAGAGTTAAGAAATAAAATGTTGGAAAGGAAGGTTCAAGCCAATAATATTATAATATTACTATACTAATACACACGTGTATTAAATTTTATATTCAAATACTCGCATGGTTTGTCTAATAGTTTATGAGAATAATTCTAGTTAGTAATAACACACCATAATACACCATCCACCATCGCAATTCTTAATTATGCAACCTTTCTTATATACTCCTCTCCTTATATTGCATTGCATTAACTACAAATAAACGGAATCTTTTCTCACGCACCAATGGACTTGCCAAACATTTTGCTGAATAACAGAAAATTTTTCACCTTTCGTGTGATAATTTGTTTTAATATAATAATAGCTTAATATTTTTTAATTTTTCCGTTTTTCATGTCAATGTATTTTAGGAAATTAAAAAAAAAAATCCAATAATATAATTAGATTTTTCTTCTCCATTAAACATTTTTTTGAACGTTTTCGTATTTTCGTTAGCTTGAAAACTTGAGAACTTGAAAACTTGAGAAAAAAAGAAAATACTTGATCGTGATTACCGCATGTGTTTTGATGGTGAGAATAAAAAAAAAAAAAAATAAATAAATTAAGAGACTCTTGTGTAATCTTGCGTGGTGGTATGTGGGTAACTTTGTCGTCAAGTACTTTCAACTATAACACTTACCCCACAATACAATAACAAGTGAAGAGAAGTGAACAAGTGCGGCGTATTCTCTCCTCTTACAATCTACGATTAACTTTCTCGAAAAATATTAATAGCTTGTTTATAAATTATTGCTTTAAAAAAAAAAAAAAATTAAGTATTGAAATAACTTTGAATGCATCAGTAATATTTAATTTAAATAGTTTTTTTGTCAATACAAGTATATAAAACGACCTTGACGTCCGCTTAAGCCGTAAATCGTTATCGTAAATGCAAATTAATGAGACAAAAATATCGGTAGGAATAAGACAAAAGTACCTACATGTCAGGTTTAAATTAATAAAAATAAACCGATGAGACGGACGATGACTCATCATTTGTTAAACGTTGTATACCCGCACGAACGAGATATTGATTTTAGTCTTTGCTAATGCTTTATTATTATATGAAGCTCTATCATACGATGTCCACCTTGCATTATAGTAGTTATTATTTATTTTTATATAAGCCTATATATGAATATTTATGTTAATAGATTTCGGAGTAATATTACTTTTTACCTTTTATTATTTATTATCTTTACTAATAAAAGAATAATAATTATTTATAATATGAGTAATATCTTGTGATTATAATGCCTTATATTATTCAATTTTAGCTTGTTTATTAAATTCACCGGAAACAATACAACTTTGTCTCGCATCTGGTTTAATTAAAGAATCAGTTTTGTTTTGTGTTTTCCAGTTGTCGGCAAAACATATTGCGTAAGATAACGTTTAGTTATTATTATAAATTTTTAAAATGTATAAGTAATAGATAAATAATACCGTTTAAGAATAAAATTGCAATTGTTTCTTGTTAAATCAATAGCGGTTTTTATACTTATGCATAAAGTATATGCATAAAGATAATTAGATACTTGAAAAAATTCTCAATAATACTCTGGCGTTCGGTAAATTGTTTTTTTGTTATCGTTGAAAATATACAACTTGAGCCTCAACGCGATTATCACTTTTATTAAATAACGCTTTGTTTTTTCTTATAAAATTAATTATATAACTGTGATATAAAGGTAGAGAGACATCCTTGACAGTATTTCTTGTCATGTAAGCAGCAGCAGCAGCAGCAGAAGTTACCTTTATAAAATTATTATTGTTATAATAGATAGGGAATGAAAGCGAGTAATTTTTTATAAGAGGAAGACTGTCGAGAAAGATCATGATTCACCAATTGCGACTGTACCAATGAAAGTCAATTAACAAAACCGGAAATGATTAGTATTATTAACTGACAGCATTTAAGCATTTAAGAGCAAACGGTTAACTTTTTCATTGAAAAAATTTATAAAATTTAAATTTACAATGACGCAAAAGACTTTTAATTTTTTAAATAATGATAACTGTTTTAGTCGGCGAATCGTTTTCGTGGTCGTGATTATCGGGATCCGCAATATAACAGTAGAGTAGAATAAATATAGGATAAATAGAATCACAAGGATTTTAAAATTACAATACGATCTACTCTGTACCCAATTTAAATACCGCTCTAGCTCACGACGCTTTGCAGCTCCTAATATATCTCGTATTCTTTATTCTTCCACGACATACTATTTCTTCTATTTCTTCGCTATTATCATCAGAAGCTCTCAATAATCCCGCCATTATTATCATCATCTTGAAACCATACAGCTGTATTATTATATTCTTCTCCCACTACTCTTTCCTTTTATTTATTTATTTATTTATTATATTATATTATAATTATAATATAAAATAATAAAACAGCTCTATATAACTAATTTACACATTCGCGTTCATATGCCCTGATTTCTTCCGCACTGATTACTCTTTACTCTATACCAAGTAAAGTTCCTAACGTTTTATATGTATATATTTTTAATTACTGTTACAATTATTATCTTCTTATT